CGGCTTTGTGCAGTGTACGCTAGTGTACGCATACGTACGGATATATATATATAAATATTCACGTTAATGTTGAGTCCAACTGAAGGCACTACTACTATCACTCCTGGGGTTCTGCAACATTTTCAATAAATCTTTTGTAACTCCTCAACCACATCATATTTTCTTCTACGGATTTGCACCATTATAGATTCGTAGCTGCTCTATATGAATCTGATTTTTGCTGATTTAAGGATTTTTGTGGTGGAGTGTCGGAATGAAGGCCGAGAAAATTCAGGGTCTGACTGGTATTCTGCAAAAATGGTCACGTCGTGTCACACATCGGCACAGTAGCGGCTTTCACTGGAGAGAGATTGAATTTCTTACACACTCTCCTATCTGCTGTCACGCTTTCATACATGTCGTCAATCCTCTGTCTATAGCATCTTAAACAAGAGAATGGCCTCTATCGAAATTGTGTTCTGACACCCTGACGAGGTGTTTGATATGCTCCGGGTGTAACTTTTTGAATATCTCTCTAGGATCTTTGGGATCGGATCATTTATGATTATACAAGGTTGCAAATCACACTATTCTGTCTCTCGCAGCTGCAACACTCAAGAAAATTTATTCTACGTGGACAGTACATCATCTCTAAGTAGCCTACATACACATGAATTTTTTCGAGGTGATTCAAGCAGCGCATTGAGGTGTTTTGAACATTTTGCATATTACATGCCAGTTGCAGATTCCCAGGAGTGATAGTACAGGGGGGAGGTCGTAAGTACTTCTAGATCTTCTCGAACCTCTCTATCGCGTAACGAACTACAGCATGATACGTACGTATCAACCCAGTGCCTGAGGCGGTGAATACTGGGGTTAATTTCCATCACTAGTTTGTATTGTAGCGGGCATCCCCGGGTATTCAACTCAAATAGCGGCAAGTTCCGTCTTCGTGCATTCAGAGGAAGCCCCCACAAAATGTCATGAAAATTGTAGACGTATATACATTGGTCGTTATATATTTATCATGAACAGTAATCTAAAATCGAAAGAATAAGCCAATATTAGAATGTCATTAGGATCATTGATTTCCAACTTCCTTAGTCCTCACTCTATAACCATTTCAAGGCGTCGCAGTGTAAATACCAATGCCTCCAGGTCGGAAGTTCAGACCAGTGAGGTTGGTGTTCTGCGAGACGGAGAATATGCGCTGTACCTGCGTCGTTGCGTTGGTGGTCGAAGCTGGCAATCCAATTGCCGTCCATGGTACGTAGACTGACGCATTGACCAGGTTGGAAACGAGGAGCAAGTATGCAGTGCCGTTGTGCCAGACACCCGCATCCACGCCTTGGTAGTCATAGCTGACAAATGTGGCGTTCGGGTCGACCATGAAGGGCTGAACAAAGTTTTTGATGAGAACAGTGAGGTTACCTGCCGTCCCTTCGATTGTCTCGACATTGCCGGTTGTAGTCGGGTATTGGAAGGACTTGGAACCTGGCAACGCAAATCAGTGTTATCCATATGCGGGGTATCGGCATATCTTACCTAGAGCACCATGGCTGAAAGAAGTGAAATCCATAGCTGCCCATTGCTGCCCGGTGGGAGTGGTGTTCCAGTATCTGTAAAGAGTGTCAAAACGCAGATCGTATTGGGAACTCAAGGTGACTTACGCGCCACTGCCAAAGGCCTGGGGCGTGGTCCAAACGGACTTCGTGCGGTCAAAGCCCAAGATGTTGAGTCTGTCTTTGTAGGTCTGGATACGCGTCTTGATATCGGATAGGTTGCCTGAGCAGTTGTCGCAACCACAGTGACCGAAGTCCGGTGTGCATTCGGTGTGCCACACAGGAGAGAATGTGGCGTTAATTCCGATAGGGTAAGCATCCTACACCTGGGATTAGAAATGCGAGTGATGAAAATCTTATTAATGGCTCACCTCCAGAACGATATCGGCGCCCGTGACGTAAGGAGAGAAGTTGTAGTCTTCGCAATTCAGAACAATAGAGATGGGGTGATAACCGTCCATCTGGTATATTAAGTCGTATGTCGCCCGCGCCGCAGTTTGAGGGTCAGAGTTGCCATCGGGTTCGTGCGCGGTCTCCCAGTTCAATAGGTTGGGAATTGAAGCGTAAGTGTTTACTTGTTGAGCGACAGCGGTCAAGTTTTGGTAGTTCCTGAATAGAAAGATATCAATAAACATGAGATGAGATGACAAGATCTGACATACGATCGCATATCATAAACGATGTACATGCCAGCACTGATGGTCTTGTCGATGACTTGTTGGAAATAGTAAGGTTGTCATAAGGAGGAATTGGGTGAAGCTAGGGAATAGACGTTCAGCACGGGATGCATGAGATGATTGCGAAACATACAGTGTTAAACCTGGAAAGAGAGTTAAATAGTTGCTTAAGAGGTGATAGAATGTAAGACGAACCCATCGGCTTTGAGCTGATCGATCATGGTCAAATTTTTGGCCAGATACGTGTCAAAATTTATGTAGAATCCTTGAGGGATGAAGGGCGCAAATGCTCCACCCGTGCCATTTGCAGGCCTCACCCAAAGTGCACCAGTGCGCAAGTCAGTCTTCGTGACGGATGTAGTTGTGTCAGGGAGATACAAAAGGGATGCGCTAGTCTTGAATTTTCTGCTTCTTTGCAGACTGGGACGTCGAAGACGAAGGGGCAGAGTATGTAGCGGAGCAGCTGACGTTGTATGCAGTCTTCTGAGCCTCAAGCTTGCTGATATCTACGGGAATTTGAACGCCGGTAGCGTTCAGAGGGACGTTTGCGGTGGTATGGACGGAGCCCACTTTGATGGTGACACTGAGGCTTCCTAGGCCAGTAGAGGCGCTAGAAGAGCTGGAGTTGGAGGGAAGTGTGATGGACTGAGCACCGGCGATCCAGTCGTAAACAATGGGTGTATCAACTACAAATGCTGCGCTCTTTGCATCCTCCTCGAGGTATGGGCGGAAGACAGGAGCACAACGGAAGGACAGAAGGGGTTCAACACTTTGGGCGGGCAAAACAAACTGTCCGCCAGGGGGCACCACAGACTGATTTGCCATATAGTTTTTTCCGCACCTGAAAAGATTTAGGGATCAGCAATCCAGGTGCAAGATCGAAACTGTGCGTACCATGTCTGAGCGAGCGAACCTGGAACCAGGGCGGCGGCTACAATGGCCGTGAAGCTTTTGTTGTACTTCATTGTTCTGTCTCAGACCTGGGAGAGGTCGAAACGAAGGAAGGAGAGAGAGTTGGCGTGGAGATGGATGAGCTCACCACAGCTTATATAGGCTAATGTACGGCTGTTTAACCGCTTACGAATGGTAATCGGCCCAGAGCGACAAGGATTGTCCCTGTGCAGCAGCGCTTCTACTTAATGATCGCTTGTGACGAATCATTGAGGGCAGATTTGGTTAGCTACAACCCCATAGCTGTGAACCCGCCAAGCTTGCGACGATTAAGAGCCATTAAGGCGGCACATTCCACAGGCCATCAGACTGGCCCGGATCAGGATCACTGGTTTTGATGCTAGTATCGGTGCTATATCGCTCGTTTGGTAGTAGGCTAGTAGCGCTTGGGTTTAGTAGACGTCGTTGATCCAAGGCAATTTGCAATTGTCAAACGCATCGCTTTTTAGTCGTCGTGAAGAAAAGTCACCATCGGCTATATGATATATTTAAAGTCATCAAGAGCTTCACTGCTCACTCTTACGCTTATAGACTAGATACAATGGTAGTGGATATTAAGCATATCCCATACTAAAATCGACATCGAAATCGTGGCCTACGCCTGCAGTCATGTCACTGAGAATATGCATGTCCATGATGCGGCTGTCGCAGGCCCTAGCGTGGTTCCTGCAAGGTTGTTGTAATACTAAAATCTACAGGATACTTAGATCGTTACTCAATAATAATATACTCTAAGGTACCGGCAAGTTGGACTAGGTTGGTTACTCGTTATAACAAAGTGTACCTCGCTGGCACTCCCCGCTTGGATGATAATTCTACAGGTAAATTGTGATCTGGAGACGAGTCAAAGTGAACGAGAACCTCTGTTGACCAAGGTCTAAGGCTAGTACTGTAGCTACTCCCTCAAGCTTGAAACTTGCCACCGCAACTAATATTAACTACCAAGTGATCTTGCAGTCTCGAGGCTCGAACTCATCTCTCAATTTGAAATTGTGGTGCCGCATCCTTCTAGTAGTTCCAATCTTCCGCGGCGGTAAGCAATTCGTCTTTTGTTACAGCACTAATAACTTGCTGTGCACGCCGACATGAACGGGAGGTACCGGTCATCTGAGCTCATAGACAATTGGCCAACGTGGTCCGTAGCCACTAGCCTACCACGAGGTACTGCCAAGTGATTCTTAAGATAATATCCTTCCTATGATCTATGTACTATGATGAGCCGACCATCGGCACAAAGGAGCACATCTGCTCCTTCGGTTTGGGATTATCGATTTGCCCTGGTCATCGTGACATCCTCCATGGGGTTAAGTAGCAGTGATTTATGAGTGGTGCATGTCGGATCCATGGAACGAGGCTCACATGACATCGTAATTTATAGACGTAATATGCAATGATACCAGAGGTTACCAACTTCCTGTGTGTCTATCTACACACCTGGTGTCAAGTGGTCGTGTCCACACACAGGGAAAACCCATCTGAACCCCTAATACAGAAGGAACGACTGTTTTCATTCTGATAGGGTTTGACTACGGGAGACTAACCTGAACCCGACTTTACAGTTTTAATTGCGCGAAGGCATTGATAACAAGTGCATGCATCGAATCGAGGCCATGAACATCTGCTCGACCAATTGAAATGTAAGATTCGGTCCGTCTCCGATTTCTGATGTGGAAGAGATGCATTTAGACCGACAAGTGCAGACGTCATATCTTGATGCATCCAAGTAACAGGGACATGAACTTTGCAGCATTCGTAGGATACACTGCAGACGGTTGCACGACTTGCAAGTGGGTAGTCACTCTGTTTGTCACAATAGTACATTGCTTTGAGCATAGGGAACATCACGTGGGTAGGCATATTCTGCATGGAAAGTTTCGATCCTAAATGGGAGGGGTCAAATGGGGCTCTGAAGTTGAAGACCACTCCTTGCAGGAATCTTCTCAAACTTTGGCTACCGGGCGACTTCTTGCCTCCACACGGTTGGGACGGCAATCATTACCGAGATCCCCACCATCAACCACCTGACAGCAAATTCGTTAGCCCCAATGAGAAACAGGAACAAGGTACAACAAACGTACTGTCGAATGGCGGGGCATCATTGTTTTCCGCCGCTGCATAGATCATCTCAAACGTGCGTGGTGTAGAATTCTTCGCGGACGTCATCAGGAGGTGTCGTGGGGGTAGTAGTCACTGGAACTCCACTCCGCCATAGCTGCATTATAACTATCAATAAAGGCAGGTCCGACGCTACCAGCCTTTGCATGCATCATTGTGACGGTATGCATAACATAAAAGCGCCCGAGTTTGTGAGTGAGACGCTCAGCCACTTGCAGTAGTTTCCTTGTCGAGGTTTAACAACGCAAGTTTTTGAGTGAGACACTCCATAGACTTAGTTGACATGATAGGAAGGTTAATGTTTCACAAAAAAGACTTCATCTATCTGAGAAATCCCTCACTACGTGGAATCGGGGAATATCTGCATTGTTCCTAGTTAGCATACCACAATACATTGACGTTGCCGCGACCTCTCCTCTGTGGAATTAGCATATCCAGATCTCGTCCCTAGTAAACGTATGGAATAATACGGCAGGGTACCAGCTTCATGTACGTCTCCCAGTCCTTACCGTACCTGATGTCAACCAGTCAGCACCCATCGATCATAGCGGAAGGAACAAAACACTCACTTCTTCTCACAATTTTCATCGTCACGGCGTTGCCTGTGGATGAGCAGAACTGCGAAGTACACGACATAGAAGTATGTGATTGGTGTGTCGAACCCAGTAGGAAGCGACCATGCAAGTGCCATCAACAAGTCGCCGCTGTACAATACGAATCAGATCTGTCAGAAGCAAAGAAGAAGAAAGAGAACTCACAAGTAGTTTGGATGCCTTGATCGGCCCCACCACCCCGAAGTGAGAAGCTTCGAGCCCGTGGACGTCGTAAAGTACTTCAAGTCTAGAAAACAGCACATTAATACCGACGAAGACGTCTATGAAGAGAAGAAAAGAATTCACTCTTGGGATTCCTTCCATTTCTGAAATCATTCTTCTCTCCATTAGCATCACGGAAAATATAATATCCAAGGAGGTTAAGACCAAGTATTCCAGCGGTACAAAGGGGCCCAAGCTCCACTTGCTTGAACACAAGGTAGCGTGCCTGCAGCGAGTACACGAAAGGCACCCAAGTGAGGTCGCCCACAGCAAGCATGAACCCAAAACCGTCGGTTGTGATGTCCATGGTCGTGAAAATGGCGGGCTGCACATTTTATTAGTGCAAATTCGAAAAATCACATAGAATGAGGAGACAAACCTCGTTATATAGTCCATCAGCGACATACCAGGTCTGGAATGCGAGTACAAGCCACATCGAGTCGGTCACGTTCGTGAAACCCCCACGGCGCACAGCTTGCTCGCAAACCATGCTTACGTTCACCAACACCCAGAGGATGAGGCCGGGGCGGAGCTCATTGAAGGACTTGATGTCAAAGGAACCAATGGAGGGGTTCAACTCGCGGCCAATATACCACTGAATAGGCAACTACCTGAGCGGCGATCACTAGCAAGCAAACTGGAAACGCACGTCGTAAATGAAATTTCCCGAGTTGCCGCCAAGCGCGAGGAGAGCGCCCGAGCGCAACGAGCTTGCGTACACATAGAAGGCCTGCGCCAAGGACATAACAAGCGAAGCAGTGACAAATCCAATCCATTTTTTGTAGATGAAAGTGAAAGATTCGGGGCCGTTGCGAAGGATATAGCCACAGGAAATGCCCATTGCAAGGAGGAATGTTGAAAAGGCTGTAAGAGTACAGCGTCAGTACCAATTCTAGCGACTGTGTTTCAACACGAACCATTGATTTTGTACTTCTTCTTTTCCCCAGTACGCATAGTCACACCTTCAATCCAATCTCCGGGGAGCACCGCCCATGCAACAACACAAAATGCGTACCATACCAAGTAAATCAAACTAGCCTCGGTATCCCACAGACTAGCCCAAAAGGTCTTGTCACTCAACGCTGCCACGAACCGGTCTGGAACAGATTGTAAAGGAGGAGGGCAGCCGCCAGACTCTTCTGAGCAACCGAAGTACAGGAGATACGTCATGAAAGGGACGCCGAATGAGATGAGAAAGGCACCTGGTGGGCCCAGGAACTCATAGGACGTCGTGCGCGGGTTCAAGTCTGCCACAGGCTCCGACTTGGTTTTCGTTGCCGTCGACATTCTGAAAAGGTTTGAGCACGATGAACGCGCAGTAAATGGTTTAGTCGTATGATGTGAGCGCCTGTACTTCGGAGGAAATTCCGGATTCATATTTTGGTCCGATTACTTCCATATTTATGTCTCTCCCGGGCGAAAATCAACTCTATTTCGATCATCCTCGCTTCCATCAATAATAACATCCAGCACTCGCAGCTGTGTGCAATATCAAGATTGATAATTTTCGGTACAATAGATCGCCGAGGGAAGTCGATCTACCGGTTTCATAGCGGTATTCTATATCAACATCCACAGACTCATCACAGTGAGCTCACGCGATCATGTTCTGGCCCCATCGAGGGTTCCAACCAGCTTCGACAGCCTCTCCCTCCTCAAAGGTATCCACAACACCTCACTTCCACTAGTACCAGGCTGTGCTGCGCTAACAACAAGCCCGTGGTCCCTGAACTCGCCAAGCAGAGCTCTGAAGGCAGTATCATTCGTGGCGATGAACGCGTCCCGCGCCAAAGTAAAGAGAGCGTCATATGTCAGGCCAAGATGCTGCTGATCGTTAGGATTACGTGCGGAGTTAGCCTCTGAGTCGTCGGATGAATCAGCATTCTCGAGCTGCTTTGCAGCGAGCAAGGAGAACAATTTTTTGGCTTTAGCGGTCACTGCAGCGAGGACGTGCATTGCCGCTGTTTCTGTCAACGGACCGGAAGCAGGGTTGGTGACATCAACTCGTGAACGGGAAGCTGAGGCACCGGAAATGGAGGTGCGGTCAGCGAACGCGAGTTCGGAGGTGTATGGTGCAAGAGTTGTTAGGTCGTGCCAGAGCCAGCCATATCCTACGTTTTTTGTAGCGCGATCCGAAGAAAAGACAGAACCTTTCCGAGCTGCGAGCTGAGACGCACTGAAGAGAAGTGGCGCGTTGAGCCGGTCGATAGACGCAGCAATGTGAATGTGGGGGCTGAGTGCGAGCGAAGCAATCGCACGTGTAAGTTTTGGAGAGCGGTCGAGAGAATGAACTATGAGGAAGAGATGGGGGCTGTCTGAGCCTGCAAAATGCTCTGCTACGCGCTCCAGGGAAGGAGCAGAAGTGGAAGTGGATTGTACGCCTGGGACGCGTGCAATGGATGCAAGCATGTCGCGCACAGTTACCGAAGGGTGAAAGGCGTTGACTACAGCGACATGACCACGTCTTGAGACGTGTTTTGCAAAGTCGTTGAGGATACTGCGCTTCGAGCCCAGTCCATAGAACAATAAATTAAAGCCCTCGTCGAGCTCGCGAGCCCATCTCTTGAAACTGGAGTTATCAAAGGGAATTTTCGGCATAAAGGCATGCGCAGGGGCCCGTGCGAGAGCAGCATTGTACTCTTCAGGGCTAAGGGGCACGACGCGCTGTGAGAAGACATTGGTAGATGTGCGCGTGCGTGAGGAAGCATGCGTGAAATAAACATCAAAGGACGGCTTGTATGAGTCGATCAGACCGTCAGTTTCAGCCTCCTTGAGGATGTTGGCATAATTGTGCTCGATGTCTGAGGCATAGAGCTCGGATCCTTCGTCGCTATCCATCACGATGAGCAAAATTCAGGTTCGTTTGTGGTTGTTGTGTCGATACATCAAAGACTCTTATCCTGAGACTTCAGTTCGTTCTACTGGCGTACACACTTTGCATTTCGCGCAATAGTTCTTGTTCGAAACGCATGCTCTGTACACAAATAGTGCTGTAAACCATTGCATTAACCGCATTGCGCGCAAGAGACACGAAGTGGAAATTCGAATCTGGATGAAACGTAGTCGTGTCATTCTCTCTGTATCTTTTGTGTGTCCTCTTCTCCTCGCCCGCGTCTCTTACGCTCAGTTCACAATGCCCAGTGAATATGTATGTTCGTGACTACCGTGACCGGGACAAGAACCAGTTCATTGGTAGTTAGATCATCTCCTGAATGTCCCACTTTCGTTGATCATGATTACTCCCAGCATTTTGTCTACGTCGATGAATAGTAAGTAGATTTCGACAATACGCAACGCCCCTCGAGCTACCGTGACCGTTTCATTAGAACGTTCTGTTTAGGTCTGAGGGGACGCGGATGCGAGAGCTTGCTATGCCACCGCTGGCGCTGATCTGTCCATGCCAGACGCATCAATAAACTTCGTTAAGCTAGCGGCAACTAGTGCAAAGCGCAAGATACAAGAGATCGTTTCGTTGTGGCCACGGCGTTGGACGTTACATTATCTTGGTGATGAAGCCACACCTGCCCACTCATTCAATACGAAGGCTAACTAAGCAGTCTTACAGTGGGCTATAGGGAAACGCACGGGTACGGGTAACACCGCGGTTCTTTGCTGACGGGTTTGGCGGGTACGGGTACGGTGTTGGATATTCATACCCGTGACCATACCGCGACCCTTTACCGCGGGTTGGCGGTGTTTAACGGGTATGACTTACCAAATCGGGAACCTTGACAGCCACTGAACACTGTACTATAATTCTCTGTGTCGGCTTACTCTGAGTGCTTGAGGATCACAACCCAATATTTGCTATATTGATTTCTGTCATGTCTTTCGTGCCCCTGTGAATCATTCTAGCAATTTATCGAGCTGACACTTTGCTACAGAGAAGCTCGAGTCACTACCATAAAGCCAAGGCAAAAACTCGAGACCAGTAAGTCTACCAAATCGTCTCTCCATGAAAACCAATTTCGCAAAGAAGGCATCTGATGCCTCGTCTACCCACCCATCGTCTAAGTCTATCTCGTCGTCCAAGATTTGTTGGCCAGTGACGACGACGAAGCAACGGCTGATCCTGATCCTGATCCCGCTGCAGATCTCGCTGCGTTGCTTTCCATTGATTTTTGCCTACTTCCGTGAGCAATCCTGGGAGAAAGAGTGGATCGATACTGCCGAGCAGCTTGTCCGTGAAGAGTTTACTGATAAATACGAGAAATCCGCCGAGACTACTGATGACACTGCAGCGGATGTAGTCTGTATCTAACATTTAATTCTACACTGACACTGACAACTGTACAGAATGAGGATGACTTTGGTGACTACTCACTTGGTTCCATGTCTCATACCACCAGTAGCGAGCTGGACGAGTTCCTTCGATTGCCAACTGTGAAGACCAAGGACCCACTTGCATGGTGGCAAAACAACTGCCGTACTTATCCAACGTTGCATCGGATGGTATTAGACTATCTCTCCGTCCCAGGTATGCCACCCTCAAATCCTTTTTCAATCAATCAGTGCTTATTATCAGCAGCTCCTTCATTTTACTCGCAACCGACTCGCACCATCAACGATTCGTGCTTTTCTCTGCCTCGGAGCCTGGGGCAGAAGTGATCTTCTGGCGATGGAGGACCTTCTAGCCTCTGTAAAGAGTCAAAAACGGAAGCGAAATGAAGTCGAATCTGAGGAGGACGACGAGGAAAAGTAGTAATATCTATTCAGTTGTTATTAATACACTCTTCTTGGTAATGTACCCGCGGTGTTCAGAGACACCGCGGTGTTTTCCATCTAACCGCGGTGTTGACGGGTCGGTGTGTACCCGTACCCGTGACGGGTACGGCGTTGGCGGGTACGGGTACGGTGTCAGCTTTCCGACCCGCGGTGTTACCCGTGCGGAACCCTAGTGGGCTATAGCTCATGTCGTATCTTATATTCGACTTGGTCAATATCGTGCTACTGTGATACTTCAAACTGGGCATTGTTGTTATCGAAGGTATGTCTTCCAATTTCTGGCATATTTTTTCACGCGATCTTCAGCGCTGGGTGCACGTTCACGTCGTTTGTATTTATGTAAACTGGTAGCCCGTGCTGTGCCACCCATTGCGCTGTTCTGCAACTATGCAATGATGTAATATTTCTTCATGACAACACCGGATGCTCCGACAGGTATATCTTGGAGAAGTGTTATCCCCGTTCATTGCACTAGCATCAAGTGCCACAAGGTCACCAGGGGAATGAAATTCCACCGAGAGAAATGTCATTTCTCAGGGTGAAAACATCTTCCCAGAAAAGTTTTTGAATTGTCACTATACCTCCTCTGCTTCGCTCTGATCTTGAATGGGACGCACCGGACATATTCGTTGTTGGCGATGCCTCAAGGCTCGCTCACGGAACATGCTACGTTGAAACCGGGTTCCGTTTCTTCGGATTTAACGTCATCTGTATTCTCAAACTCCATACGTTGTGCATGGTGAGTGTCATGTGCGCAGATTCATTCAATGCTATACATTCACGCTAATGATTAATCAATCAGTTTTCAGAGAACATAGTTCGAGCTAGCATGCAGTACCTATCGTACGCCCGCGGTTATATCTGCTACTGCCGTAGTTTTCTCATAACTTAACTCGGACCTTCATCAAAGACGTCAATTCTTGCGCTTTCACCCCAAACCTGGCCAATTGAGAGACTGGACGCGATGTCGATGGCAGATCCGTTACTCGAATCTTTCGCTTACGGTAGCGGCCATCGGGCCTGTCCTCGTTCAGCCGCGGAGCGCCCCGCACAGGATACGCGTGATATCCATAACTGGATGCGTGACGAGCGAGTTCAACCGAGTGATTACTTTCCACATCCAACCATCTGTCGTCGTCGACCCCTCCACTGCCCACGCTAACTTTCACTACGAAGGCTTGGACCTTGGATGTCGAACTGTGGAAACTGCATGTTCTTTCTGGCCACTAACCTCACCGGGTCGGAAGGTCATTGTTTTTCAGTCTACATTAGCTTAGCGAGCCCATCAGATTTTCTCTGTTAATCTAAGCACGAACAGGACTGGTTTGCTATTCCGTTCGGTGCTATACTATGAAGGAGACTCGGTAGAGTTGTGGGCACATCATTATATCGGTATTTATTCATACGCGACTCACCCAAGTAGTCGTGAGGTTCACTATCGTTGAGCTGATCACTGTCGCTTTCCATCAGAGACCGAGTCAACCAGGGTCCCTTATCTGGTCGATAAAGCCTGTCCTAACTCACTAGGGGTCAGTGTTTCTGACTTATGCATTGCTCCGCGTCGTGCTGTGCTATCCAGTACTAGTATGTGCAAGACAATAAGTTATACTTGGGTTCTCCGTGCAACAAGTAGCAGGTTTGCGTATTTCTCGTACTGGCCCTGCAGTTGGTCCGTCTCCCAGTTGTCGTTATTCCTGAAGTAACTGGTCCTATTTCTGCCCTCAGTTTTCCTTTTACTTCTGTTCTGTGGTGTCTTTTTCCTTCTTCAAGTCACTAGTTATTTGTTGGCGTTGTGTCCCGGTGCAGTTGATACTCGGAAATTGCCGACTGCATTGGGAGAAACAGTTGATCTCTGTAACCTGCATCAACGTTGACTACATATTCTATTCGATTGAAACCGAGCTAGCAATCATACCTGATGCGCACATGATGGTCAGTTTGGGGCGTTTTGCTTTTTTGTTCAGCGGTGATTACTATCGGACAGAACTGATTTCTTCCCATAATCATGTGGCTTCTACATCAAATTTATCATTATTTGGATTTCACATATTATGTTCCACGTCAATTGACCCTGTTTCGTATGGTAATTGAGATTCGATGGGCCTCGATGCGACTATCACTTGTGATTTGGTTCTGCTCCGATAAAATTTCAGGAGGTACATTAACCATCTCATCTTTCTCTCTATCTTCCATCTTATCAAAGTTTTCAAAATGGCACCTGTGGGCAAGCTCTATTGTGTTCCTACTATGCGTCAGACCAAGACGGTGATCAGCACACTTGCATCTTCTCGCTTTTCAATATGACTCATAACAGCCGGTATCCGTTCTATAGATCAGGAGCGTCTGTGCACTGGCAGGTCTTGAACTCGAGATACCCGAGTACAAGCACTTTTCGGACAATCAGCAGCCAGAATTTCTTGCGAAGTTCCCTCATGGAAAGATCCCCGCCTTTGAGGGCGCAAATGGCCTCAACCTCACAGAGGGTGCCTCGATTGCACGTTATCGTGAGTCATACTGTTTTCCATCTCGATTTTGATCCAGGATGTCATAAGGAGGAAAAGATCTTCAGTTATCCCTGTCTTAATTATGTGTCGACAGCTTCATGTTATTCTGACATGTCATCCATCTCACTTTCTTGCGGCCTTGCAGCGGAGCTGAAACGTGTGTGCTGATGCGCTGATTGCAGTTGCCGACCTTGCTCCCAACTCTGGCCTTCTCGGCTCGACACCAGAGGATGCCGCACTCGTAGACCAATGGGTGCACTTTGCTGAATCAGAAATTGCCGTGCAAACTCAGACGGTTCTGGGGATGCTTAGCAACTCCACTCCTTACAGCAAAGGCGTAAGTTAGCTCCTCGCTACCAGTCCATTCACACTCAATGGCCCCACGTAGATTCACACCTTCCTCGCTGAGCGTCAAATGCGCAGCCTCATTACCCTGGAAACTCATCTGAGCACCCGTACCTTCCTCGTTGGCGAACGCATCACCCTGGCTGACATCACTGTTGCGTCCATTCTGCAGCGCACTGTTACCGTCACCGCAGATGCCGCTGTGCGCGCTAAACTCATTAACACTGTTCGCTTCTTGGAGACTATTGTACATCAGCCCAAATTAGAGGCTATCTTCGGCCCTACTGAATACATCGAGAAGGCGCTGCAGTACGTCCCTCCCAAAAAGGAGAAGGCACCCACTGCCCCAGCCGCACCAAAATAGAAGAAAGAGAAGAAGAAAGTTGAGGGTGATGATGATGATGACAACTTTGTACCTGTGGAGCTCAAGGCGAAGAACCCCTTGGAACTGCTTCCCAAGAACACAGACATTGGTAGATGTGCGCGCGTGTGACGAAGCGTGCGTGAAATAAACAATGGCTCGTATGAGTGGATCATATCGTCAGTTCCAGCTTCTTTGAGGATGCTGGCATAATTGTGCTCGATGTCTGAGACATAGAGCTCGGATCCTTCGTCGCTGTCCATCACGATGGGAAAATTCAGGTCCGTTTGTGATTGTTGTGCTTCAAGCTCTGAATCAAACCACTGTTCACTTAGACTAGTGTCACCCTACCACAGTGCATTATCCCGAGTTCGTTCTGCTGGTGTACACAATGCGCGTTTCGCCCAAGACTTGAGTTCTTGTTCGAAATGCATGCTGTGCACAAATAGTACTGCAATGTCATGGCCAAATTCCTTGATCGCATTAACCGCATTGCGCGCATCAGATTTGCAGTGGAATCTAGATGAAATGTGGTTGGTGTCATTCTCTTTTGTATGTCCTCTTCTCCTTGTGCGTCTCTTATGCCCAGCTTACGATGCCCAGTGGATACGTATGTTCGTGACTACCGTGACCGGGACAAGAACCAGTTCATTGGTAGTTAGATCATCTCCTGAATCTCTCATTTTTGTTGATCATTACTCCCAGCATTTTGTCCACGTCGATGAACAGTGAGTGAATTTCGAAAATACGCAACGCCCTCCGAGCTCCCATGACCGTTTCATCGGAACGTTTTGTTCAGGTCTGATGGGGTCGCGGATGCCAAAGCTTGCTATGCCACCGCTAGCGTTGATCATGTCAGACACTTTGTTACGCTAGCAAGTAGCGCAAAGCGTAAGAGACAAGAGATCGTTTCCGTCGAGTCTATTGTGACGGCGTTGGACAATACTCTATCCTGGTGATGAAGCAACACCTGCCCACTCATCCGATACGAAAGCTAAGCAGTCTTACATTGCACTACAGCTTATGTCGCATCTTGCATTCGACTTGGTCAGTCTCATGCTACTTCTGACGATGATACTTCAAACTGGATATTACTCTTATAGAAGGTATGCTTCCCAATTTCTGTTTTTCTTTTTCTTTCACACGTTCGTCAGCGCCCCGTGCCCACTGCCCACCCACTGCGCTGTCTTGCAACGTCGCAATGATGTAACATTTCTCGTGATAACACCGAGATGCTGGTACAGGTATATTGAAGAGAAGGGATCTTCTTCATCCTTTGTTCATTGCATCACCATCAAGCGCGGGAAGATCGCCAGGGGAATGAAATTCCACCCGGAGAAATAGCAGGACCATTCATATCAAGAGGTTATACGAATGAACCTGTCATTTCTTAGGAGTCAGGGTGGAAATGTCTTACCAGAAAGAAGTGCTGATCCGATTTTTTGAATGATACTGTGCCCCTCTTTTTCGCTCTGATCTGCACGGGTGCCGCATTCGTGCCCATTATGATGAAAGGATTGAAGAACTACGCTCAGTGCTTTTCAAAATCTCACAGTCCCCCGGCTCTAAGTACAGCCCTCGGTGATCAAGACGGACTTTCATAATGGTGGGTTACCCTGCAAGCACAATGCATTTGCCTCCGACCGATAATTCGTTTCGAGTGCGTAGATTCATTCAATGCTATACATTCAAGCTAATCAATCAGTTGTCAGGGAAATGGTTCAGGCTGGCATGCAATACCTGTTGTACGCCCGCGGTTATATCTGCTTCTGCCGCAGCTTACTTTCGTTTTCTCATAGGTTGACCCAGGTCATCAAAAACGTCATTATGTGCTTGCGCTTTCACCCCAAACCTGGTCAATCGAGAGACTGGACGCGATGTCGATGGCAGATCCATTACTCACGTCTTTTGCTTATGCCAGCGATCATCAGGGGCTGTCCTCGTAGAGCCCCATGCATACGTGCTGTATCCATGACGCCACGCCACTATCATGGTGGGCATGGCGAGTGAGTTCAAACGAGTGATCACCGTCCACAGTCCAACCCTTTGTCTTCGACCCCTCCACTACCTACGAAGGCTTAGAGGAACAACGGCAATTTGCTTTCCGGCCACTAACCTCACCAGGTCGCAAGGCCAATATTGTGTTTCATACACTGGCTTTAGCGATTGCAAAAGCGCTGAAGCGAGCCCATCACATTTCTCTGTTGATCTAAACATGAACGGGACTGGTTTGGAATTTAGTTCGGGGCTATACTATGGAGGAGACTCGGCAGAGTTGCGGGTACATTATATCGGTATATATTCATACGTAATTCACTCAAGTAGCCATCAGGTAGAACATCATCGGAAGATCCAGCAAGCTACCTATGCTTTAACCATTCAGTACCTAGGTTGAAAGGGAAAGTTAGAAACCATCGGTTTTGCCGCTTGAAGCCAAGTCCGACGGTCCACTTTAACCTCATCCGTACTGATCAGCATGATGCGCCCGTGTGTTCGTGGCGAAGTTCCAGCCAGTCCAGCCAACTTCTGCGACGAAGACAAGGATGCACCCACGGTTTAGTCCAGAGCTAAAAATCGTACGATGCTAGGTTGGGAGCTTACCACAACTTTGGGGAGTGCGCACCCAGGAAAGTTAGGCGTAAGTTGTTGATGCTGAAGAATGCAGCTATTGAAGGAACTTCTGGTGTCAATGGAAGTGACATGGAGACTAGTATCTATGACGCGATACATGATGTTAGCGCGATGATATATGGAGTTGAAGTTCCGTATTTACATAAACAATTGATGCGTACTTACTGTGTTTTTTATTCGATCGTCGAAGGGAGGCTCAGAGTAGACTGGCGCTGCGGCCTTCCCGTCGCCCGAGCGAAAAGCGTGCTGATAACAGAGAGCTCTACTGCCTGATTGGTTGAGACAAACCTAGGGTAGATCTTCCTCGGCCAATCAGAGATGCTCGAACGGAGGCCGGTCACAGGACATTTATTAATGCTGGTGGGTTCTCAAAGATGACAGGATGCTGCCAGAGTGCATGGACGGATGACTGTCGCCGCATTTGCTTTTTACAGATAGGTTTGAAAAAGAGAAAGGGACTCGGGAGTCATAAACTGAGTCAACCCGAGTCCCTATATCTGATCGATAAAGCCTGCCCTAATTGAGATCTGATGGGCCTCAATGCGATTATCACTTGTGATTTGGTTCTGCTCCGATAAAATTTCAGGAGGTCTGCAAATCAGATCAGCCGTATCATCTTTCTCTCCATCTTCCACCTTCTCCAAGTTTTCAAAATGGCACCTGTGGGCAAGCTCTATTGTGTTCCTACTATGCGTCAGACCAAGACGGTGATCAGCACACTTGCATCTTCTCGCTTTTCAATATGACTCATAACAGCCGGTATCCGTTCTATAGATCAGGAGCGTCTGTGCACTGGCAGGTCTTGAACTCGAGATCCCCGAGTATAAACACTTTTCGGACAATCAGCAGCCAGCATTCCTTGCGAAGTTCCCTCATGGAAAGATCCCCGCCTTTGAGGGTGCAAACGGCCTCAACCTCACGGAGGGTGCCCCGATTGCGCGTTATCGTGAGTCATACTGTTTTCCATCTCGATCTTGATCCAGGATACCACAAGGATGAAAAGATCTTCAGTTATCCCTGTCTTAATTATGTGTCGACAGCTTCATGTTATTCTGACATGTCATCCATCTCACTTTCTTGCGGCCTTGCAGCGGAGTTGAATCGTATGTGCTGATGCGCTGATTGCAGTTGCCGGCCTTGCTCCCAACTCTGGCCTTCTCGGCTCGACACCAGAGGACGCCGCACTCGTAGACCAATGGGTGCACTTTGCTGAATCAGAAATTGTCGTACCAACTGAGATGATTATGGGGATGCTTAGGAACTTCGCTCCCTACAGCAAAGGCGTAAGTTAGCTCCTCGCTACCAGTCCATTCACACTCAATGGCCCCACGTAGATTCATACCTTCTTCGCTGAGTTCCAAATGCGCAGCCTCCTTACCCTGGAAACTCATCTGAGCACCCGTACCTTCCTCGTTGGCGATCGCATCACCCTGGCTGACATCACTGTTGCGTCCATTCTGCAGCTTACTGTTTCCATCACCGCAGATGCTGCTGTGCGCGCCAAACTCATCAACACTGTTCGCTTCTTGGAGACTATTGTACATCAGCCCAAATTAGAGGCTATCTTCGGCCCTACTGAATACATCGAGAAGGCGCTGCAGTACGTCCCTCCCAAAAAGGAGAAGGCACCCGCTCCCCCAGCCGCACCCAAAGAGAAGAAGGAGAAGGAGAAGCCAAAGAAAGTCGAGGATGATGATGATGACGATGACAACCTTGTACCCGAGGAGCCCAAGGCGAAGAACCCCTTGGAACTGCTCCCAAAGAGCACGTTCAATCTCGAGGACTGGAAACGTGCCTACAGTAACAAGGACACGCGGGGCCCTGATGGCTCGCTGGAGTGGTTCTACGCCAAGTAAGCATACATACACCTCCTTCCCTGGGTATGCTGACCAAGGCGCTCGCAGCTTCGACAAGGAGGGCTTCTCCGTCTGGCGCGTGGACTTCAAATACAACGAAGAGCTTTCGCTTGTCTTCATGTCCTCAAACCAGGTCGGTGGCTTCTTCAACCGCCTAGAGGCATCGCGCAAGTACCTCTTCGGATCGGTGGGCGTGCTTGGCGAGGCTAACAACTCTATCATCTCTGGCGTCCTCATCCTGCGAGGCCAGGAAGCAAAGGCAGCTGTTGACTGCGCACCAGACTTTGAGAGTTACAACTACACGAAGCTAGATGTGTTTGAGAACCAGGAGGACAAAAGCTTCTTCGAAGGCGCACTTGCATGGGATCTTGAGATCGATGGCAAGAAGTGGGCAGATGGGAAGAACGTGAGTGCCGTTTTTCTTTTGGTCGTGCTTCATTCACCCCCCCGACTTTTCGCTGACGCTTGCGTTACAGTTCAAGTAACCGGAGAGCGTGGGACTTTGGGGAAGCTGCAGTATCGATTCCGTGTATCATCGTGTCTTCTATGTACTAGATCATGTTACTTCATACTTCATACTAAAGGTAGCGACTGCGACACGCCAGTGTCACACTTCTCGATGCCCGTTAGAAGTTCGTCAGAAGCGGAATGAATATCCAGCGACTCGGATGCTTTAGCGTCATATTTCGATTATGAAGCCGTACCGGCGGATGCGAGTCGATGATGATCGAGCATTGAACACGATTCTATGAAACAGCACGAAGCACCGAGTACCCGGAGAAGACCCAGCTGTACTTACTGAAGTGGAGCCTCTGGAGGTCTTGGTTCTCATTTCACAGTAGACGCAGCAGGATGAGTATTTGAACTTTCCTGGTTCGCTTCCTTCAATTATTGACATGCGCTGATGAAACATTTCCCAGCCAGGGCGGTAGACAAGATCATAATTGCTTCTAGAATTGGGTGTACTGCCTTCAGCAAAGATAATTCGTCGGATGTGCCTATTAGCAAGTATTGGCAGTGTCGGCAGTGTCGGGCGCTAGTTGACTCAGATCATCATGCGGAAACAACGAGGCATGCCAGCTGTGTCCCACTGACGATATGTGCTCTTGTATCCAGTATTCCACCATCGAGAATCAAGAACATTAATTTTTATTTAGCGCTACTCATGATCGATCGATCACTGGCAATTTCCGAGTGCAACCTCGGATGAATGTTCGAGACTCAAGCCTCGGTGAGTTTATTTTGAATGCACAACCTATACTAGTCCCCCGTAGTCAGACCTTGAGAGAAGGAAGACTTCCTTCTTTCTCAAGAAGCTGTACATCTGACCATCCCTCCAGCACATTATAAGCCGCGCGTTGTCAATTTCGCGACGTAGCAAGGCACATCGAGTCATGCCTGTCGTTTCTAGCCGGAGAAGACTGAGGTTCGTGAGATGTATTGGCCAGTACTAGTACTGATGTCAATGAGGCAAAAGCAGGTCTCTTCTGAAAGTCACCAGAACATGTTCGACCAATTAAGCTAGCCACGTTCAGTATCAGACTGCCAGGGTTTGTCCTTTCTTTCACCGCAATCAATGTCTCTAAGCATACATAGGCATATTCAGATCTAAAATTGGGAGGCATCACTTATCTTGGTCATTGCTGACAAAGTTCTTAATTATCGAAGACGGTCGTGATCCGCGATGTTGACTTGTCAAGTATACAAACTACTGACGTCGGTCCCTGACAATCCCTGTGCGTTCACTTCCTCTCGCTTCTGAAGTATGCATGCTGCTATGTCTAGGGTCGGCAATGGATTTGAAAGCCACGGAGCACGAAGTAAGCCTTTTATCTTCAAAGACCGAATGTGTTGATTCGCCAGTTACGGAACAGTAGATAACTCAAGTTACGGCTGCGGGGAGCTCGGGGTAATCCCGGTTCTCCGCTGTGAGGAAGCCGACGCGCGGAAAAACTTGTGACATTCCATGGCTGTTGAACCTGGGCAGCAGCTGGTATACGAGCTCGTTGAACGAATTAATACTCACAAGTCCATTACTCTTAGGACCTCTCTATCAATCCCAATTGCTCCCATTGGCTCTCTCTGGCGTGTTCCTTATCAACGTCAAAATAGATATGTCAGTTCCGCTGAGTTCTCTGACTAAACGCAATACAGATATCGAGCTGCTGCTATCGCAGGTCTCGAAGTTAAGCCTTTCAAGTTCGGTGTCACCAACAAGTCACTCGAATTTCTTGACAAATTCCCGCTTGCCAAAATTCCTGCCTTTGAGGGCAAGAGTGGATTCACACTTCTAGAGGGAGCCTCCATTGGACGTTATGGTCAGTGTTGGGCTTCATAGCCCATTATACAGATAATCCTTACCATGCGCCGTTGCGTGATTAGTTGCTTCTCTGGCCCCCGAGTCTGGCCTTTTTGGCAACAGTGTCAAAGATACTGCCCTGGTTGATCAGTGGATTCACTTCGCGGAGCACGAGATCAACGCATACACCGATATAATATGGCAGTTGGTGGAGCGCTTCTTCCCAGAGAAGGCCTACAGTGAAGGTGTTAGTCATTCTTTTTGCGAAGGAACTCGATGCCTCACATCGGTACTTTACAGATCCACAAGTCTATATTTGAGCGTCAAGAGCGCTCACCCAAATTCCTTGAACAGCACATCAACCGCCGCAACTTCCTCGTCACTGACGAGATCACCCTAGAGGACATCATTTTAGCTGCCGTGATCCAACGCGCTGCCCGAGTGACACTCGGTGCTGCTGAACGAGCACTTTACCCGAACATCTTCTCACGCTATGCGAAGGTGGCAGCTGATCTTCGTATTAAGGATATCTTCGGTACGGTGGACTTTGTTGAAGTGCCCCTAGCACCCAAGAAAGTTGAGTAGCCTCTTGTGTATTATTATATGGGGAAGAGTGGAAATGATTAAAGGATATACTATACCTCTCCGTCGAATCAGGTGCCGGCATGGCTTACATGTAAGGTATATGTATTTTTCAAAGGTCTAGACTTAAATGTGGGGACACTGTCCCTTTGAGCCATGTAGACACCATGGTCAAGGTCAAGTACGGCTGACAACACTTGCAACCCTCCCATTTGCCACTTTCTCGACATCCCGGCAAGTAAGACTGTACCTAGTTGACCTCCCGATCGTCCCTCCCGATTCAACAATCTCCGCAGCCGTCTTATGAAGCATGTGACGATTGACGATCCGCGAGTGCGATCCATCTGGAAGAAGCAGGAAACCATCGCCGACGAACATGTCGGCTTCGACCTCGTCTATGCCATGCAGATGCATAGTGTAAAGTTCTCCTGTCGTGACCACGACACTGCGAGGCTCCAAGAATAATGACAATACAGGCGCTGGATTGACGCTATGTCCAATTGATCTAGAGTCGACATTCAAACTGTCATGATCCTTATACCGATAGTAATGGAAGGTAGCATGCGATCCTAGGGATATAGTTGCGACCACTGGGTGATATGAGGGACCATCTTCGTGGGGCTTAGAATTGCACATGAGTAAACGGTTAAACAGAGTATTTCGGATCGTACCATGATGCCTTGTCCTGGATGGTACTTTAACGACATAAGATCAGGGACAAGTTATCCGTGAGTGCAATGATCTCACTTCGTTCAGTATGACGTGATTGGGCCCTCTGTGTGTGGACTGATTGAAGGCCCCCAGGGATCTGAGACGTCCCAGAACATTAGGACTATCATCGGACCGGACGGTTGAGATAGGCTACCCAAATCTTGATAAACTACTCACAAGTCATTCAAGAATACAGGAAAGTCCTGGCGAAACAGAATGTTCTTCTGGAGAACTTCACCCCCTGTATGGAACAAATGAATCTGCGTGTGAGGGATCTCAACCAGGAAGGTGAGTCTACTCACCCCATAATTGCAGTCTAAACGAGAATAACGAATCAGCCTCCGGATTGGCGCGCACGCACCGATAGTATATATGACAAACCTACGATTATTCAACATCTTCCATTTCTGCTTTGGGGAATCTTCTATCTAACGAGTAGCTAGTAAGGAACGCCTGATAGATCGACTAGTCCAACTACAACATACCTTCCGCAGTAAATACTGTTCTTCATCTTCAGAGATGAAGTTTGGGATATAGTATATGGCTGAAGTTCCTTGCAGGTGGTGTTGAGCAAGGAGGTCCATCTCGGTCATACCTGAACCAAGAAGCAGTGGCTTGGGAAGACTTTGTTACGTCATGTATTTGCTACAGTATCACTTCTACATGTAGCAACGTCAAATATGGTGCCGCGGTAGGTACAAGTTTTTCTCAAATTCACTTCACATACCATTTACGCTATAGACTGAGAATACCACTCCGACTACGTCCTTGAGCGAAGGGATATGCCTTATTCAGGTTAGTCAGGCCATACGTGGCTCCACTCCTCCGTGGAGTATAAGCCAAGCTGGTCCTTGTATTGCAGTTACTACGCTACCCGTAAGTGCCATCTACTTCAGTTTGCCCGTCTGACGATTCTTGGTTACTATTCTCTCTGTTTGTGACGAGGTCCTTTGCGAGCCCGGAGACACGCATATCTCCGTCAATGAACATCTATGGACTGGCTGGATGTTGAGGTGTTCGGGTGGCTACTGCTTCCACGATCCGTTCTCACCGCACCTCGTCAGAAAATAGTCGTGGTGGTAAAACTGTATGGTTTACATGATCGTGTATTTTTCATGGTCGACATAGGCTTCACAGCACCCCACTTCCAGTTCTTCACTTATACGGGATCATATATTAAGTACTGGCCAGCGAAACATAGCTATATCCCATGGTATGCAGAGACGCTAACTGAGAGAGCTACGGCTAATTTGCCTTGGCAGCGAGGCCGAAGTGAATCTCGATCCTGGAGACTGTCATGATCTCTGCACAACTGTCATTATTACAGTTCCGTGCAAATCATTGCCGTACTCAGGAGGAAATCCTCCAACATCGGACCTTGCAGACGCCTTAGATCTTTGTTTCGCGTTCATTCTTGACGTGTTCAATCAACCATAAGTTGAGTACATGCTCTATCAGAAGTGTAGCTTTGACTGAAAGGCAGTAGAAAACACTTGCATGAAGGAGAGGAGTAACAGCCAGTGAGTCGAAGTAGGGATCCTTCGAATTACCAGACCCCTATGAAGTTCATCGAGGACCTATGACAACCGTGACAGTTACGGCACAAGACAAGCAACGAGATACAGGTCCTCGAGACCCTGAGCGAGACTCCGACGGAAGCTCATGCGCATGTAGGAGGCCCAATGTCGGCGTTCCGTTTGATGCGACTATCGCAACCCACAAGAAACTCAAGCTCGTGAGGATTATGCTTAGTTTGGGGAGTCGCACTACGACACCAGGTTGCAACCAGGTTGTCATTGCTTTCGCACGCAGCTGTAAGCGCCGAGTAAGTATCTAGTACCGAGCGGTCAAATTTGCGATCGACGGGCGTATCAAGATCTCTTTCTCATTGATTGGTGCTGTCACTGCCGTGACAATGAATATGAATGGCCAACGATACAATGTCGTGGTTTAAACGTGTCAGTTAGAACCTCCTGGGTGAACTTCCCGCTCCAGATTACGAGGTGCGGTAATATATAATGGATGCCGTGACTATTCTTCCGAGATGATCGTGCTTTATAATGATGCTTTTAAGGCGACGACGCCAGACAGTGGGTAACATAGAACCGAAAGTAAATTCAAATAGACAAAATGCTTGATCGAATACTATAAACAGGAGGCTGCGCGCATATTACTCAGGTGTAGCCTATGTATATCTGATAGTCCAGGTCAAAGTGATGGTGACTTTCCTTCAGGGTCCCTTTCATTGTAAGAAGCGGGATTGGCCGGCAGAACGTTCTGCGACTCGCGAGCAAATATATAGCTATGAAACGAGAACTGGGTGAGGCGAACAAACGCAACCTGCAAGCAGTCTAGCGATTTGCCTATTTTTGCTGTTCCGACCCACTGGAAAAAGCCATTAGGGGGATTCTATCTTAGATGAGACAAATCACATACACAGGGGTATAGACACAAGGATAGCCTCGACGGTTGCAGTTACCACAACTAGGTCGACTGCCATCACATTTTAGTTTGCGACCTTGACAAAGGAGTTCTCAGTATGCGTACTTCTACTTTATATCACAAAGAGCACCACCTCTGCAAAACTGACAAGCCATGGCTGTCCTACGCGGTACCCGTGGGCTTGAGTCGTCATCCATAGGGTTGTAAATATATTGAGGCTGAGGAGCGTCAAACAGGAACTGCTGCACAAATTGTGGGGACGTACATGTGAGGACATTAGGGCAGTATTATCGTTTAACGAAGAGCAAGGTCTACTAGAAGCAGAAAAGGGGAACGATGCAGGGAGGAGGGGCAGGAATGACTGGTGCAATTTATGACAATCCCTGGCCAATTTAACCCAGAGCCAGCCTCGTATAAGTCGGGTAAATACGTATTTCCAGCTGTATAGCCCGTATAGCCAAAACCCGCTTCGGCGCTGTTATTTTAAATATCACGCTAGTATGAAAACTCAGACGCTACATCGGGAAGAGATAGCGGGTGGCCCAAGATCTTTGACCACGCTATCGTGAGCTGCCCCAAAACGCCACGTGCCAACAAGGACATACATGTGTCCTGTTCCAGGCTGTTTTAAACGAAGCTTCAATCAACCAATCAAGTGGTGGTGGTCCGACCAAGTGGCAAAAGGCCATGTCCCAGAGGTAGACTGCTTATCAAACCGATCAAGCCACAAAAGCCGAGGGTGCTCTCCACTGGCACGCCGAATCCCTGCAAGCCACGGAGAGGGTTGTGGTGTATCTATATCCGAGATTAAAGAAACTGCCGAGTTCGTCGAATACATACCGTTCGAAGACAATGTGAGTATATTTCAACAAGCGATCTGAGATTGGTCAATTAGAGACATGCCGTAATGGAAAGGGTCTACAGTACACGAAGCACTGGCAGCCACCACGGCTCTTCCTTTGCAGCCAACACGTTACTCGATTTAACTCAGCTCCGGTACCGGTTGACACGATTCAGGCTACTAATCGCGAAACGCGAGACTACGCGCAAACACCAGTCGTCTTTCCTTCGTCACCCACAATGTTTTCTGAAACACCGGTAACGTGTTGTTTAAAACGAGTGTCCGGCGATGAAATTGACACATCATGGGATTCACACTTCCAAGACAAGGACTAGTATATCATATATCTGCCCGGTCATCAATATCTAGCATTTATAGACGCTTGTCGGCACCCGACCCGTCGATGGTATCAATCTCTGCGGAAGCTGGAATTTGATCGATGACTAAACTAGTATGGCTAATAGTGAGTCCAACATCGACGTCTCTGGAATGAATGAAGTTCTCTTGCCCAAATTCAGGAAAGTAAAAGAAGATCCGTAAGTGTACTAAGCGGTAGTGCTCATCACATACCATCTTATGATTAGCTGTAATCAAGGTACGAATAGAACCAAGCTCCATCTGGGAAGACTTTTCATCACAAGACGACACCATTATGTAGTCATAATGCATATCATGGACCATTTCCTCTTCTAGATGCCGATTACGGAGGCATTGGTGCGGCTCTCAGGGGCTGTGGTATTGTGCGAACGACAAACTACATCCCTGAGCGCTGAGCCACAATGGCTAAGAAGCACCTACGAGAATCGAGAGGCACATCTACGCCCTAAGCCAAAACAATCGAGGCGCTCGGGCTTCAAGAAGTTCACGTACACCCCAAAGAGTGCGGGGAAGTGTACATGATGAGTACTACTCTTGATTCTGATGGCGCTATGGCCAGCATCTTGATAAACTGCAAACTCCGCCATCACAGTAAAGACGGAGCCGAATCTATTGGGGTTAGCTCCTACACAGTCCTGAGCAAGTCCCGAGAGTATAGCCTGGTATGGTCCGTTATTCTGCTGTCGTGTGTATCGTACGTGTAACTAAGCCGAAAGTACGTTTGCGACTCGGATATCATTATAGGCGATTATAGGCCATGCGTTGGAAGTAGCAAATCCTTCCCCAAGCTGACATCAGGTGTATTTTGTCATCGATAATTATAACCTTCTGTGGGACTAATCCACCTTTACTCCCCCCTCCTAGTAGCCCGAGTCCGACTATTCGCGCAGTAGGGTGCAGTAGGGTCCTCAGCGCTCAGCGTTCACATCCCATACTACGGTAATTGCGCGCTTGTCTCGATCTGTTCCGCTGGTCATTCGACGTATACGAACAAACGAAAAAAGCCGTTCCCCATGCCTTTCTTTGCCTTGAAGCCGCTGGCAATGATTTCGGCCCCGCTGGGTCCGCGGTGTGAAGATTTCGCAATTCATCTGATCCACGCGACAATCTGATAAAAACGCTCACGACGAGATCGTCCGCTTTTGTATGCGGGGCAAGTACATGAAATGCTCCCCGCGGGATCGGGTCAATCCATACACCAGACAAGATGCTCATTCCATGGATCATCTAACACAGACTAACGGCCAACAAGAAGGCTTGTTTTTTTATAGATAAACTGCTCCCCACAGTACAACTTTCACGAGCGCTACTACGGGACGCACTCCGTCTAGAGCGGGAACAAATATTTCTTTCTCTTTTCTCGGCATCGAAGATTTAATGACGGGATTACGAGTACTATCTCAAGATGGGACCATGGCCATGGATGCAACCTCAACCGCCGAGAAAGACGCGTATCCGCTGGAACGCATCATATAATCTCGGGTCGCTGGATGTTCTGTTGTTGCCAATCTATTGTTGGAGTATGAGATCAAAAATCAAATTTCCATAGAGCGCAACCAATCGTGGCTTGCCCACAATTATCATGATTCATTGAAGTTGTCGTAATGGGATGTCATAAATCGGAATCAGGTACAGTACTGAGTGAAGTCTTTATCAGATAGTAAGTATATACAAAACTGCAATGACTTCAGTGTATCCTATTAGTGACGAAAAGGTGACAACGAAGGTGTGAAGATGAGGTTGGAGTGAGTCAAATGCGACCAAGAAGAGGGCGTTTCAGAAATCCATTAGTGCGACGTACTTACTAACCACCTGTGTAGCGAAAAAAATCAAGAAGATAAATAGATTCATGCCTTGTGAGGGGGGCGGCGGAGATATTGCGAGTTAGATAAGGTAGGAATGACTCGGAGTCGGAGCAGAATTGTCGCGGGCCAAGGACGCAGTGAATGTGCATTACTCTGCGCCGGGAGCGATCAGGCTCTGATTCGCCACCCGTCGCCTTTTCTGCGCTCTCGACCAACACCCCCGAATGCCTCTCGTACGACAAGCCATAAAGCGGTGGATGAAACCGAGTCCTTGATTTCTTCAGCTGTGAGTGTGAACTCGCCCGGATTGGAGACAGTTCGGTTGACGCCCTGGGCGGTAATTACACGGCGGTGTACCGCAAGGTGCTCAACTTCAATGTCTGGCAACGGAAAGGGGACTTTCAAGAGTCCAACGACTTTGGGATGGTGTGGGGTCGGTAAAAGTGTGGCAACTTTTAGTCGCACGACCTGGTCTCCCTGCTCTGCGGAGTCCTGCACCGGTGGCGGATGACCTACGCGTCGCAACGTGAGTGTACACGTCCAAGGTGTCTCTGAATCTTCGGGTTCGCTGTCATCACCAGAATCGTCCGCACGGTGGGCGCTACTTTCAATACTGGTGCTAGCCTCCGAGCTTGCGCTGTGATGCGAGAACCTTGATTGACCGTGAATTGTTGGCGAGGCATCGAGACCTGATGGGAGGTCGCGCGAACGAGACGGCGATTTGTGGACCGACTTTGACGATGGAGGTTCAGATGTCGCAACTGCGCTTCCGAGGCGGCTGACACTCCCGGTCTCGGGGGCTTGTGGCGGTAATCTCCTATCAGCACGGGACTTCCTACCCCGCTCCTTCTCCTTTTTCCGTCCTCGCGACCACTCAAAACGGACCTCCACTTGCGGAATACTTGCTCCAGCGAGATCCCCGCGCCCACTTACACTTAATTTGCCCTTCATTCCGTTCAAAAGGCCCATCTCTGTGCCCTTCAGCCATTTGCGGACAACCCAAACATACTTTGTGGGCCGGCCTTTGGGTGGGGATATTGGGGGATAAAGGGAAGGTTGAATACCAAGGACGGGAGGACAAAGTGTGGGAGTGGACGAAATTCCTGACAACGGGGTGGATAGGAGATTATCATTAGACCGAGGTGCATCGACAACTTGAGAACTCGAAGGGGGTATATCATGCGATCGGCGAGACGAGAGACGAGATATGTTCAGCAAACCCTGCACCTCGGCAGACGGTCGGGGAGAAGTGTCTTTCTTCTTGAACATCTTGGTGAACAGCTTTTTAGCGCCTCCGCGCTGGGGCTGTGCGTTACTGGTTATAGTTTCTTCGGGGGTAGCGGGGGTAAAGGTAAAGCTGGGTTTACGAGGGATATCTGTGTGTGAAGAAGGCGAAAGGGCGGCGGTGGAAAAATCGGGCGTAACAGGCCTGCTGCTTGATGAGTGGGTGCGTGGTCGAGGAAACAAGCCTAGTTCTCGTTTGGAATCATCAACGCTAGTACGTGCGCTGCTACTGGGTGGTAAAGCACCTAGCAACGCAGCATTACCCCAGACTTCAATAGGTTCGAGGACGGCCAGACCAAGTATTTCCAATCCCTTCTTTGCGAACTTAGCCACTTTGGCATCAGTGCCAGCATCCACGATTACATTGGTCAGGACATTGTGAGCTTGAAGATTATAAAGTGGAATAATCATGCGACGTCCTGAGCTCGTAGTTGACACTGATGACGAAGCAAATGATGATACAGAGGTTGCAGAGGTGTAACCTGACGTCGTAGACGTCTCTGATAGAGCGGAAGGAGACCTTCGAAGATCAGTGGAACTAGTGGTGGAGTCAGGTATATCTGGGGCCGACTGGTCGAGAGCCTGGATAGTGGCATGGGGTCGATCATTACGAGATTGTGGGGGTACAAGTTGAACCTGGAGGTTGAGTGGGTGGTTTGATTTACTCGGTGGAGGTCGTACGATGACGAAGGTCTGAACATATTGTTGAGCCCTTCAGATTCGACCAGAACGATATGAGACGCGCCTCATTTACAAGTTTCTCCCTCTTGTCTTTTTTCTTTAACTTGGAGTCACCAGAAGTGCAGTCCACTGGCTGCTGATAAGCACTTGGCTCTACTGGAGTGTCTTGATTTGGAGTGGAAAATGATTGGTGCGACCGTTGCTCATGGTTTGGTTGGAGAACAGAAGGTAAAAAGGAGGAGAAGCTGGTGAACATGACTGTCGTTTACGAATAAGGGCGAACCCGGAACGCTCAAAGGACCATCAAGGATCAGTAGGAAGAGGGTCTCCAATTTACTGCTACGTACGGTTATGTACTTCATACTCCGGCACTGCGGCTGCTGCGACAAATACTCACCACGTAATAATTCAAGTCCAACAACTGTGTCCGCAAAATCATGCCGACGGGTTTTGCAAGTGTAGATTTCTCGTTGCGAAGGGAAGATGTCAGCCCCGGCGAGCTCGATAAAGACCTAGGCCTAGGTTTTTTTTAATACACACACGCTTCTTGCCAAGACCGTTGGCGAAACTCTCAGGAGAAGAGGGGAAACAAAATGCTACTATTCTAGCACAAATGCGATAGTCGAGATATTATAAGTAGTCAAGACTGTCGTCCCTTGACCGTTACGCCAAAAGGCAGTGATAATGAAAGCTCACCCTTCATTATCTCGGACAGTATTTACGCTGATTATGGGAACTCAGGTAAGCCAACGGGCTTACAGATATCATGAGCTGCAAACCCTAAGAAAGTACAACACACCGAGCGAGTCTCGGATACTCCGTCGGGAGACATTAACAGGTGGTCCAGTGGATGAATACTTATACGAGAGTGGTAGTTAGCGTGTGCGTGGCATCGCTGTGGCGGAGGTATTCGTTGTGTAGGTCGGCGTGGCTTGGCAAGTTGGAGGTAAGGCGCTAGTATCAACACTGGCAGATACAATTGAATGGAACACGTCAAACCCCTGGCCTTGATGACGTCAAACGGGGTTCGGAGAACGTATTCGACTTATCAGGTTTAAAAATAGAGAAACATATTAGAACCGTGAATGCACAGTGAACAGCTCACACTCCGGACTGTATATCTCGTTGGCAAAAAGGACCGCCATCACTCGGTTTCAACGAGCCGCCACGAACGATGAGATGCAGGTCATGCGCTTGGCCGATACCCTTACCCATACTAATAGACGTTGAGTAATACCTGTACCTCCGCTGCAGACTGGCCAGCGTCGACCGAGTCGTTGCATCCAGTCATAGGCCTAAGCAGACCTTGGACGCTCATTCCTTCTATCCTAAGGTTATGCCAAGTTCTCCAGAGGAGATTGGAAAGTACTCACCTTGCCGGATGTTGCCGCTCAAATAGCCCAAACCAGCCGTCCGATCTAACTGTGAACTCGCCTTGCTAGTCATTGATTACTTCCGGTCTATGCATCTTGGCGAAACGCAACTGGTTCCTCGGGTAACACGTTCTTACCACTGCGGGTGTACAAAAGTCCTGAGGTTACAACGCATTCGCTCCGGAAGCGCGGGGTACTCAATTCGTGAGTGTCTGATGGGATGTGTCAAATGACATTGTTCCCAGCAGCAGAGGACTTTCTGATGATGGTCTCCTCTACAAGAACTGCGGGATCAGACAAGTCACCATCCGTAAGTGGGCGTTGATCCGTGACTCACCAAGTTTTTCATTTTCTCCCATGCGAAGGAGAGGCGTGATGCCAGTATCCACCTAAGCCAGGAAGGCTAGGTAATCCCATCATCGACGTTTCGATAGAAGTGCGTGCCTAGAAACAATTCCGAACACGCAGCAGCCAAGGCGCTGCAGGACTCACGTCTTCAATCAAAACTACACCGTCTTCCTGTCGTGGGTTCACCCGCAGCTCGCAGCCTGCCTCTCGCAGCCCGAAACAGACATGTCAGGGAACCCGGCGGTAGGCACCGTGCGATTTGCAAAAAGGTACCCGAGACGTTCCAAATCTACTGGCCAGGCGATGCCCGACGCCGAGTCGAAATTGACTAGTCATTGCCTAGCATTGCCTCCTAATTTTGGTTCCCGTTCGCTGACAAAGACCCGCGCCTCGGGCTATTTCCCGAGCCGTTCGCTGCCGTTCGTGATGGAAATATCTTGCAAGCTGACAGTCTGATAGTGAACGTGAACAAAAGTACCAGAAAGTACCCCGCCAAGACAAAGACAAACGTAACAGTTCTAGAAGGGCACATAGGGGGTTAGAATCACTAAAACCTTACAAAGCGCCGTGCAAATCGACTCTAGTACGACTGTTGCTAGCTATTTCAGGACATGGTTGTGTATGTTGTCATTAGGCCCGTCGAGAAGACCTTGAACGTGCTGCGCCCAGTCGTACGCGGGGCAGTTGTTGGGTATCTAGGTGCAGCCATAGGTGATGCAGTGCTGATAAGGATTAGATATTCCAGAAAAGCCATGCTGAGCACTTTAACAATCCAGATCGCATGGTAGGTTCTGCGTGACTAGAAGATAAGAACCGTGGGCATCTTTGCACGACTCCATTAAATTGCTCACTCGTGCCCATAACAATGCCATACATATTTGCATGGCGCATAGTGCAGGGCATCAGCACCGGCAAGAGCACTGCTCCAGATGATCAGTCACGACACAATAAATACCTGGAAGTGGACGTGCCGGGCCAGACATAGTTTGCCTTGAACTGCAACATTAACTCTAAGCTAATTTAGCCAGTTGGCATTCGCAAAATGCGGATGGCTAGATGCAGAAATTACGCACTAGTGTAGAAATCTGAGTGTAAAGGGGATCCCATAGAGGAGGCTCTCTTTCCAGGCGTCTGTGTGTTCACTGTGTCCTTGAATATTCTGCTAGAGTGAGGCCCGAGGGTGATTAAAAGTGACCGCTGAACATCAGTTCCAGTAAACTTCTCCACATGGAGGCGGCCCATCTACAAGCCTAGAGTAAAACCACAAGTCCAAATAGAATCGTGCAAGGATCTGAATGGAATCCAGACAGCAAGGCATGATGTTGAAGAAAAATGTTGATAAACGATAAAGCAAGACCAGCCGACACCGTGTGGAAATAGATAATATGGATTCACCGTCCTCGAGGATATAAAAAAGCGGCAGGCCATGGCAAAAATGAGGGATAAAATAAAGTGGTGACGTGCGTTTTACGACGGAGGAGCCAGCCTGGACAGAAGGTAGGGCGAAAGTCCCCTTATTCCCTTCAGTTCTTAACCATTCTTCGTCCTGACCCAGGATCACACCATCATCTACTATCCCTGCATCTTCGTCGTCTGCATCAACCAGGAACTCGGTAGCGGATGGACCGTCGTCCTCGGAAAGGCGAATTTGGCCTTCCGTCGTCGTCCATGTTTGTAGCCTGTGTCTGGATAAGTCCTGAGTTATGTTACGCGGACAATGAACGCACTGGTGGGATACAACTGCACGCAAGGCACTTGCGCGACGCCAGAGCAAGTAAAGCAAGCACAATGTGAAAGTGGTAAAGATGAATATTAAGCCGAAATTTCCCAAAGGCTGTGGCTTATTGCCTTCGCGAGGTTCTATTTGAGGAAGCGAAATTAGTAGGGAGACATGGAAGTCTGATTATGTTGACCTCCAGGTGTAACGACTGGTGCCATCGTTCAAGCAGAAACAAAAACAAACTCAGTTCTCCAAACTAAACTTGACAGGATAGGAGGAAGTCAAGGAATAATTAATAATTAATAAGCACCCAGCTACTCCCACCATGGACAGCACGAGAACATCCCTGAAACCGCCCCTCCGGCGAAAAAAGTCCGGCGCGCACTACGGCAAGAACGGCGGAGAACGGCGGCAAAGGCTGGTGGCTAACAGACGGCATGTCGGAGATTGAAAATACACCTGCGTTCAGCCAGCACTAACGCCTGTGCCCAACTGCAGCACTAACTGCTCACCACTTGCTGGGCAGGGACTTGAACGTCCTCCATAACAATCTATCCCACAGTTTTCAACTATGATACCATGTTGCTTGTATTCTTCAGTCGCACCGCCCACCATATCCAAAACCCTAGCAAGCCATGAGTTACTGGCGACCCTCTCCTTTGAAGATGTCCTTGCATTCACTTCACGTGCGTCAGCTCTCAAGCGTGATATCATGCTTCCGCAACTTCAGACGATCTCAGGCAATGTCCCACCTGACATCCTGCCACCTTCAATCTGTGAGTTCCTGCAACTGTCAACTGGCTTAACCAGGGATACTGTTGCAGCATGTTGGCATGCATTCAAGGAGATTGTATGGGGCATGCCTAGCCGTAACGAGTTAGCTGCACAGCACGAGCGAGCATTTCGTGAGCATGGACAATGACTTGGTTTGAGTGAGTTTTTGTATTGTCCCTGACCATCACATATCTGAGATGATATAGCGTCTATCTCACTCTATCCTCCACATACCCACTGTACACAATCCAACTGCTCGACCGCCCAGTCACAAACACCACTCAAAAAGGCTGATTCTCGTCAGGTCGTGCTACATACACTCCACGGTGCCATCCCTGCACGGTCGGTTCATCTCATATGTCGTACTTGCAACACCGTATACGAGAACAACTTCTGTATCGCTGAACGTAGATGATGGTACTATGGTGGGGTCCCAGAATACATCCAGGTGGCTGACCACCATTTTGTTGACCGGCGTGTTACCAAGCTATGGGTGGAACTCCACCTCAAGGGTCAGTAAGTATCTGCTTTGCTCTCAGACTGTATCTTACTTTATTGTATAGCGTATCTGCGCAGGCTTGCGCCAACATTTATGACAGTGCTTTGTCAATGAGGGATGAGAATCAGCTCCAGGATGCAGGCTGGCAGTTTGGGTTTAAGCTGAAGAACGAGCACATCTGGGACACGTTCATCATACTCGCACTCACCGAGGACTGTGATCGGTGTGGAGTGCTGCTTGATGTACCGAACGATGGTGCTCAAACACACCGATTCCCTGCAGCTATGCAAGCCCGTAACGAGCGCATTGTCTATGAAGGGCAGCCAGAACTACGACACTACTGCGACACCTGCATGTGGACTTACTGGAATGACGACGGTAGTGCACGGAAAGTGCAGGTCGTTGTTACAGATGGCTTGTCCATGGGCCGCCCATGCTGTAATGTGTTCCAATGCCGCAACCCACTTTCCAATAACCGGTCACGATTCTGCTGGCAACATCTCAATGAAGGTCTCGACAACATCTGTGCTGTCGTCGATTGCGATATGCCTGTATTACCGGGATGGAAGGCATGCACACTCCCAGCCCACCAGGAGATGGAATGCCTTCATGGTGAGAAAATGCGCACCAACTTCCAAGCCACAAAACGCCTCCAGAAGATGCATGCTGCACAACCAAATGATGCCATGGTTGCACAGCAGTAGCCTTGGGCTTGCAGATGACAGTTGCTACTATTACAACACCACGCATGAATGCTGGAGAAAGATCATTGCGGGTCATGTCCTCACCCTCACTCAGCCCTACGTTTACCTCAAGAATCTCAACGTGAAAGTTATGCTCGACTTTGACATCTACATTCAATGACGGCCACAAAAGCAAAGGCTCGCCCTACCTTACTATCCTCGCTCTCTGCAACGCATCAAGTGAGAGGTGTCTCTGGACGTCATCAGCATTTCGTCGGATTCAGACACAGGTGGCAGTGAGACGAGTTCTCGAGGCTTATCATATGATCATCCCATTACTATGACTACCTAGACGGTCTTTACACATTGCACGTTTTACCTTAGTTCATTTTACCTTATCACCTCGTGAATGTTGTATCTTATCGTCCTGTGAATGTATGCACCCCATTGAACGGTCACCTGCATGCGCCTCAAGATGTGACCACTTAGAGAGACATTTTGGTGTATTGGGGAGACACTTTGGCACTATGCTCGATGACGTGGTAAACATTACAATGGCGAAATAAAAGTATAGTAAAATAATTAAGGGTGAAATGATATGAAAAATACAAGAGAGGTATATCATACAGAATAAAAACATAATTACTTGAGGGGGACTCGGGCAGCCAGCTTGCTCCAATGGCCAGCATCAGTGCGTCCAGCAGCCTCGGCATCTTCGAGCAAGCCTTCCTCAGATGCACGAAGCCAGCGTTTTTTGCATCGTGGTAGGTAGAAGCTGCGAATGGCAGATGGAAAACCGCTTGAAAGTGATCTTCCAAACGTCGGTACTGTTCCTTCATCTCTGCACTTTCGATCTGCCACAAACCTTCAGACATGTCGATAGTGTACATGAATGTGGGCCACCGTGTCGAAGTTGATGCACATTTGTTGGGGGGTCCAACGCTAGTAGTACTTGCGACCTGTGATGGAGTAGATCGGGCTCGGTTAGACGAAAAGGAAAGATGTGGAGCCTTGGATGGCGAAGGAGAATCGAAGTCCTCGTCGTCAGTATTGTGATGTTCGAACCTCTTTCATTGGACCAGTGACGTGATGCTAGAACTAAAGTCCGAATCGGAATCGTTTGATGGTGTTTGACTTGGAGTAAAGCTCAGGCTGGCAGCCGGTGAGGGAACAGATGAGTGCCAGTGAACTGCGGCCGGCGAGGGAATGGATGAGCGCCAGTGAACTGGCTGTTGAGAATCAGACAATGTAGCAAGACTGGTGTCGATATCGGATCCATTGTCAGTGCTACTACGATAGTGGTGTCTCCCTGGCCTCGGTGTCAGTGAAGGAGAGTCCTTGGCGACATCAAGTCCTGATGTCTTCGTCGTTTCGTGGACGGCTCGTCACTTGGAAGTCAGGTTTCGGAAGTTGCGCCCGGTTGGCTGAACATAGTCCTGTAAATAGTCTTGGAACCCTTTACAGTCAACTCCTCATCTGCAAATAAACAGCTGGCTATCAGTCGCAACTTCAAGGGGGCGGTTCAAATCATCTTGAACTCAGCGTCGAAGCTTTGGATCATAATAGTCAACTGGTCCAAGGTGCGTGCTGAGAGCTTGTAGGGTGTCCGGATATTCGGCGAGTGAACACACAGTAGAGCGCTTGTAGACCGTGACCGAAACAGGTTCAACGCCATTCTAGGCGAAAGTGTGAGCAACATTCAAGAATGATGACAGAAGATGCACCTGGTCCCAGTAGTTGACAAGAAAACGACCCTTGAGATGTTGCTCGTGAGCCTTCTTGGCTTCAGTGCATTGTTGAAAGTCAGTCTTCAGGAACTCGCGCCTAGTGTGGGTCACTAGCCAAGAGTCGTTGAGCTGTGTTGACAACCTAGGGTCCAGTGCCCTCCCGGCTTTGGAGATCATACCGCCAGGTGCTGCTCGAGTTTTCCCCTTCTTAGACTTTGTAGTTGTAGTCTGTGCTTGAGCCAGAGGCGGAGGCTGCATGTCGGCAATAGAACAAGCGAGCACTGCTTCAAGTTGTAAGTCTTGCGTTTGAGCTGGAGGCAGAGGCTGCTGCTGGTCAGCAATAGATTGCGCGACCGCTGCTTCAAGTTGTAGGTCTTGCTCCTCGCGGTCAACATCAGACTGGTAGTAATATTCGTCAAAGCCACTTGACAGATCTGCAGGAGCCGTGCGGTACAAGAAGTGGTCAAGGACATCAGTTGATGTGGCTGACCAGGATGGTGGCAGCAGATGTGCAGATGGCGGCGGTTGAGATGGTGGCGGCAATTGAGATGGCGGCAGTGGATGTGCAGATGGCAGTGGTTGAGATGGTGGAGGCGGTGCATGTGCAGATGGCACTGGTGTAGATGGGAAGCCATGGGAAAAGCAGCCGCCAGTAGAAATACAGTGCGATTTGCACATGTGGTTAGGGCATGCAGCTTTTACCGTTTTGATCGCACAGAAAGACGACTGGCAGCCTTTTGGTTTCATGGGAGCATGTCCACCTGCAGGAGATGGCGCAACCACGACCTCACATTGAGTGAGCGGTGGCAAGTGCTCTTCTTGGACCCAGTGAGGAGGGATCCACCAGTACTTGTCGCTGTGAACCGTTGGGTTGATACACTGCCAAAGGATGAACCACGAGTCAGCTAGTAACATATAGAACAAACTCACCAGTAAGTATGCCTTCCCATCATTGATACCGCCCTGCTTGAACTTTACTGGCAGAGATTGCCCACACCCAGGCTTTGGACAGTGACTGTTGGAAGGCGGTAGCTGAGAGTGGTCCATACCACTGGAATGATAAGATTAGTGATAAGATTAGCACGCATCCTAGCCTCTAGGTGATTTTAAAGTCCGCCAAAGTCCGCCACCTAGCCGTCCTTTTTTTTTTTTTGCCGCCGGACTGCGGATATATCCGCCGTAGCGCCGTACTCTGCGCCGTACGTTTCTACGCCGGTGGGGCGGTTTCAGTGACCTTTTCGACAGCACCCTACTCAAGATAGCGCTTATGCCAACCAAACATCATGTGATTACATAAACATCTATACATACACCACCATTGGAAAATCGACATACCAAGCATCTTGAGGTCATCGTTTAATTTAGCTGTGTAGAAATTGGAATATCTGTTGAACAACGACAACTCCCATATATCTCGCTCTCAGGTTCTCTGTTTCCATCTCCTCCTAGATCCCGTGATCAGCCTGCCCCGGAAGACTGAGGGATTGACACTGTTAAGATTTTTCATCATATTAGAAAGCTACCGGGAAGTGCCTACGACTGATGTTCTGTTCACGGGCTAGTGACATGTTCGAGGTGTCTGGCCCCTGGCGTCCTCCGCGTGACTTCCTGAGGCTCCCTATTGTCGTCACCTTAAGTTTACCATATGGAGTCGCTAGATGACACCATCTAAGAGAATTCGTTGTAAAGGGATAATCTGATTCATCAAACACTTACCGTCATGCCAAGGGTTTCGTGAAATGAACCCTATGTGCAGTTTCTCGGAGCACAGGCTGAACATGTGGGCGCGAATAAGACACCGGCCAAGGAGGTCCAAGGTATCCATATAAGTAAGCATGTAGATTTAGGAAGTCGGCAGGAAATCATTAAACACTGGTATACATGCAAAAATATGCAAGCATGTGGGCGGCGTGCTGTAAATACATAAGTAGGTAGGCATCAGTAGTAGTAATACATACATCGTACAAATCTTATCGTATGGTAGACCTCAAGGTCATGTCACTGCCCTCATTTTTTTCCTTGTCATCTGGCGCGGACCAGACCCTAAACATCTTAATGGTCTCCTCCACGGGACTGACAGTGAATACAGAACATCCGTCGGGGCCAATACAAGAGTGACCCACAGGAGCGGAGTGTGCTTTGACGTTGACAATTCGTTGGCAGGAAGGGTACGAATGAACCACGAGCGAGTTTTCTACACTTGGAGCTGATACTTGGGTCACCGAGTGTACGTTATTTTGAGATACAGACCACGAGGAACCGTGGGTGCTTAAGAGCTCCTTGCAGTGCGGGGACCAGTGCAAAGACGTGATAGTTGTCTGTAAGGAGATGGTATGCAGTGGGTCAGAGGATGGGACCATCTTGCCGGTATTCCAAATGTGTATTTCACCGTCTGGGGAACCACCTCCAGTTGCTAGTAGGCCGTGCTGCCACGGACTCCACGATAAAGCCTTGAAAGAAAAAGAACAATGTGATTACTTCTGGGGAATAATCATGCGACATACCTTGACCGGACCCTTGTGTTTCATGCGAATATTTTTGTCGCCGTTCGTAAGAAGATCATTGGCTCTATGGTCCCATACGTGGACAACACCACTGTCATCTCCTGTGGCCAGATGACGCCCGTCAACTGACCATTTCACGCCGTGTACTCGTCGTTTATGGCCCGTAATCTTGGTTATCTCAGCCCGCATTCGGATATCGAACAGGGTCACACCGCCGCCAGTCCTGCCAACAGCAAGGACATCGCCATTCCAGTGCATGCCTCCCATGCCATGACCACCATCGACCCAGTCTACAAGCTGCTTTCTGTTCTCGGCGTCCATAATTCTGACAGCACCGACTGTCGTCCCGAGCGCGAGTAAATAAGGTTTGGTTTTGCCACCCCAATCGATGCTGTGGACTGTTCCGTCTGAAAGGGAGGAACGACACAAGTGAACTACTGCCCGGGATTCAAGGTTCTGAAAATACACATCATACTTGAAAGCAACTCCGATGCAGTTGGCGTGTGACCATGCCATTGGAGAGGCGAAAAGGTCAGTAGACATTCCGGGTCCATCGAGGGCCATTACGAAATGTTTCCGAGTCCCTAAATTGGACTTTGCTGAGAGTAGAGATGCAGTACGGGAAGTCGAAAACAATTCGGAGGCACTTCGGCGAAGCAATGAACGAAGAGACGTATCTGAAGAGAGTGAGGGAGAGTTGGTGGGACTTAATACACGGTCGTCAAGTAGACCAAACGCTTTGGCGATACGATTTGTTCTCGGGGTGACATTCAATGGCAATGACGTTGAAGTTCGTACTGTCAAAAATCGATCTGCCTGAAAACTCCTATGTGTAGCAAATTCTGTTGGCCAAGCGATGTTCTTACGTTTATCTCCTCGATGGGAGTCTCCGGTGCTAATGGTGTTGCCAAATCCCCTTCCAAGTCAAGCGAAGCCACTGAAACCCGCCTTCGCTTCCTAGTTGAGTATGTGCTCGAAACGCTAGCGCGTGATGGAGTACGCTTTATCGCGGCACACGTTGGGTTAACAGCATCTGCAACACTGCCATATTCACTGTGGATCCCATCAGTTTCTGCCATGTGAATAACACGAGAATACAGACGAGGACATAATAATTTGTCGAGTTATGAGGAAATGGGATCCGGAGAGACGCTTGGGATACAACCTCAATCCAGTCAAAATGCAGTGGCTCTTGATCGTGACGCGTCGTCAGTCGTTGTCACGGTTAGAAAGGCGATTGATCAGTGTTTGTTTGAGTCTAAAGGTACAGCCAAACAACCGCCTTCTATATCCGGGTTGCCGGCGGTCATGACGCATTCGGAACTCTCCAGAGTCCAACAAAGCTCTGATAGGCTGGTGGTCACTGGAAACGGTTACTTACACCCTGGGCTCGCAGCTATCATGTAATCGCCACGCCACTGCACAGACTGCCAAGACCCACCGGGTTGCTTGACGTTGGCCAGCGCATCAAATGTTAATTTCCGCAACGCATGATCATGCGCAAGACATGAAGGGCACTGATTAACGGGCCTTTTGGCCACGTTCCGGATTGTTTTGCCCATAAGTACCCAGATACATATTTGATTTTACTTGACGTCGGAACGTACCGTTACAGACCGTTACCATCATGAGGAACCCCTCGGTGCGCCACTTCCACAGCTTCACTGTCATGTTTACTTTGACATGATTAGTTAAAACATACAACTTCCTTCCATGGACCATGGCGCAGTTGTATGCCGTCATCGATTGGTTGGTGGCAGTCAATGGCTTGTGGCGCGGAGGTGTGTATAGCTGAATGACGATAATGATCTGGAAGTACAGTAACACTCTTAAGGATACTTGCCCTCAAAGATTTAATCAGCTTGTGACAGTCAGCATCAGCCAGCCCATCTCCGAAATCTGGTGAGATATGTAAACTTGGGCCGGCGGCATCAGAAACCAGCATCAACATTTTTAAACGCCGTTGGCCTGATGTGATCGGGCTTGTACAAGCGGTTACTTCCCTGTACTTACTTATTGGTCGACAGTGTGGATATTGATCGACTCAGATAGCGACCGATTGAATTCTGAAGGTAGATTCCAAGGAGTGCTACTGAGGCTCGGTCATCAAATGGCCCGATCCCCCAGAAAATTTAAGGCAAGTTCCAAGTGATTGTTCTTATATTATTTCCATGATGCTGCACTGTCAGTCTACATAGGGTATGGCGGCCCAGCACTGTCGACATTATGCTATAGCCCACGGAGACAACCAACGGAATTTAACAATGGGACATCTACACTAGATATTTTCTAAAACCAGGGCTCCACAGAACACAAGAGCATCGATATTGATTCCCAGTGCTTGTCACCACCCGACATCGCTAGCATCCAAAGTAGTTCTATTGGTGGACAAGTATATAACAACCTCATTTCATAACACGGAACGATGCAATAGCATGCGAGCGAAAACTTAACAAAAAGCATGACGGAAACAAAAAGAAAAAGCGAGTTAACATAGCATTTAAAACTGTCAACAACAAAAAATTGCAAGAGCAGCAAAGCACGAACGGATCAAAGAGTCCCCTTGAGATTAAATATTAGGTTGAATGTGATTCGTAGGTCTGGACCTTTCCACACGGTGCGTAAGCTCATTCATCATCCCTCGGGAGAAGCAGTTTCTTCTTCGGGCGCTCGTATGGGGTGCGTGATGAAGAACACCGTTTTGGATTGTAGGGTTCATCATCAGCAGGGATGATTTGGTCAAGTTCTTCAAAGCGATCTTCCGAATAATCGAGAGGCGCAATAAGTACTTTGCGACCGATATTTGCACGTCTTTTGTGCTTCGGATCGTCAGTGATGGCGGATTTTCCTTTCCGCTGCTGCTCTCTGAACCTGAGCAGTGGCAGAACGTCCGAACGAGCGTACTCTCCGGGTGATGTCATCACTGACCAAACAAACTGCATCATGGCCAGTTCGGGAGTGGTGGAAACCGGACGCCCAGGGGAAGGCAGACGAGGAATAACGTAAGATAAAGCGTCACGGGCTCTGGAGCCAAGTGGGGTGTAGGGTGCTGTCATTTCTGATCCAAAGGTCTTCGCCAGTTCTGCCCAATGATCTCTCTCGGCCGCAGCTGCTAGTTTATCGTGATCAGTGTATGATCGAATACCAGAGATGTTCAGGAAGCGAACGCCTTTGTGAGTAATGAGGATATCATGAGGGAAGAGAGATCCTAATAGGATTCCGTGTCTCTGGATATCAGCTACTGCTGCGAAAACAGCAGCACGATCGGTTGGACACACACGACCTACAGAAATCCACGGCATGAGCGCGAACGACGGTATTGCTTATAACTTCAGCTTACGTCCAATGATGGGCTCGCACATGACACCAATGATCATTCCACTTTTATAGACGTGGGCAAGTAGCTTGAATGTGTAATGGCTGACACCAGCCTCATTCATAAGCTTATGTCCGAGACTCTCCGCAGCCACAAAACGTGACCAGTGGGGGTTCACGCCCATGAATAGGTCAACTTCCGTTCCTGCAGAAGGTATGAGAATCTTGCTCAAGAGGGCAAAGCACAACCTAACCTTCGTGGATTCCCTCCCATAGCGAGCAGTCCACGATCCGAGTAACATCTATATCATCCAAGTTTACCTTCTTCGTCCAAACTGGGCACTTCAAACGAACAAACTCCTTCCTAGTGTAAATCAGACTGTAGGTGTTGTCCTAAGTGATTGTCTGTGAATAATGAGTGGAGGGTGAGCTCAGTCATTCTTACCTTTTGCCTCACAAGATGTGCCCAATTGTTGTCTGTACCAAATTGCAAATTATCGAGCATCGTCTGCAGCACTTCTTGTAGGTAAAAAAAGGCCTCTCTGTCAGATGAGAAGTTCGACCGGCATGATGATTGAGAATAGTCGATGCCAGGACGACAGTATGGTTCTGCTTGGATAGAAAGGACTTCGCCGTCCTTCCAGAGATGGTAGAAGCGCCCTTGATCATGTTCGTAGGAGCCGCCTATGCGGAACGTAAGATTTTCGAAATTGGTTGATTGCCTGAGTTTGCGGAGAGTGAGATCCTTCTACAGGTGTGACTCAGTTCTGAGAAATGGGGGCGTATGTGATGGACCTACACTCGCATACTCCATGCTGATCTTGAGTGTTCAAAACACGTTCTCGCTTGCTGTGCTTCATCGAATGATGGTGACCTTTTCAATACTAGAGCTTCCTGAAATGGATGCCATGTGAAGCACGTGCCAGCAATGCTTATTACGTCCGGTTCTGTTTCGAGACATGATCTTCATTGCATATACCTACTTGACCGGGATTCTACCGGACTCGCTACTCACACCGAGATGATTATGATCTCGGTATTCTGTTTGCTCAACAACTCGGTCGATTCCAATGGGCGCAATCCAGCGCGACCTGTATAAATTATGGCTGTGACTAACAGTTGAATGTCTCGTTCGCCCTCTCTTCGAAACCCCAACGAGTACCCAACCGACGCCACCTGTTGTCCAACTTCACCACCCCTGGTGAGTTCCAAATACTACCTGTTTTACATATTTCCCCGAACAGATAATTATCTGATTTCGCCGTTGCTTCTCTCACCCCGCGAAAAGAAAGGCGATTCCTCTTCGCACATCTGCTTTTAAGAACGCAGTAAGTCGATAGTACACTCCATTAATCATCTCGGAAATACTTACGATGTGTGTCTCTCAAGCTTATTTCTGTACACTCCACGAGGTACGATTCTACGTACTCGAGCCTTGCTCTAAGGGCATGGGTGGACGACCTTGTCCAGTCCCTCGAATATCAGAGGATGCAAAATCTAACTTGCCTTGCTCCAAATGCCTTGGCCGCTGAGTACGTCTTCCCCGGCGATCTTGTACTTGTGGCCTTCATTCACTCACCCCCAGGAACACTTGTGGCCTTCATTCACTCACCCCCAGGAACACTTGTGGCCTTCATTCACTCACCCCCGGGAACACTTGCGTTCTGCAAGTCGGGACTCTTCATCGCAGCTGAAGTTCAGATCGCCGGGTCAATCAATTCTCTGGCGAGGATGATCTACGCTCGCACCCGCGCGATGGCTGACATCTCAAGTTATATGTCTCCGGGACCGCGCCACCTGTCATCTTTGTGACGGTTTAATTCATCTCATTTATTCCTACTCTATTTCAAATTATCCTAATTGTGCCAGCATGATCTAGAATTCTATCTAGAATCCCGTGGAGCATACCACCCATGTCTCAAACCTAAGCAGTGAGTGCATATCCTTGATATCTAAATGCATGTTAACATACGGCCTTTGACAAGACATCCATAAGTAATGTCATCATTTTCATGCGTTCGTAGACCTCGAACCACTTGCCTGGAATATCTGTTGTTTCCCCCAGTCTCTCTACTTCAAGACCTATTCAGCTAATACTACTTATATACAGTATCTGTAGTACATACATCATATATTTTACCTACTCGTCCATCAATCATTAATCAAACTCCCTTCCGCTATTTCGCTAGGGTCTTCTGATCACCCAAGGAAGCTATACAAACATCCTACACGTTACAGTAAACATCGTTGTAAGACTACTCCAGGCGAGACGCACACGCTCCGATTGCGCTCAAACTCGGTAGAAAGTAAGGATGTCGGTGAACCAAATTTGTATCCAGAATTGACAGCATACCGTGATAATTCCGTCATTCCCGCCTACTCATGACGAAACAGCCCTCATAACCATTGATATTTGGGAGACTGAGCGTTTCGCGCCAGCGCCCGGAGAAACTCCCGTTGATGCTACCAACCAGATAGCCACGATAAAGCCATTGACCTCGATCGCCTCCGACCTAAGACAAGGATGCATTTATACATGATATATCATATGAAATGCAGTAGACGTACATATTCCTTCATAAGACTAACGAAGCCGTCGCAAGCTCGTACCCGGCCAAGAATATTGAATTGACCCCAAGCAGAATGACCCTGTACAAAAAATGAGGACAAGTTGAGAAAGTAAACCAATAATGACCTCTCCGACGACAATGATGTCTTGGATATTCAGGAACTCGAAGCCCTCAGCCTCTTCCGAGTCACAAGTCGACGGCCGCCTGTAGGACAGTGGAGTCATTTTCCCAGGCTCGTGTACCTCTGCACTGCTTGAGTGCTCGTGAATGCGGATGCCAGGTGGAACGAACGCCTTGAGCGGATTACCCGAGCTTAGTGATGGCGATTTCGCGCCGGTGGCGATGCCATCACCATCCCTGGAGATCATCAAGTGGTACTCTCGCAACTTCCATGTTTGACGATGCTGCGCAACCATACAATTGTGAAGAGTTGAAGGGGGATGTCCAAACAGCAGCTCCTCGTAGGTAGTGAATTCTGTGTACTAGGTATACCTCGTTTAACGGAGGGTTTCATGGCTCGGACTTTGGGTCAACCTACCGTAAAGATACCTTCCCATACACCTTGCAAACTACCGGGTATAAATGCGCCCGAGAATTCGCTGGAGAGAGGAATTTTGGCGAGATTCGTGCACCTCTGCCAATCAGGCTCCCACTCAAAACTCTGGTTCAGAGAGGATGGAAAGTTGTTTGGTGTATGCGGTCCTTTGTAGACATCTCGTGTTGGACCTATAAGGGGACCCATCAAGCTGAGGTAGGAGAGAATTGCAGGTGTAGCCATCGTCGGTGGAATCATGTGATATAAACTAGAATAGTGGTGTACGCGCGTAGGTTCGAGTGGACAGGACCTGGGAACCAAGTCCGCCCATGGGGTTTGACAAATGTTATACTTGGATTATCAGCAGGTGTGCATGAATATGAATATGATAGATATACCTTGTGCGCTGCTAGAGCAGTTGGTTTCAAAACGGTTGCTAAAGTCCGATAGTTCCTTTCCGTACGCTGAAACCGGTCTGTGAAACGAAGGTTAGAACTCAGGGCGGTGGCAGAGACAGTACGACACACCGGGTCTAAGAAGTAACCAAAATAACCACATCGCCAGAGAATTGTGCTCATTATCGAGCGGCCACTCATCTTCCAAGAGCGCCTTCCCGGCGAGCGATGCACCGTTATCATCGAACCAATACTCCATTAACCATTGCTCCATCCCTGCGTATTCCCTCAGTTGCTTGACATTCTTTCCGTCGTTTTCGAGCATCATCAGGTAGGCGAGCCAAAGCAACTCGCCAAGGATCTGCGAATTTGACGTATCTGGCGCACAAACTCGAGAATCTGTTCGCGCCCGCATCCGCTTCATGTAATCGAATCTCTTGCGCAACTCCTTCGATAGGGTGACAGGTGTAGCGATTTGTGGGCCCAGACGACGAACGGCGGCACTGAGATCGAATTTATGCTCAAATATGCGCGCGCAAAGATGTGGGTTTGTCTCGGGCGATAAAGCGCCATGTATACTCCTGCAACTTAGAAGTAAAGAGAGTAGATCAGAGGGAGGTCCTACTTCCGTCATGGTTGCTGAAAAGAAGGCAATGTTCTCCATCACCTCCTGAGGGAGCCAGTCAAATGCCACGGCTTGAGTGGACATGATGTTAGTTGTGGCAGAGAGAACGCCAGTGCAGTGCCAGTATATCCTGCCGGACCGGCAATCTCAGTTGGACCGGGTCCTTGTTCGGTTCCAAACCCAGCTGGGAGAAATTAAGTCGATTTAAACGTACTAGGTATTACGCCGATATATACATTTAACAAGAGCGCAGAATATCATATTGGCGGGGAAGACTATAATCTGTGACAACTATTCCCATGACACGGTAGCATCTTTGCACAAGCTGAATATCGATTCCCATTCAGCGGGATGAACGCCGCTGGATACATGTCTCCAGCGACCCACGAAGTTGCGGGACGAGATAACTAAGAGGCAATCTTGTCAGCATATACAACAGTTATTTGAATGGACTCAACATACTGTAGCCTCTAAATAACGCTCGCCCAAGTTCAACCATCTGAGGGTCTAGCTACATACCAGTTGAACATGGAGAAGACAGCGAAGAAACGTTCCTTACTGGTTCACGGAGCAGAACGATCAGACCATCTGAGGGTCGTATTCGTCCCATGTAACGATAGCCACCCCAAGCAGCCGCGTAGCGATCTTCCGTCTGTGAAATGAATAAGACATCGAACAGGAAGAATTTTACGACACGTACCACTCCTGTGATAATGACATCGAAAGCACCATGCTTCGACTCGCCGGCAGTACACCCAACAAAGCCAATTTCAAGATGCCCTTGCCTCGGCGGAGAATAATAGGCCTTGAACGAGGTGTTTTCTCCAGTAAATTCAACTCCTGCCTGTTTAGATGTTAACCTTTGCTCTACGACTGATGAAAAAAAACTAGCCTCAGTTTCATGCCATCGACAACCGATTGGCAAAAAAGCATTTTCAAACACTCCTTCGTTCTCTTCTAATGGAAGGGGAATAGATGGGGAGTAACAATAAAGCTCTCTGAACGTGACATAAAGAGGGAATCGGCCAAAAGTTGGAAAGGGTGATGGAGCAGTGGGAGATGACAGCAGATCCTTGTAGACATTATGATATGGGGCCTATTCATGTTAGTCCAGGTGATCAAGGAACAAATACGAAAACTCAACAATGAAAGACCCCTGCCACCGACCGGAAATTGTGCCAGGGATATACTGTCCTGGTAAAGAAGAAGGGGAGCGATAGAGAGGATCGCGAATGGAACGCGCCCAGTCTGGGTCGTGACGGCGGCTCTTGAGTAAAGTGTCGAAGCGATTGCCGTATGCTGTGCCTGGAAAGTGTGTCTTGCAATGAGAATTAAAGTATACTATGTCCTCCTTTGTTGGCCCTGAAATTCCATTGGCCATCGCCTCGGCTCTGGTCTCCGGTAAATGTAGAGGGATCATAAGAGGACGAGTCTCCAGACGAGAAAAGTGAACGAGAATAGCGTATGGTGCGAGTGGTGGAAGATTGAATGGTACCGGACGCCCAAAGTAGTCCACGGTGATTGAAACCGGGCGAACGGGAGGATAGACCCCATGAGCAGATGTAACGACAGTCTTGTGAGAGTTTTCCGAAGGACAGAAATCATACTCGAGTCCAGTGAAGCATGGATACTAGGGAATGCATTATGAGAACATCCAGCATAGTCAACATGAGGACGAACTCGAAACCCAGCATAAGAGTATGGTGATAGCAGCTCCACAAACTCTCTTCTGAGTTCATCTGTTTCATTACGTATTGACTCTGTGCAGGCGTAATGGTGGTGAATGGAAGTAGATAAAGACTGCACGTGACTACGAACCCGAGCGAGACATTAACCAGAAGATGGATACCGCCAACATGTTGACCTCGTTCTCTTTGGGCCAGCCGTTGTTGATCTCGGCACCCACCATCAATCGTTCCCGAAGGAAGCGCGTTATGAACAGGGGAAGTTGTGCCCAAAGCAACTGGTCCCAGTTCCGACCATCATCCTCCAGCATCATGATATAGATGGTAGAAAGGGATTCCAGAATGTCAGGATCATCAATTTCGCCTCTCCGAATGCGCTGGAGTGCTCGAAAACGTTTCCTCAACTCACGCTCTATGTTGTCAACTGTGGGTTGACCGCCCAAAAAATGCCGCCAAGGAGAAGGTATGTCAAATCTGTCCGTGAACAACATGAAGTACAGATATGAGTTGGATTCAGGTGAAAGCGCGTTGTTGGACATGCGGCACGTTAACCGTAGGGAGCGCAAAATGCTGGGAGGGCCTTGGTAATACTGGCGGACTGCAATTAGGACAATTTGTTCTAAGAGCTCAGGAGGAGTCGTGATAAGAGAAGCGGGCATACTCGAGGAGGAATGGAAGAGCTCGACTCTGGAATGCCTCTGCTTTTCATCGAAACGGCGACTTGCGAATCATTGCTTGGAAGGGTATAGATTGGTACGGGATTCTCACGTGAGTTAAAGACGGTAAGTGAGATGAATTGAAGTCATGGTACCGACTCGCATTGCTGAGAGGCGAAGGCGAAAGTAAGCCGCCCATTTGAAGCCAATATAGTCGACCCAACTCACCGGTTATATCCGGGATGTGATCGCGCCGTATCGCCGGAATTTGTATCGCCTAAATAGGAAATTAAGAAGAAAATAATCTCAGATCGATGTCTGACCAAACCTAAGGTGACGAAGAACGTACACAGGTTACACGAGGCACAAAGAGATCACGGTACCAAGTATATGCTCATTCATGTCATGGTCTGTCATTGAGGTGGTCATCCCGCCAGTGGCAAGAAGTGGCACTAGCCGTCAGCCCCATTGTCTCGGGACCTCAGGACCTTCGTTCATTTCAGTTATTAGGTTGAAAACCTTTTTGACTAGAGTGGTCTTACTAATGTCTCCATACGGTAGGAACCAATTTCTGTCGTGGATTTTCGCGAACCCCACACTATGTAGTACACCGTATCCCCTGTATCTCAGAGTCAGCGGGTGTTATGTCCAACAAGATGACGACGAATCTCTTTCGAATATACTGGTGTCTGACCTCTGGCCAAGATAACTGCTACACGACTTCAAGCGGAAGGGTCACAAGCACGTGGAATGATCGAAAACGACGAGAAGCGGTGGTGAGCTGCACCATGGGAGCATGAGGGAACAGTAGGCGGAATTGCTGAAGCGAAAGTGACAAGTGAAACACATTATTACATCACGCCTGCTCGGACCCATGGCGGTGGTGCCATGCCCGACCAACGTGGCGTTTTGCGTCCCGATCAGCGCGACATGGTTCGTACCTTGGACCCAGTGGTCATCCCTTGTACGAACTGCAACACAAGCTCCGAAGATCTTCAATCCGTAGAATCCTAGAACACCTGTGAACGGTTGTTGCACTCTACTTAGTAAACACGGATTTATTGGCGAAACCTTCACTTCCACCGAATCGAGCTCCGCGCGTCATGTGCGGGTGAAGACGCTAACAATTACATAGACATAGAGAACTCTTGGCACAATCTGCGCTACAAGTTTTTCGGTGAAGGCTGGCTTGGAGTTCTCGATTATGTAGTACCCAGCTGAACGGCGTTCGGAGATGAGTTAGCTCAAAAAATATTGTGCCAAAAGGAAGAAAGGGAAACACGTAGTGGACGTTTTAGTCGGCGCACGAACTTCTCAGATTGGTTCTAGCCCAGAGGTCACGGAAGTTGCAGTGTCAAGCCATTCAATGCTCGGGACTCAGTCCTTATTAGTCTACAGAGATATGTGAGTAACAAGGTTGAGGCTCTTCCAAGTAAGTACAGAGTTTACGAAGGAAAATTTAAAATGCTGTTGTTCGGCATGTTGCGTGAGTCAGTAATCGCGGCGTTGAAGTTACAGACTCCGCTCAGCTAATGGAGTCGCATACCAATCGCATATAATCTAAGTACTATGTATATACAATCTTCTATTATCTATTTATAACAATACCGATAATATAGAATATGCTATAGCCTTCCTGCAGTTATCATTTGGAACCCTGGACATCTCCCCGTGTTCCCATACCCTCGACACGGCACCTCTTCCCTGTCCATGTCGCGGAATAACTTCCGCCAGCTCTACCGCAGCTATCGTTGATGACGTGGCTACGCCATACTGATGGGCGGTAAACGGAACAAGATGACGAGTTCTTATCGATATACTCTGCGGCCACTGATTATAGGAACATATAATACGTTACATCTATGCGCGCTGCTCTCACGACATTTGCCGCCCAAACTCGCAAGAACAAGACTTTGCCGTGAAGGTGAGGCCGCTATTACCCCACAAAAGAATGGTCAACTTGGGACGAGGCATGACAGCTAGAGCAGGTAGATCTAGGGTCAACAACAGGCTGGGCAGCATCGGCCATTGCGCTGGGACTGTCCATGATGCCCATCACAGCCTACAAGGTCGCCGTTAAATACACAAGATGCCCAGCTGATGGCAGAGCTTTTATCTCACGAAGAAGTTGCAGATAAGACCATGGTGATTCCCTGACTGACGACTGACCTAGCTGAATATGCTCAAGCTTTCCCTTGCGGGTTTCGTCAACATTGTCAATTTTTATGGCCATGGCCGTGAGTCTGGCCGCTTTCCTTTTATGTTCAGCTTGTTGAGATACCACCTTTTTTTTTTCCATGTCAGGGTCTTCTCCTAGGGATATTCGGATACTTTCGTGGGACAGACCACCAATATTCCGGGGTCGCGAGGCAAGCTTTTGACCCAAGCCTTAGTGCAATGCATGATCCTCGGTCGGTGCACATACATTATGCTTCCAGTCGCAGTTACGGATAAGACATCTTGTCCAGGTTCGTGATAGCTGCCGTATCTAGTAATCGTGCCGAATGGCATGACTTCTTTCAGGGTGCGGCGACTGGGGTAATCGGGCGTCTCAGGTTTGGGCGCTCCTCCTACTATGTCCCTTCGGGCAATATAAATTATCAGGTACGTAGGGGTACGGAAAGAATGCGAATGCTATACTACAGGGTCTACCCAGATCTAGTGTGCAGAAGTACACCAGTGACGTGGGACTTACGAAGTTTTTAACATCGACACATTCTCATGTCAGATCGATGACCTCCTGCTTAATATCCTAGGACATGCTATCCGTCTCTCTCATAACTCGCCAACCACAATGTTTACCGTCCTTATCACCCTTCGCACGTTGCATCGCCTCTCATGAACGAATTATTCCACCCTTGCAAGCAGACAGACCGCATTGCAGACTCATTCACACGACTCCTGCAAAGGTCAAATAGTCAGTGTATCCTTTCCAGGATGTGAATGATGTAATCCCGACGCTAGCCCCGACCATTCCGGAACTCCGCGCGACACCACTTTTGCATCACCGCGATGACACTTGGGCTTTAGCCTTATATATGCTTTTATAAACTTATCAGGCAAAACCCAAGAAACCAGTAGTACTCGCTCAACCAATAGCTGTCGAGCGGGCCACAGAAGATTTTGCCCAAATGGCATGCAGGCATGCCTTCACGGCATCTGCATGTTCTACACCCCACTATCTGCCGTACTACAAGTACAGTAAACGTTGTTTGACATACTGCGGTCGACTGGCGGTAATTTCGGACATGGACTTGAGAAATACATATTGGCGGAGTAGTACGCCCAGCGGAATATAGATTGGAGACGTCACCCATCCATCTGACTGTAGGCGAAGATTGAGCGGTCTCGCAGGTTGTGATGCTCACGGCTACGCTCGTATAGAACACCGAAACGATCAGTACTCGATCTCATGTTGAATATAATAGCGTTTGCACAACTCCACCCTAAAAATCATCGATGTGTAATCGAAGTGCGAGGGTGTGATAAGCGTCAAGAACGGATACGATTAGCGGGACCATCGTAAGCACTTACATTGACGGCCATCATATGGATACCCGAGGAACGACGGAAGCGCGTAGCATGCGAGCCTCGGGCGAGGAACGTTGACGTCTTTGCCAAATGGCAAATGGCACCGCGGCTTCTGCGAGACAGGTGACGAGTGACTATTTCATTCGAAAGGAGGGGTATGAGGGTAATTTCTTACTCGAACTCATTGGGACTAGCGGGACTAGATATCAAGCGACATTCCATAAACAACGAACATGCAGTCAATTTCCGCCTTATGAACTGAAACAGATCTCAGAGGGAAGGGAAAGCCTGAGTCCTGTCGGGCATGGTCATCAACGACTGATTCAGCGTGTTCTGGCGTGCCATATGAGTAACCGGCCGTCACTCCCTTTGGAAGTACTCACGGAAGAATCAACGAGAATTCGCAAAAGAAGTGTCTGGCTATGGGCGAGACGGCATTTCAGCTGTGTTGCATCATGACAGGGCAAATTTTCCCGCTGCGCAATTACTAGCTACTGTATGAATGAGAAAAGATAAAAGGGGGTAAACAAGCACTCGCCTTGTGTGTCATTAATTTCGCCACTGATCATCTTGAAACTCTCAGATAGACGAAGAAGGAATCACTTCAACACCGGGGCAACTAGGCCACCCAGGCCCCATCAGTTGCCTATACTTAAGAGCTTGCAGGTGATACGGGCGCTGGTATACGACAGCAATGTCGCCTATGTCACTATGAAAAAAAACAAGATAATCATTTGAAAGTGACGCATTTAAAGCAATGGAACTGATTCTTCCGGCGCATCTGTTCTTAAGGCACGTTCACTCACGCAAATAATTTCTGCATGTAACCCTGACAGAAAGTCCATGGATTAATGCACAGGAAGCCACGAGGCTAGCCTTAACGAAAGAGTGTGGTTCTGCAAGATGCAGGGTACCATATTCAATATGTTAGCAATCCCATCACACATGATAGTAATATTTACCAATTAGACGTACGAATTCTCAGCGCTGGTGAAAGTCGGCAGAAGCCAACAAGCTGCCTCATATCGGCCTAGCTTTCCCCCATCCGATGAGATAGAGAGAGTACCTCATACAGACAAGATCCTGATGGGGCTATCCAGCTTTGCATTGAATAGATAACCAACGATAGGTTGGCGCTACGTAGTAGCCCGTAGGAGTAGTAGGTACTCGTTGGTGTAATAGGAGTGGTTGTACCAAGAGTCATTCACCTACTTACTACTTAGGTAGTCTTTCTTACTAATGCTAAGGAACGTCACGTGGGCCGGCCCTAAACAGCTATCCCGATTTTTTTTTAAATTTTGAGCCTATCGATTGTTCAGATCATCCATCGCCGCAGCCTCGATAAAAATGTCTTTGAACCTCGGCGCCCTTGAGCAGCACCTGACTACTAGGTCTTACATTGAAGGGTGAGCTCTGTTTCATTATTCAGTTTTCTCTCGCGATGATCACTATGCTATGGTCCGTGTTTCCAAGAAGCGACTAGACACCGCTGCTCAGATATGCCGATAACTTTACCTAGTCTTCTGATTCTTCCTTGGCTTGTAACTCTTGGATTGAACTGATCTCTTTGCACCAGGTACACACCCTCTCAGGCAGACGTTTACGTTTACAACTTGCTCACAGCACCAGAGCCATCGAAGTACCCGCACTCTGCCAGATGGTACTCTCACATCAAATCGTATAGTGTGGAGCATGCAGCTTTACCCGGCACAAGTACCGCCGGCCAGTCGTTCGTTCAATCGGCATCCGCTCCGGCTCCAGCTCCTGCAGACGCTGACGCCGAAGAAGAAGTTGATCTCTTCGCTTCGGACGATGAAGACAACGAAGAATCAGAAAGGCTGAAAGCAGAGCGTGTTGCAGCTTACAATGCGAAGAAAGCAAATAAACCTAAAGCAGCTGCGAAGGTCGGTCTCTTCATTTATTGATATTCTCCTGCTTACGATGGCTGCCTGCATCTAGTCTGTTGTGACGTTGGAGGTCAAACCTTGGGATGACGAAACCGACATGGAAGCACTTGAGCAATCTGTGCGTTCTATTGAGCAGGAAGGTCTTGTATGGGGTGCCAGTAAGCTAGTCGCTGTCGGCTACGGCATCAAGAAGCTTCAAATTACCGTAGTTGTTGGTGAGTTCCCATCCGTCGTTGCATTAATGAGCGGATCATGACTTTCATGAACAGAGGACGAACTCGTTTCCTTAGATGATCTACAGGAGAAGCTTGCTGAATTCGAAGACTACGTCCAGAGCTCCGACATTGCTGCCATGCAGAGTAAGCGTCCTTCACTTCCTTGCAATCCTAAGGCTTATTGTTTTCTCCCAAAGAACTTTGATTGAAATGAGTGTTGACGAGGGAGATTTTGTAAGATGTGACGACGAAGTTAAGACGACGAAACATTGTAGGAAATGAGAAGTTTTTGTGTGATTCAATTGTTGTGAACGTGCGTGACGAATGTGCTAGCGTCTTGGTGAGCCAATTGAACCAATGCACGCTCTAGCATGTGCAGACAAGGATGATAAGTTATTCAATTGACATGTTCGCGCCACTGTCATGTTGCCCTATCACATGTACAAAACATGTATCAACATTGATTGTAAATTCTAGACCCTACAGGAGAAATGGTTGCTGCGCAAGCAATGCGTGAGTTCACATTTAGCTTCACCCACGCACATCTTTGTGAGTGTCATCACGCTAGATCGGTCAGTGGACAAGGTTAACTTCAAGCGGATGGGGAATGTAATGCGGTGCAAAGCTTCTGTTGCCTTTCTTGGCGCATCCTGGAAACCGTTTCAAACGCGTTTTGCCACCGCCATTTGACCGTTATCATAGGTCAACACACCATCGGAGTACCTCGATGCTCGGAACGCTTGTTACCATTTGACAACGTTCATCTCCGCGCTTGGGGAAGTTGCTGCGAAAGCGAAAGCTTTCCACGAGGCTTCTTGCCCTGAAAGCTCAAACGATGTCTCACAAAATATCATGGATCCGCTGGGTACTCATTTACTACGTTCAGTGGCGTGAGTCACACTACAAGCTCTTAGCCTTCTTGCTTTCACGTGCATAAGTGGTTATCATATACATTCAACTTGGGTGGTTAGCCCCGATTCACCGGTCTGAATAATGACTGCCAGGACAGCACGCCACATATATTGCCCCGTGCTAGATGTGGAAACCATTTGACCAAGCATTACGATGCGCTTCCGATAGCACTTGCTGTGAAGACGGATATATGAATTCGACCAGGCACACGGGTATGTAGTAGCCACGATTACAATCAAGATCGAATCTGGAGAACGTGTGTTTACCTCTCTTTCAGACGTTTCAATTTTCTCAACGAGAAAAGTAAACCTCCGCTTAGTTCGCGCGGCGATCTCGTTGCTCGAACGGCACTCCGCCACTCATTTCGTCTTTAGTTTAAAAGGCACTTGCAGTTATCATGGCTCACAGAGCATGATGCTTCCTCACCTCGAATCGATCCCTATCGATGTTCTGTCCCAGATCGCTTTCTTCACTGTTGCTTCCACACCATTCAACAACCTCGGCGCTGTTCTTCAGCTTCTTCTATGTAGTCGCCGGATGCACGATGCCCTCTCCCTGAAATCTTGTCCCCAGCTTTATGCGCGGGTATTTCGCACTAGATTTGACCTAGTTGCTCATCTCCGTCGCAGCAAACTAGCACCTCCTACGACTACGAATCTGGCATTGGAGTTACAGCGTCGATGTACGGTACTTCAACGCATCCGGCAACACCGTGTTACCGATCACAATACCCTTCCTGACCTCTGGACAATCTATTTAATGCTGTTGGAGAGCGATGGCATGAACGAATCTCAGCTTCATTCTGCCGGCATCGCGCAATATATACGTATCCTATTGGAACCTTGCCTTGGCCAGCAAGGGGTTCTCCGCGATGACACGGCTCGCGCATTAGCTATATCTGTCGCATGTTTGGTTTGGTCTCACAGTGAGGCTATTGTGCACTTTTCCAGTATGTAGACGTCCCTGATTTGCATCGTCCAGAGTTTATTACCAATCTGCCGGAGGAGGAACGCAGTCAGATGCTTTCTGAACTAAGACCTTTCGTCACAGGGTCGGCAAATGTGATGAAGTGACCGCGCCCATATATTAAACCAACACTGACATCATTTTAGGTTCTTCTCAATGTGAACAGTGGGACGAGAAGACGATGTCCTTTATCATCCAACGGATCGTACAACCGAGCACCAGAAGTGATGTCCGGCACATGTATTGAACATAAATGCCGGGCGCTCGTATCCTCACTCTACACTAGGGAATACGCGCTAACGGCCCCTAATCTTCTTTCCGCGTCAATCTTCCTAACTTTTGCACTCAAGGAAGCAACTGCTCTCCAAGTGCCCAAGCATTTACCACCAACTCAAGCGGTTGCGCGCCCCACGGAGCGCGATGGTCCTACTATAGAAGACTTCTTTGCCATCACAAGAAGAAGGACACCACTTGTCGCTGATTCGGGTCATCAAATCCCCTCCCGTGACTCCTTCGCGGATCGTACGGGAAGGAAGATGCGGGCATCAAGAAGTCTCGTTCATGATGAAGAGTTCTATCGTATTGCCCGTCGACTGGGCTTCCCAGATGACACTTGGGATCTTCGGTCGTGCATTGGGTTGCTGAGTGGAACTTGGGAAGGTACATACATGTGAGTGCTCGATATCATCGAAGACTAATCCTAGTTGATGAAGAATTCCACAGGGTAGGCGATTGTCGATACCTTGGAGTACTCGACTAATACACTTATAGACATCACCGTCATCGTTCTGTCGATGTCCTTCCCAGAAATCGGATCCCGCGGTTTCGCCTGATTTCGTGTGCAGACAGCCTATTCAATGCCGGCTCGAGGAACATCTGTGCTTTACCCCATGCATACCATTACCCAGTGTTCCACGGAATGGTGATTTTGGAGAGTCAGCATTCCAACATTTGTTTATGAATGATTGTGAAGGAACTACTGTGCGTATTCTTACTGTGCTCCAAAATTAGTGACACGACTGTCATGCCTTCCCACCTCAGAAAGCGAATGAATTCTCGGAAGCCACAGGATCATCAAAACATCGATATGAACTTTTTCGCCCAACCGATACCTCCGAGAGATACAGGGACCCACGGCAGGCCCTGGATGTCGTGATTACTGGCGAAGTGAATATTTCGTTATGATAAGGTTTTTCTGATGTTCACGCTTTTGTCCAGACTCCACGCAGGCTGGAAGCCACCTGGGGTGCATTTATCTTTTTCGGACGAATTCGCTCGTCTGATGGACTCGTCACTCTAACGAGAAAACCAGTTAGTCCTGCTTCACTCGACAGATTTTTCAGATTCACAGGACATTTGGTACAGAAATACCCAGGTGACGAGGGACGTGGGACGTGGATATTTGAAGGTTACATTCACAGCAGACGTTCCTTCGTCGGACGTTGGAGATCTTTTGGTCTATCTGAACGTGAGAGCTTGCGGGGCATTTTCAGTTTGACAAAGGTGGAGCATCCGCCTTCCCATCTTTACTGTGGACTGTAGGCGATACATTGTGCAAATACATTTTAATGCTCATTTATGGAGATAACACGGAGGTCCGCACAAAACTTGAAGTTATTAGTTGTGGGAAGGGGAAGGAGCGTGGACAGAACTTCCCACTACTAGCCCCTTAAGTTCCTGGTCTTTCACCTTCTGCTGATCAACGAAGCCGAAATTCAACCCTGCGTTTTGACGCGTCATTCACCACTGTTCTCGGGATAGCCCCAGGAACGCGATGCTTTTAGTCATAGGCTTTGATAGGCGCGTCCTTTCCACAATATATTAATGAGATTGAGAGCCCTTGCTTCAGTGCTCAGAAAAACTCGAAAGATCAACGTAAAGATAAGATGGTGACATCCCCTCGGTTGAATGACTCTCAGCATGCTCAAAAATTGAGGACAGAATAGAATATTAATAAATTGCTTTTGAATGTGCCGCGATGCCGTCCGGCAGCACCGAGGATGTACGTGGTCCGTCACTGTATCGTGAATTTGAACTGCACAACCAGAAACTCTGCGGGGTTCGACGGGTGTGACATAATGTTACCTCTTACTTTTCCGTGTCCGACTGAGTATTTAACGTCCGAATGAGTGGTAGATTCTACAGCTTCGAATGAATTATGACCGTTAACGAACGAAGTTGATTGGCTGACTACCCTGATGCACCTACCCTGATACACCTGCGATATCCCCTGACGTAATCGTCGTCGTCGCTTATTGCGGTGTACAAGATTACCGGTGCGCGACACGGAGACACCTCTGGTTGCGAGGATTTATCTGATTGCGCATCATCCCGATTCACCGTTCTTCTATTCCTCGAGTTCACGGTGCCGAACATAGATACACAACTCGAGTACAGTGTGGAGGTCAATCACCGTCGCCCCGAGTTCCGGCTTCTGTCAATAGAAACTCTCCGCCATGATATGCAATTTGCGTTAATTCACTCAGCTGATTATCGTTTCTACGATTTCCAATTGATTTCCAATAGCTCTTCTGCATCATGTATTTTGCCCGTCGGCAGGTTATCCGGTCATCCAAGTGCAACCGCTGAGCAGTTACGTGAAAGCGCTCCCGATATTGTATACTGGTGGCGACATTGATGACGATATGCGGCACGAGGAACGATGATGAGCGCATATGCATGCAACACCTCGACGGAAATGAGCGATATGATCGCAACGGGCCCGAGTGCGGCTTATTTCACCGATCTATTTGACCAGATTCGAACTCGAAATGGTTGTGGCCAACCAAGACACCGGCACTGCTGACTCCTGAAGCTTGAACGTTCATGGATTGTGAACACTAGGTCTACGACAGAGATGACTTTGAGGGTGCAAAGGAATTCTGGAGAAGACATATACCGTACCGCATTACATATACAGGTCAGGCTTCGTTCACGAGTCAGCGCTCTCTCCGAGGGAGTAACACAACTATCACTGGGTGCATTGAAGGCAACGGATCTCAATTGTTACTAGATGGAATAATGCGGCAAAAAAGTGATCATCACGATAAGCAATTATGAGACACTCGGCGCTTACCGCTCTGTAATGAACCCTTGACGTAGTGGTAGAATATCAGTTGATCTTACCGCATGCCCGGCCCAGGGCAGATAAGCAGCCTGAACTGAGCGAAGATCCAGCTCTCTGGCCAAACAACTTACTGTAACGAGTACGATACAATCTGAGCTCCGAGTCCTTGTGCTCTGAGTGCTTTCCTTGTATGTACACACCATGTATTGGACGCAGAAGTAACTTAACTGACAAGAATCCAGATAGGTTGGGGTATGCGAAGAGAAGCAGTGTTAGCACAACAGTGTGGATTCTGAAGGTGACGTCACCCGAGTCGGGTGAAAGTGGCGATGGACTTGCTGGGGTGGAACGTAGACTTGTTCATGTCCGTAGGTTTTTCTGGGGAAAGGAAAGAACAGCCTTCTGTACTAGGAATTCTTATCACTCACCCCAATGCTGTGAGAAAGAATTCACCTGACGCAGATCAAAAGTGGGTACTTCAAGTAGGGCGTTTATGGTGAGTCCCATGGGTTGACACTCGACAGGTCACAGTGTGTACTAGATCCGTGTTCAATCGGATATGGGTAAGCGCTGGTACGTATGTACATACAACTTACAAGAAAATTTTTCTATGCCTTTTGTAAGTGTGCGGATGCCATATTGCGGCCCGATCAGCCAACAGCTGATCCGTGGAGTGCGACTCAAGGGAACAGATCTGAGTGTTGGATTTAGTCAGGTACATTGACACAGAGGTATGGTCACACTCACACTCGTGGAGGCCAACCGATAAGGTGAAAGAGCAAGCGGAGCAGTGCCTCAATTCGTACCTGCATTCCCCCACATCCATGCTACGACCAAAGGTACATTAAAAAAATGATGCAGGGATAGTCCCCTTGCATGAAACTGGGGTAAGCGACACTAAGCGAGTCAAAAATGCTGAGGGTGGGACTGCATGAGATAGTCGTATTCGACAATCCTATGTTGGGTGCATGTATTTGATTCAACCGTTGCTAGCAGGCTGGCAGAACCTGCACGACCGTAACATCCAAGCCCAGAACCAAGCCCTCTCAGCCGCTGTTATATGTATTTGGCTTTGTTTGCATAGGAAGGTCTTTTCCCATGATGATGGCTTTCTTTCACAACAAAAAACCATCGTCGCCATCGTCGTCGCCATCGACAGCAAAGAACACGTCCACTCGTTGATATCTATCATACCCGCCTTGCAATGAAGTCATTTGCTATTCTGTCCTTATTTATCGTTGCTTCGGTGGCACAGTCTGTAAGCCTCAAGTTTGGTGAAATCATTGGTTGCTAGACTGACACCTTGAACCCTTAGTCCTCCAATCCATATATTCCGTCAGGAATCAGTCAAGGTTGTTCAAACTATTTAGTTAGTTTGAACAGCAATGTCACCTTTTCCTCCTGCACAACTCCAATTATCTCTGCGACATCACAATTTGCACCGGGGGTCAGCTCGAGCAGCATCAACACGACCACCATTAACACTGCATTGAGCAACCTCTGCTCGACATCTGCGTTTAATGCATGCCCTGACAGCACTGTTCGCGCTCAGTTGATGGCGTACTACTCGGCATGCTCAGTAGAGCTTACGACCAGTCTCAACATCGATGTCCTCAGGACTTATGATGTCCTCTATACCCTGACGCCACTCAGACAAGCCGTATGCTCCAAGGCTGATAACGGGCAATACTGTGTCACGCAGCTGAACATCACATCCAGTAGTTCTGCGACTGGAAATGTGGCCGTGGTCACCTCCCCAAAACAAGATGTGCTGCAGCAATACCTATACACAACGCCTGATCTAGCTAGCGGGGTGTCCTCACGTCGGGACGTCAGCAACACCACCACTGCACTCATTCCCAACACCACAACGTATCAGGATACCAACCTTGTCTTCCTCTTCCTTCAACCCAGCATGACTTCGACTCAGCTCTGCACCACTTGCACACGCAACACTCTCACGCCATACATCACGTTCGAGTCCAGCCTCCCCTACGCCCCAGGTCTGAGCAACAGCTTGCTGCTCCGTGGCCAGACCGCTCTTTACAATGCCATCCTGGCAAATTGCACGTCTGGCTTCCTGAGCGGCGCTGTGCAGGCCGCCGGCGGCCTGTCTGGTGGCATTCTCAGTAGCAGTGCTCCCCGGTCAATCAGTGCAGATCTATCGTTGCTTGTCAGTGCTATGTTGGGTGCTGCAGGTCTCGCAATCACAGCTTTCTGAGGTCCACGTTATACCAGTCTGGTGGGACTTGTAGCTGATAGTTGTGGAGTTTGGAAGGCTGTCGATGATGACTGGAATGGATCTATCTTCTTCTATTATACCTATTGCGATCCCACTTTAGACAAATACCCTCCAGGCGTCATTTACGAAGTTGTTTGTCGTTTTCCCTTTCCCTTTTTGATTCGTTTGGACATGGTGTGCTTGGAATTACTTCAGTCGTGTCACTCGGTAAAGAGTCGACTCAATAATACCAACATACACATCTCATTAATTAATGATACAGTGCTGAGCGCCGAATGATTTTATGTCCCTGAAGTACTCAATGATCTGCACGTTCTTCCAGCGACCACTTGATTTGAATACACGCTTGGCGAGGGCTTGCTCTTGAGTCTGATGGTTGCTACGGTAGGCGTTGTGGTTGACAGGAACCGCACCCTGACCGGGACCTCTTGAATTGCGGCGGTGTTCTAAATGGACATGCGTTTTATGGCGTGGCTAGCTTTATAGCTGATTGAGCGCTATAAACAAGCAACTCGGTGGAAGGAACATATCCATAGCGGAGATTGATTGAACAGATCCACGGGATGCCCCATCGAAAATGCGAGTGGGTTTAATACTTACAATGGTAGCAATCTGTAGCAATGCATCAACACTAAATGGCGTATCAAAGGCTCCACAGGTGCCTACGCTAGAAAACGCGAGGTAGTCGGATGCGGGTGTGAAATAACAACTTGACCAGCCAGTGCTGTGGTACAATTTAGTTCGGAAGGAACTAGTTAGCTAAAACAGCGCACTGTGGCCAATGTACGAGGCGGTCACCGCACATGAAAGACTCAGAAAGAGTTACATTTGAAGGACAAACGCAAGCAATAGGATCTCTACTACCATCACGAGGGCACCAATGGCAACAACATCACGTCCAGCCGTTATGAACGGACTGACCATATTCTCGTCTGTCTTCCTGCCCGACGGTAGGGAGCGCTTGCTGATAGAGAGCACTGGTTTTCGATTGATCGGCGAAGTCATGCCGTGAATGTCGAGCACGAATATACCCGAGAGCGAAAAGGAGAATGGAGAGAACGAGATAGAGAATACCGACTGTTCGATGTTATAGGAAACAGCAGGTGACGGGGGGAATGAGATCGCGGTCATCATGGAAAAAGTCAAGGACGAAAGACTCACTTCGAAGAAAACGCGAATCGAACAGCCTGAGTGCCGTTAGTGCATACCCAAGGGTAGCAATGGCAGTACGACGATATGCACCATTAAACGTGCGGTTGCGTGCACGAAGTTCATTGAGCTCAAGGACATCAAGCGGCACAAACGAATCTGCTCTGTGACCCCTAAATTATGATACTCATGTTTATGATATCGGGGGTCATTTCGTAGATTTAGAGCTCACCTGTATGTGTGCATGATGGAGGTGAAGTGCAGCGTGAGTCGAGCTGGCTCAATTTGGTGTTGTGACAGTGGTGAGAAACTGGTTTGGCTCGGTTCGGCACATTTTATTCTTCAGAATCACAACTTGTTCTTCCAACTCAAGCACAAGTTGCACGTGAAGGTGGTGGTCAGCTCGAGCAGAGTCCAGGTTTGACATCGATGGTTCTGTCTGCCACACTACGCATAGGCAGTCGCTTGAGTCCCAGGGTCTCTGGTGCAAGGTATTTTTCCAACGATTCTACTCGCATAACACTGCTGACGGACACTACAGAATATGGCTGCAAGTGCCTCAAAGCCAAACACGTTCTTTAGTTTTGCAGGTGCGCGTTATCGAGTACCATATGACATCGGTTACTCAGTCTTACTGCAGCACTCAAAATTTGTGCCGAGGGTGCTCTCTTACCAACGTATACCGCATAGTCGTAATTTTTGGTGGTCAAAATCGGCAATACCTGAGCAGCAGGTAGCATCGGCAGTGGAGTCAGCACCAGATTCCAGTATCAACACCATCTCTACTGTTGTGGACACGGAACCAGCAACAGCAGTCGATACGGCGACACTAGACTCTGCTCCCATACCAGGAACTACCTCGCAGGATAGTTTAACAAGCGTTGCTAACAGCGATGCGGGTATCGATATTTCTGCGGTTGATACCGTCATCTCACCTCTTCAATATGGAGATTTAGCAGAACTAGGTCTCACTGGCTGGTCACCGGCTGGGATCATACGGTGGTCATTCGAAATTCTACAAGTCAGCAGTGGAATGCCGTGGTTTTACACGATCATCGCTGGAACACTTTTCTGGCGTTTGATCATCTTACCTGCCAACGTCATGAGCCTTCGCAACTCGTCACGTTTGCTTCCCTATACCGATCAACTGCAGGCCGTGACGACAGAATGGAAACAGATCAACACTGGTGACCGCCTTGCATTGCAACGTATATCCCTAAAGAGACAGAAAATTTACGAAAAAGCGGGGGCGCGGGTGCTTCCCTCCATTATCATGCCTTTTGTTCAAATCCCGGTCACGTTGGGTTTGTTCTTTGCTGTCAGGAAGATGACCCTGCTTCCTGTCGAGCAGCTCAAGCAGAGCGGCGTCTTTTTTCTACCTGACTTGACTATGGCAGACCCATACTACATCCTGCCAATCTTGTCTACTGTTGCCATTAACATCCAAATGTCGGTGCGTGTATTCAGAAGTTATGCACTGAGGAATTACTAAACGGCGTTCACAGGTGATGAAGGGAGACGTTAATTTCGCTGAGAAACCCGACATGGCACATATCATGAATTACATGCGCATCTTTTCATTCCTGAGCGTCCCTCTCATGGGCTCATTGCCTAGCGTAAGTTTTCTCTGTCCGTTCTTACATTTTCGATCCTAATGATCATTCAGGGTTTGTGGTTGTCCATCCTGACTGGCGTGATGGTGTCATGCCTGCAGTCCTTCATCCTACAACGCGCAACGGTGCGCAGGTGGCTCAAGATATCTCCTCGTGTCGAACCAAAGGTCAAGCCACCCACTATGATGGAATCCATGCAGTACGCGAAATCGTGGTACATGGGCAAGAGGAGTGAGATCACTGCTGCTCGAGCTCAGGCAGCAAAAACTCAGAGGAGATGAGACATTCAGTGAGGCAATATGCATAGAGGCTATTGTATATTTAAATTAATACACCCGTGCTCTGCTCGTTCTACTCGGTTGCAAGTCAAAGTTTGAGAAGATATCAATATTTGGTATTACGTAACACGGCTATAGTACATAGCCAAACGGAACGTGGCAGAACGATCACCCCAAGCCCCGTCTGCTACAGCCTGTGGTACTCTGTGACACTTCGCGCAAACTTGAAGAATGGTCTTCAAGTTGAGCTCAATCACGGTACAGGCGTCACCCGCAGTACCATCTGAAGCTCCCATTGCAGAAGAGGAAGAGTACTATTCGTCATGGTCTCTGTTTCTTGTCTGCTTGCTACTTATCGTTTCGTTATGGACGTCGTATTACCTGCAAATCAGGAGAATCCGAGCCATCCATGAGACGACCGTCTCTATCTTTGCAGGGATGTTCGTTGGTTTGGTGGTTAGACTTGCACCGGGCACGATGATTCGAGAAATGCTAGTGAGTATCCGCTTGTTATTTCCTGGCTTCTTCATTCTGCGATTTCACCGTCTTACTTTCACACTGCTAGTGGAGCGCGTCTCCACGGTCCTTGTAAATCACGGCTGTCTGTGGCTGAAGCTCTATCCATAGACCTTCAAACATACTCTGTTCTTCAACTTGCTACTTCCTCCCATAATCCTTAACTCCGGATACGAGCTCAAGCAGGTGAGTAATGTGCAGAGGTCAAAATAGAGTCATAAATACGACCTTCCTGCAGGAGAATTTTTTCCGCAACTTCGGTTCCATCCTTACCTTCGCATTTTTTGGGACATTCATATCAGCTGTTGGTGTCGGGTGCGTCAAATGCGAAAAAGCTTCGCGCATTACGTTGCTTAACTATCCTAGGACAGGGTGCTCGTGTATATCTACTCATTCCTGGGACTAGAATCCTTGGATATTACATTGCTAGAGTGCTTGATCTACGGCTCCACACTATCTGCAACTGATCCTGTGACTATTCTTGCTATATTCAATCAGTACAAGGTGGATCCAAAGCTCTACACCATCATCTTTGGCGAGAGTCTGCTCAATGATGCGGTCAGTATTGTCATGTATGAGTAAGTTCGAGTTGTCTTTCCCCCGTCTAGGATATGTGAACTTATCTTCTGATTTTCAGAACTCTCGCGCAATTCCACGGCACAGAGATATACATCTCGTCCATATTCCATGGCATTGGAATTTTCTTACTTTCATTCAGCGTATCTATGGCCCTTGGCGTTAGTTTCGGCCTGGGAATGTCACTAATCCTCAAACACTCATCGAATGAGTCTGTATCCTTCCATTGAATCTTGTCTTGTTGCCCTTTGCGCATACACTTGCTATTTCTTGTCGAACGGCTTATCGATGTCTGGCATCGTATCCCTCCTGTTCTGCGGCATCACCCTAAAACACTACGCGTACCACACCATGTCCCGGCGAACGCAGCGAACAACAAAATACATCTTCTCGACTCTCGCTCAGCTCTCCGAGAACTTCATATTCATCTACCTCGGTCTCTCACTCTTCACAAGCCCTCCATCCTCGGAGCGCGTTACCAACTACGTCAAGCCCCTCTTCATTGTGGTCACCACGGTTGCAGTCGTGTTTACACGATACGCAGCCGTCTTCCCTCTATCTGAAGCAATCAACTTCTTTCATCGCCATGCTCGGGGACAGCGAACAGAAGAGCTTCCACACTCTTACCAGATGATGTTGTTCTGGTCTGGCTTGCGAGGTGCAGTGGGTGTAGCACTTGCAGCTGGTTTTAAGGGCGAGAACGCGCAGACACTGCGGACAACTGTCCTCGTTGTAGTGGTTCTTACTGTTTTCGTCTTCGGGGGTACCACTGCACGCATGCTGGAGATCCTTGGTATTCGCACAGGCGTTGAAGATGAGGCTGCTAGCAGCAGCGACGACGAAGACGCACCACCGGGACGCAATCCATGGCAAAATCGCCGCAATAGTGGTGCATGGAACAGGTACACCGACGATTCTGAGCCACTGCCCTATTTCTCGCCGTCGCAGCACGGATATGGGCGGGCTGCAGGCAGAGTAGGGTCACATTATGCAACAAGAGGTTATAACCACCACCCACAAGCACCGCCGTCGCCGATTGGCAATACTATGTTTTCTGCTGCATCATCGGAGTCCTTTGAGTCGGAAGGGGAGGTGCTTCCTATGGCGACGACGTCAGCGGAGGCTGGTCCGTCTGCAGACAGACATGATGGCGCACAGGCCAGCGAGGACGGCAAATGGTTCCAGGCCCTGGATGAGAGATACCTACTTCCTTTGTTCTCGAATGCCACTGCCAGCCGCACGTTCCACGCCAGACGCGCGCGAAGGAATGTCTCAATATCCAGTCCCGCAGGTACGAATGCAAGCGCAATAGGCACGCCGCATGACAGTGAAGACGAGGTTGAGAGCCCAGCGGTGGAGCTTGGATCAGTGGGGACGATGACGCCCGGCAGGCAGTTCTCAAGTTCCAGGACACCCTCTCCAGAAGAACAAATACGTTCCGAGAGGGGTCTTGCCACACCCGTTTTGCGGAACGGTAACGGTAGGGACGAGGGACAGAGTCGAGCAGGTCCTTAAGGATTGGTTGGTCTCATAGTTGTTTCATAATATTAGATATCTCATTAAGACGTTTTTGCTACTACGTGATCTACCGACACTAGAACTGAACGATGTTAACTAAGCAAAAAACAATGGTCCTTGGCAGAGGACTCCTCGCCAAGTCCTCCAGACCTCGCCTGCAGGTATCGATAACGCCAACTTGCACAGCGACATGAAGAACCAGTGCGAAAATGACGCTTCGGAAGTACAGCGGCATGTACGAGCACAGGAGTACTCCACAAGGGGATCGACATTATCGGAACTGCGTTCTGATCTGTGATCACCACCTCCTTGACATCACTACGTATGTACTAGTATGTATCATAATCAAATGAAACATGGATTTCCGATCTGCACAGGATCTATTTATAGGTTTGTGAATTTGCAAACATATGGATCACATCGACGTAGATACATTAGTAAGGTGGTGGTACAACACATCAAGATTCGATAGCAATGATTAGTATAATAATACAGTAACATCACAGAAGATCCGCATTCCGTAAATGCGTACGAAGGATACTTTCTTCGACTGGAAGCATCCATGTAAGGATTCAATGTGATACGTCTTAAGCCCGTGGACACTCACCTACGCTTAATGTAGCCGCGGTTGCCTTTGTATCCTAAAAGAAAAAGACCAGTTAGCCATCCTTCGTACCAGCTTGGCCTTGGGTGCACAAGTCGGAGGAACTCAAGAAACCCAAGTATGTCAAGCAGTGGGATAGACTCACGATTACCGATGTGAAATGAATAAAGAATGGCCGTGGCTCCGGGGAAGACTGTTTAGAAATTTCCTTGAAATGTTGTTGGAAGTCTAGAAAAGAAAGAAAAGGTCGCGTGAGCGTCGATGTTTAGTTATGACATATTCGCAAACCGGGACGTACACCTCATCACTGTGATGGTGTCGTTTTTCCGGCTGCCGTAACTTGGGATGTGATCCTTTATACGCAACCCTCGCTTGATTTTATTGTGTAGGATGTCGCACTTGTTAAGAAAGAGAATGATCTCGGTCTTGGCTAGAATACGAGACGAGCAGACTGATTTCCATAAGAGATAGCTGTCTTCTAGGCGGTTTATCCGACGATCTTCACGGAGCTGCTCGTCAAAGCAAGAGATCGGACAAAGGAAAATGATAGCATCGACGTCGTCAAAATACGACGCCCATGCTGGACGCTTCATAAAACGATGGTAAGTTCCATATTCCATCATATGATTAGACGAGTGGTCGTATTTACCGAAGACCTCGTTCCGCCAACATCATACAATAGCCACTCTTTACCGTTGCCTGCGGAATGCTGCTTAATTGAAGTCAATGAAAGTGATGGAACGATTCACCTTCGTCCATCACGACCTTATGTTCTTGGACGCCAACCGTTCGTAGGCGCGCACGAACAATGTCGTCGTCACTAGGTTCATAGTCATATGATACGATGCGGTCGATGTCGTTCAAAAAGCTTTTGATGACCCGATAAGTAAGGTTATTATAATATGAAATAAGGAACACTCACAAGCCCGGAGAGTCTTCGATCTTTGTTTTACGATGAGACAGAACTTGCTGGACAACAGGGTCCTGCCACAAATCTACCATGGTTTCCTTGGACGCAACGAGCACATCGGTAATCTCGTTGTGGTCGGTATCGCTTCGTCTATGAAGACGGGGACTGGTCATCATCGATGGGCGAAGCTTTTCCAAGGCAGATTTCCATCCATTTGTTGAATTGATACCGAAATCTCTTGACGGGCGTTTTGGTAGTGGTTGCGAGCCCGCGGAATCAAACGGTGTTGCGGACTTGGAAGTTGTTGATCGAACTTCTTGCGATTCAGGACCGAGCTTGCTCTCGAGGTCACTCTGAATGCTGCGCAAAGGACCGAGACGCCGTTGCATGAAACGGTGTTTATCTGAGAAACGATAAGCCGACCCATGGTCGACTGTTTCGTCCTCAGAGTCGCTGCTATACTCTGCTGTTGTAGACCCTGGGCGTTTTTCGGCTTCGGCTAGGGTCATTTCCCGACTGAGGATATCCAGGACCCTTATGATGTTGCGAAGGAGGTTCAAATAAATAACTGCCCGCCATGAAGCTCGCTCTTCCGCCCACTCGCGTCGTGCGTGCTGCAATTGGAAATCTGTGAAGCGAAATTATCTTTAACCCCTTGATACTCCATAAGCATCCTCGAACGCACTTTTGAGCGTAGCAGACTTTCCTGCACGACGGAGATCAGTGTACTCCTAAACGAAGCCATAAAGAACGCACCGCTCTCACTCTGTCCGAGTAGAAGTACTTTGACAGGTTTCTTCTTCTTCTTCAATGCGCTTCGTTCCTGGCGGATTTGCTCGTCGATAGCCTCACTAATTCGACGAGCTTCGATCTCAGCCTGCTCGCGTGTCTCTTTCTCTTCTGGTGTTTCATCTTGGGGAGGTGCGATTGCAAGTGCAAGGGGGTCATCCACAGATATGCGCATCCTCGCGAATCAGGGGATAAAACAGAGAAGAGATTACAACAGATGAGAAAAGAGGACGAATTGTCACTCCGCTGAAGGAGAGACGACCAAAAACACCAATATAGACGCCGTACGGCAGATAGATGTTCACAAGCCCAAATGACCCGTGGTTGCAGAGTCCTGACAGAGCCTGTCAAAAACCTGAAGGGTTGCTCAAATTGAAAGAGCATGTTTCTGATTACGTGGCATGAATTATCTATCTCTGTAACATCTAGACATCCTAACGAAGAAAGGTCTTCAAATTTCAGTGTCGAGCATACGGTTGTAGTAAAAGTGCTATATTCAAGCCTGCAGGACTGTACCAGGGTTATAAACATCTTGCCCATGCTGCCAAGTAAGGTTGATGGCGGCGAAACACAAATAGTTCGCCTTGGGCGTATGTTGCGTGGGTAATGTGGCGTAATGTTTGTTTATATTTGTGAACCGTTTCGCGATATAAGAGGGCGACATGTGACTTTCCCGTGACTTTGACCTCCTTACCCCGTGACCAGCACGACCTCATTCCTGCAGCACCTTGCTCCCAAAGTCATATTGCCTTGTACCCTGTTGTTGTTGTGAGTCAACAAATATACAAACTACCTACAAATTAGGAAGAGTAACATGAGTGGTTGTTTAGCTCGCTGGCGACTCCAGTCCTCGTCATTTCCTTATGACTTCTGCTCAACACTCCTCTCTTCCCGCCGGCGCATCGACCACCAGTGTCAGTCAGAGTTCACCTACATCAGTTGCAGTTTCTCCTCCCAATGTGGAGCGTATCCCCTTGCAGATAGAGGGTATGGATGCTGCTCAAGTCTCTAATCTCCTCAAAACCCTACCCAGTCTCTTTCACAAGGTTTGTGAGCAATAATCCTTGAATACATATTTTTACGCATCGGATTACCTTCGGAGTTATGAGGTTGACTCTGTCTCCGTCGCATTCGTCAACCTTCACTGGATGTTCTGCTGACAACATTTTTGTTACATTAATAGTCCCCTGCTCAAGGCGATATGACCGGAGAGGCCGCTCAATCTTTGCAGGCTCTCGCTCAAGCCGGATTGTTTCCTCTCCAGAATCAGCACCAGCTTCAACACCCGATATCATTCCCTGGCGATCCTGGCCCTTCTTCACACCCCCGCGGACCACCCAACCTTGGACAATTGTCTGCGGCTGCGGCAGCTGCTGGTCAAACCCCTCCGGCGGCCCCTCACACGCAGGATGGAGGAGAAGCTCTTAGCGATGTCGAAGTTGGAGAACAGCCTGCCACTAGGTTCACAACCGGCCCCTGCATCGGCGGGACGATCCCGGGCCGCTAGGAGCGCTGCGATGGGCACCGATGAGTGGACCCGCCAGCGTAAGGACAACCATGTAGGTATCTTCAACGGTATCTGCTGTGATCTGCCCATTGGTGCTCATGCAATTATCTCAGAAAGAAGTCGAGCGTCGACGCCGAGGAAACATCAACGAGGGTATTAACGAACTCGGTCGCATAGTACCGAACAGTTCTGGTGAGAAGGCAAAAGGCGCAATTCTTCAGCGTGCTGTGCAGTATATCCACCATTTGAAAGAAAACGAGGCGCGCAACATTGAAAAATGGACACTAGAGAAGTTGCTCATGGATCAAGCAATGGGTGACTTACAAGCGCAGTTGGAGGACATGAGGAGGTCATGGGAGGAGGAACACATCGCACGACAAAGAGCAGAGAACGAACTCGATGTGTTGAGGGGTGTATCGGGCCAGGCCCCAACCGTTCCATATAAATCTCGTTCACGTTCAGTTGAGCGAGGTCAGGATGGGCCGTCTAACAGAGGTCCTTTTGGTGAAAGTGAAGTGCGAACAGAGCTTGGAAATCGACCAGAGGAAGGTGGCGATGACTCGGAAGGGAGGCCCGGGAAACGTGCGAGGGTTGATTGAGGTTATGTAGTTCGTATTCTCTTTTTCAGCTGTATTGATAATGCATCCGTAAATCTTACCTCATTTTGCCTAGCGCTTTTTTCTAGACCTGTATTATGATCGTACGCCTGGTAGCTTGTTTGTGGAAGACATGACATGTTTATCTGTCTTGGTTTGACCCTTGCCAGCGGCTTCAGGGTGGGGAAGTTGTCACTTCTTGGCACTTTATCTCCTGTTACATTAACGGCGAATGACCTCAACAATTCTCAGCAGTTCTTGCGCCTTCGCGCGGGAAAGTTTCCGCACTCAATCTGCACCACCGCGCAGCACTTGACATGGATTTCCTTGTCGAGAGAACCGTCGACATTCAATATATAATCTTTGACGTGCTGGTATCCACAACTCACTAGTAATGTTGACCATCAATATCATGCATTATGTCTGTCTGTTGTTGTCCGTCATGGGGCTCGTCCTCTACGCCATCTAGCGCAGCTATCTCACGAGAAATCCGCTAGATAATATTCCCGGCCCCCCTCGCCAGCGTTGGTGGACATGTAAGTGCACAATCCCAACGAGAGTTCATGCACTGACAAAATTGATTAGGCAACTTGAATAAGATATTTGCGCCGCATGGATGGGATTTCCACAAGATGCTTGCGGAACACTACGGTCCAGTATCAAAGTTATATGGGCTTTTTGGGGTATGTTAATAGCAGCGACGACCAAGCAAGCGCAGAGATTTTTCTTACAACGTCATCTACAGACAAGGCAGTTGTATGTGTGGGACCCAAAGACTATGTACCACATCATGGTCAAAGATCAGTACACCTTTGAAGCAGCTCCTTCTTGGCGTAGGGTTGTCCACTGTGCCTAACGTTTCACTTCACTGGAATACTCTGCAGGACAAACAGTCATTTTTTGGGACGGCCTTCTCTCGACATTGGGTGCGACGGGACTCTTGTTGTGTCCCTTTATCTTATTCCTAATACAGGCGAGCACCATGAAAAGTAACGGAAGATGCTCAATCCCGTATTTTCCATCAGCCACGTGCGGGAGATGGTACCTGCTTTCCTTCAAGTGACGAAATGTGCAAGTGCCTTATCCGTCTGGCGCTAACGGCTTTACTGATTGCGCATATGAAATAGCTCCAAGACGGAATTGCAGCGCAGGTAGAGCGTGGGCCACGTGAGATCAATATCCTGGAATGGCTCAATCGCACCACTCTTGAACTTGTGGGGCAGAGCGGACTGGGGTAGTCTTTTGACTGTCGGAAAGAAGGGTATACTAACCCATATAGCATCACTGTCAAGAACCTCCTGTAAGCATTCTGGCGATTTCTTTCAGCTCTATGATTAACGAGAACTCCAGGCCATCAATATTAAAGTGTCTGTTGCGAGGCAATTTCTCCCGTTTCTTATCCATGTCGGGCCTCCTAAAGCATTCTCCCGTTCTTGGTTTCTTTGTCGTGATTGAGATCATAACCACCGAGACATTTATCGCAATAGTCCAGAGCCAATATGAATGCCTCAGCGGAAGATTGTCTTCCAGATTCAGAGCTCGTGGCCCCAGATGAGGTAGGGGTAGTTGCATCCACGTTATTTTTCTAACGTTACTCCAGCACACTTGTTGTTACCGCAACACATACGACTGCAGTGCCCTGTGTCGCACCCTTTTGACGCTTGCTCACCATCAAGATGCACAAGCAAGACTGCACGAGGAAATTCATCCAGCAATGGATGAACACGGCGAGCTTGATTACGATGCTCTATCCAATCTTTCATATCTCGATGCAGTGTGTCGAGAGACTCTGCGCTGGTAAGAGTTCACCTCTTGGAACTTACGTATGCTCACAACGATGTAGGTATCCTCTAGTTATCACCGTCACACGCACGTATGTCCCTCCCGGATTCTGCCAGAAATGTTTGACATCTTTTCCAGGGCACGTGAAGATATAGTCCTCCCCTTCTCATGTCCCTTCAAAGAGAATGATGGGAAATATATGCACGATGTCCTTGATGCCGAATAACACGAATGTTGTCATTTCAATCCTGAGCTCAAATAGAAATCCTGAAACCTGAGGAGACGACGTCCTGCAGCGGAAACTGGAGAGATGACTATTTCCGCTTCCACAGCGTGTACATCGATGCACAAATTCCAGGGGTTTACTCTCACCTGTGAGTGGTATTTGGGAATATCAATCCCTGAAATGCTGGTACTCAGTGAACCATCTTTCCTCCAGAATGGCATTCATTGGCGGCGGAAGAGCATGCATGTAAGATTTACCTTGTGCAACATTTGTCGGTTCTCTGATTGAGCACAAATACAGTGGATTCAAGTTTTCGAAACTTGAGATGAGTTCGTATTTTTCGTTTCTAATTGTGAACCTCGGCTGACGACTTCGTCAGAGATGGTCCTTTGCATTCTCCTACAAACGTTCAAGTTTACTTCTGCGCAAGAGATCGAGTGGACCACGCAGGTGTCATATCCGAAGGTCAAAGGTTCTGATAATGCGAAGTGGCAGTTACCTCTCCGAGTCGAGATGGTATCAACCTGAATACGTGCGGCGCCAGATAGTACGTCGCCGAGAAAATCTTTCAGTGTTGGGAACGTCGTGAAAATGTAACGCAGGGCCCTTCATTGTGAGTCGACCCTCGGTGTTTGGAACTGTTCAACTATAGTTGCTATGTATAGTACATGTTATGATGGGCGCGTTTCAATTCTCCAGAGTCTCAACTTGAAATTATCTCATTCGATCTGATGTTGGATGCGTATATGATAAGGGCATTCACGGTGAGTACTGGTATTATTTGCTACGAGACTATGAACGATTAGAGTGCATCACTACGTCCACGCGCTCCCCTCGATTGCCTGTGCTCGTTGCCTTGGGCATCGGGTGGGTTGAGAACGGGGGAAACAACAGAACTCCCGGGACCGCATGACCCAGATTGTCAATGGGGTTTGTTCTATCGTCGCGAAACCCATATCGTGGAAGCTGCTGTGTAGGGCCCACTGCCCAGGGCAAATTGGTTACCTTCTTCCTTTCTCAGCCTTCCGCAGTGCTCGTCTGTCGTTCAGGTTTGCTCCACCACGGACCAAGGAGAATCGCAGGGCTCAACCCTTGCAGTATAAATTTCCCTTGGCCCTACCCAAGTAGGTTCCCGAGGTAGTTTTACAGTCCGCCAGCGCACGCAGCTCCTCTGCATACTACCACAACCATGGCGCCCCACATCCAGCACCTGGCGTGTCGTATGACGCCCGATCGTGTGGGCGTCCCTTGTAGTGGAAGGGACAGTATCAGACATCGTGGCCAGTGCTGACGTCTGGGTCTGGCTCACACCCCTCAAATCTGAATAGCCTCGAGTCCGAGGAGCTCCATCTGTGTGGGGTATTTCCACGAGATGTCAGAAGGTGAGTTCCGCCATAAGTGCAAATGCCTCGCAATCATGTTTTCCTCTAGCTTAACAAACCAGTTGCAATTGCCCTCGGATATACTCTTGTCCAATGCGTAAAGTCCATGAAGCTGGAGGAGGGACACCGATAAGGGTTCGAAGAATTTACGAGTATAAAGCTGGGCCAGTCGACAATGACTTCTCGCAATTGTCGATAAATCCCTCATCGACGGCTGTGAGAAGCTCGCTCCAACCAAAGAGGGTAAGACCCTAGTCTGCTGCCGTCTTTTATCACCACGATGTTCAGATATTGCGGTCAAAAAAGACGGCAGCAGTCGAGATCCACAGGTTGAAGTGCAGGATGGTACGGACAACCATCCACGCATTAGATTATTTACAGGCTTTGATCCCTTTTACTCTCGTTCTTGCACCCTCTAAATTATAATGCTGCCATGTGCTAAAGGAGACCTGTGGGTTTGGCATTGGGCAAGGTTAGCCGCGTTTGATGTGCGCTTCCTCACTTGCATAACAAGGCGTTGAAACTCAGAGCAGCTTGTGCATGCAGATAAGTTGCGAACCGAGGAGAAGACCCAATCCGAAGGAGTAAAAATTGCGCTCCAATTCTTGTGTACTAAACAGGATAGCGGAGACACCCATGACATGTGTCGGCAGGAAAGATTCTCGTACTGGAGAAATGAACGTGGGTGGGCTGGACCCTGGTTTTGCAAGCTGGTTTCGAAGTTCTGCGGCAGTCGCACAGTTCTATCCTTCGATCGATGCGCTTTCCAAAATTTGCCCAAGGTCGTAGTCTCCTGTAATTGGCAGAGGGAAAGGCAGTCTTTCCTTTTGATTACCAAGGACGTCACGGTGGTTGATGGAATAAAAGATAAATCGATACTTACATAACATCTCGGCAAAATCAACGATCATGTCCAGGAACGTCATCCCCACCGAAGATGAAGTGAGAAAGGCCGCCATCGAACTGAAAAAGAGCAACCCTGCTTCCGGCGTCGCCAAAATCCAAAGCCTCTTACTCGACGCAAATCCATCATGGGCAGTCAGCGAAAAACGCGTCCGAAAGATCTTGCAAAGCGAGGGGCTCGTCAGATCGGACGGGACGCCCAGTAGCCACACAACCAACATCATCCATCCGGCTTCTCGTCTGAACAAAAGTCTTGATGTCGACAAGTGGACCAGTCAGGTGGAAGTCAAGTACTTTGACGCGATTAAGGGAAAGGGCCTCGTCGCTAAAGAAAAAATAGCAAAAGGGGATGTTTTGTGGAAAGAGGATCCCTTCATCCTAGCCCCAGAGTGGTGAGACCTACAAGTGTCCGTTTCTCGAAACAAAGAACTTATGTCTGGAAAGGGAGTTATATGATCTTCAGAATTCATCGGAGGCATGCGCCCTCTGCGCGACCATCTTCCGCGAGCATTCCCCGTTGCATATATCCTGCGAGGCCTCCACAACCGCAACTCCATGTACAGCAAGATACTGCAACAGACTCTGTCGTGCCCAGGCAGACAGAGTGCACCCTCTCCTTTGTGCCGCACGCAATCCCGCGTCTGTACCACTCCTTGCATTCGCAAGAAATGCGCAGTGGATGGCCCTGCATGCTCTCGCGCAGTGTACCAGTCGACTTTTAATGGCTTCTCAGAAGGATGCTGCGACGTTCGACCTGGACTGGGAAGTAGTTCAGGGCCTCGCTGAGCTTGGAATGGAAGAACGTGCTCAGTGTCTTCGGTGAGCCATGGGATTCCAACACTTCAATGGCGGACGCCCACTAACTGCTCTGAAAGCGAACAGGGACTGGAGCCAGATCGCGAAAATTGGCGGAAAGCCTTTGAGCTGTACTTACAAGCATTCAAAGAACCTCGCACCCCTGCAGAACAGAAAAAACTGGCACGCATCTTGAAGAAGTCAATTCCCGAAGATCTACAGAAGGACACCTTCGAATATCAGGCCTTCTTACGTGGCTTGGGTCGTATGAGTCTAAGTAAGCTGTTCCATAACTATCATCATTTTGTTGTTCGTTGTTTTACACCAGTCCATAGATCTCGAGGCCCATGGTGGATTGTATAGACTACATTCTCACCTTAACCACTGTTGCACTCCCAACGTTTCCATAAGACACTTGGATCAGCGCACCGCGCTCGCGCGTATCACGGTGATCGCAAAGGAGGGAATCGAAGCAGGACAGGAGCTCCTAATTACATATACTAACCCCCAGAGCAATCTCAGAGATCGGCGCCGAAGATTATCAGAGTGGGGTTTCGGACCTTGCCGGTGCGACCGTTGTGTGGCGGAAGAGAAGGTTTGGAAGGACTCGGATAAGAACACACAGGACGCGGACGATCTCGTAGATCAGCTCAAAGCCGGCCTAGGAGTGTTATAGGAAGAAGGCTTCATTAAATGATCAGCGATTAGGATTAAGTTCCGTTCTGTGCGGCAAGCGTTCGTGATGCCCGTGCTCTTCTTTTGCAGGCGTGTTGAGGTCATCGTCCCGACCATCTGGCTCCGCCGTCGTCATCGCAGGAATTCACAACGATCAAATAACTTTGCATCAAGCTTTAAGATTTAAATCTTTTGAGCATGTCCCATTTACTGGTATGCATCATTCCCATCAGAACGAGTGCATGGTGGCAACTGGCCAGTGGCGATGGTGAAGCGTGTGCAGCGTAATATATCTTGTTAGTGGGGAGGTGATCTCGTTCAAATATTTATATCATCACAGGTCTGACTGTCATGATTCTGCTCCGTTCTGGGACGACTGAGTTCGATCTCCTTCAAGCTTTTTCGGCAAAATCACCGGAGTGGTATACAAATTGCGACCTGTGTTCTTGACATTGGTTACAGTGATCGCAAACCTAAGTTTGATTTTGAGCCAAAGAGGCACCAAGAGGTCGCTCGTCGTAATAATGCGCCCAATCGTAGATACAGTCGCATACGCCACCTGTTTCATTGGGAATTTCAGGGACTCTGATAAGTAAGCTAGCGCGTTCTACTCGTTTCACAAGAAAGAGCGATGGATTGGTAACGGTGTTGTCTTGGACATACGTCATGCGCTGCAGGCGAGTGAATACCTTGGCGAAATCATAACTGAATCTCGCACATCGCAGAATTCAAAGCGCTGGAACAGTCTTGAAATTTCCATACCCTTGACGCCGCTGTTGATGAATCGCGGTCGGGACACGACGTACAGCATAAATGTGTACAAGAATACGACGAGGGTATAATGTAGGTAAAGTCTGAGAATATACAAGAATTTGAATTCCGTTAGATCCCCCCCGAGGGATTGTTCGATAACGAACTCCTTCATTCCCGCTTGAACCTTCTTTACCCGAGCATACCTCCGCGTCATGAGCCAAGGTTGGCTCTGCTGCTCCACCTAATACGGACGCAACTCGGAGCCAAAGGTCATTCCCATGACACCGACGGACATTCAACGAATCGACGATGTATGAAAACAATACGTACCGTACGTACTACTTGCATAGGGCCCTGCCCCAAGGAGACAATCATTTTAATAAAAATAGTGTGCTCATTGACAGGGGGCTAGAAGATCGACACTTACGAATATTGATCAACGGCGACCTTGTGCGGTGCAGGCCTTAGAGGCAGGGAAATTAATGATTTCGAGATGGATAACAGCAGAGATGAGGTGGTACATGTGTCATGGATGCATTGTTCTGGAAGAACATGATACCCATAGGGAAACAAAGCAGAGAGAGGTGTTCTGGCAACGTCGCGGCCAGCGGATGGCGGGTGCAACCATGGCACTTCTCCATTTTTCTGGCAAGTGACGAGCGAGAGATAGGATGATATCAAGCAACTCCTACAGGGAATAGAGACATTACGAGAAACCTACTAGATGGTGATCCCGAAAGTTGGTATATTGAACGCGGTACGGGACAAATCAAGTATGCTGAGAACCAGAAGAGGTGTCAATATAGCGCTGCTCGCGCACAGTCAATAAATTAATTGAATAAGTGTTTCGACAAGTGGAATTCCTCGCATCGTAGTACTGTCAAGGCTCGGAATGTGGGATGTTTGTGGATAAGGCCAAGTGAAGAGCCAGCATTCCTGCAATGCACGGGCACCTTTCCTACAGATCTTGGTGTACTGAACGATTAAAAGGCTCCTGGGACCCGGGGTGCTTCGTCGACGATGCATGCGTATAGTCACTCGATGTAAGATTCTGGCACCAGCCGGTATCAGGAAGTTGGTGGATGTTGCCGGGCATCTTCTTGGTGAGGCGCCGTGATCTGGCCCGCCTGTACATAGTCATGCTTATATGCCATCATCATGCATCATGGCCCGGGGGAGTGGCTGGCGCTTCCTAGGGCCTGGGCCTTGCACCAGCACCAACTTCTTTCAGTGTTACGAGAATTATTGTTAGTATGCTCCCACTTGGTACAAAGTATATTTCACAGTGTATATCGAACCATCTAGGGCTATACATTATACATTATACAATTTTCTGGGCGTCTACCCGCAAACCATGAAGGGAGCTGGCCAAATCCAATACAAGATGAGATTTATGCACCATTACCGTATACATTATGACATAGTACTAGTACTATATAATTAGCGATAACATGTGTTGTGCGCTTTTAGCAACAAAAAATGAGGCTAAAGTGGATAGATCCCTACCACCCTAGAAAGACATCCATGCTCTTGAAGGACATGATGAACTTAAGAGTTCTCGAATACGCAGTCTCCCGGAACATGATCTAGGTGAGATTCAAGTTGGTACGCGCGAACAAGAGACGTCAGTGATGAAGATTGGAGGCTATGTCTGCGATATTTTGGACCTCCCCCATGGGCAGTGATGGTCCATTGGTGAACACAGTACTGAGATTGTGAGACACTGAGACGGGCAAAATCATATTGCAAAACGTACGGTTCTCGGATGTGAACTCGCTTATATCCGGGTCACTTGATCGCATTCGGCACCGTGGTCCGTGGTTTGTACATTGCGAATTACTGTGCTTATCATCGTTTCATCGATCAGCGGCTCTGCTGCTACTTACATTATCGCCAATTTGCTTTGGAAATGCAGAATATGTCTTATTCATTAACTATGTATTTCCTTCTCTCGACAGATGCTGGAGGAGCTGGCTAACGCGACAACTGCGTGAGATGCACAACAGGCTACAGCAGCTGCAAGGAATTCCAAAGTCAAGATATACAGAACGTGGATAGTGCGTATTGGTTGCCGTCGTGTATGTTTGCTCTCGCTTCAGACAACTTCAATGGGGGTAATTCGGTCAGAATCACTGTCCAACATATACCTGTGGAATCCTTATTGATGTGCCACACATACGTGTCAAGATGTATAAAATATTAACTTCTGACAACTGGACTGTGCTGGAAGCTTCTTCCTTCAAAGTACGGCCACATCTTCACGTCCTCTTACAATGAGTTTCCATTCCTCCGGTGTTGTACTCAAGGGCAAGAAACATACAGAGGTCTCGTTGTCGACCAAGGATATCGACACTGGTGCTCAGCTCGTTGCTGGCTTAACTTTAGCTCTCGATCCCGATGAGGCGTTGAGAATAAGGTGCGCTGTGAAAACTACGTGCATATTACCATTGTCAGAAAGCCTTTCGTTTCAGGAGGAAGATCGATAGACATATCATGCCTCTGATGTGTGGTGAGTCGACCGCTGTACTCAGTCTTCTAAATCAATTGCGACTGACGATCACGGTTCAGTTCTTTACTGGTAGGTCGACTGTATTCACTACAAATCAGCGCTTACGTGTACATAGGATCCAATTCATGGACAAGACAACTTTGAATTATACGTCCATCCTTGGGATTCAGTAAGGATTGTGTATCGAGACTCATTCAACCCCAATACTAACATACGTTATCAGACAATCCACGAATCTGACCACAAATGAGTAAGTTAGGACGTTCTTACTCTTAGAATCGAAAGTTTGAAGTTCATATATCTTCAGGTACAATTGGTGAGACATGGATTACTCAAGCTTGCATGCGCCTTACATTATCTTTCAGGCTTAGCACGGTGTTCTATCTCGGTTATCTTGTCTTCGAGTATCCCCAGAACCTTGCTCTTCAGAGATTCCCGGTCGGGAAGTGGATGAGGTAGGCGTTGCAGGCATCATCGATGTAAATATCAATGACAGCCTGCATCAGTATCAATATCTTCGTCTGGGCAGTTGTACTTGCATGTCATGCAGCATGCAAAAACTTTACTGGGCTTGTTGTTGTGCGCTTGTTGTTAGGCGTATGCGAGGGGTCGATCACGGCTGGATTCTTGATCGTTAGTTCCATGTTCTACACGCGGGCGGAACAGACACTGCGGGTTGGTTATTGGTGTAAGTTTTCGTTCGCAAATGATCGTCAAAAGTCGACTGATTAAAATCTAGTCCTGATGAACGGGACTGGTGCGCTTACTGGAATACGCTGCTTGATGTTGCCGACTAAGCCAGCGAACTTTAGCACAAATTATCTCTGGTTTCGTCAGCTTTGGTGTTTTGCACATCAACACCAAAGGGTTTGAACCATGGCAATGGTGACTTTTATTTTCATTACTCCCTATTGTCTCTGATAGATCACAGGCTCATGATCATAACCGGTATAATGACGTTAATCCTTGCCGTCGTATTCTGGTGAGTCTATTCCCATTGCCTAGTATCCTTCACCGAGATCACCCCTGCGCGATGAAGGTTCTGGTTTCCCGATTCACCTACGAACGCCTGGTTCCTCACTACTGATGAGCGGGCTAAAGCCGTGCAGCGCATCAAGGCGCGTCTGTCAAACGAACTGATCTCCCCTTATTTTACAATTAGCGCAGGAGAACCAAACGGGTGTAGAAAACAAACACTTCAAGACGGAGCAGTACGTATTAGATGCGATTGTGTTTGTTCATTATTCCTCACGTACACATCTCTAGGATGATCGAAACCCTGACTGACCCCAAGACTTGGCTCTTCGCCCTCTTCTCGGCTCTATACAATGTGCCTAACTCATTGACAAACCAGATGTCGCTCATCCTCGCTTCTTTCGGATTCACCTATCTACAGACGACTCTCTTGTCCTGTATTCCTGGTGTGATTGAAGTCTTGACCATCTTCTCTGGCGTCCAGCTTGCTATACGACGGCCCAATTCCAGAGCATATGTTGGCGTTATATGCTTCATCCCGACGTGGTTGGGCGTCCTGTTGGTCAGCCTACTTCCTTGGTCGGATCAGGTATGTGGCTTGGTTCTGCAAGTCTACCGAGTTGTGCATATCACACGGTATTAGGTCGGACTTCTTGTCAGCCTATTCCTGCGTGCGTGCGATGCCCGTAGCGTGGTTTTATGCTCATCGCGCTGTAGTTATTGCCAGTACACCTGGATTTGTACTGGCGTTGTCGTGGCTTAATATCGTGACTGCTGGCCATACGAAGAGGGTAGGTACTCCGCCAGTTATTGAAGTCGCTCCTTAAGTGAACATCAACTGCAGGTTGTTACCAACGCCATCATGCTCTCGGCTTACTGCATTGGCAACGCAGTTGGTCCTTTCATGTGGAAGGCACAATACAAGCCGCGGTAGGTCATTCTTCTACCGACTCTAGGAAGGAAGGTCAATCATGGCTCATGTGTAGTTACCACGTCCCATGGGCTGTTATCGGCGCATGCTACGTCATCTGTCCGATACTTCTCCTTGTCATCCGTGCCGTTCTCGCCCGAGAGAACCGAATCCGCGACGCGGAGCCTGTTGACGATAGTGAAGAAGAATACGTTATCGAGCGACTCACAGAGGACGGGAAGCGTGTAGAAGTCAAGGTCGACAAGGTGCGTTCTCCGGATCAGACGGTCTCTTTTTGTACATGGGATTGATATTCTGTTTCCACTCATAGGAATTTTTGGATTTGACGGATAGGCAGAACAGGAATTTTAGATATATTTTGTGACATTAAGCATGCTCCGATTGTATTGCCAAATGGTAGTCCTCGTGTTCATTGATAACACGACCTTGGTGGTATCATGACCATTGCACTGACTTCTCCACTTGCACGACTGGTATTCCAATTCAGGCAGTTATCTCTAGAACAAAAATACTCGAGCTCGACCACAGAAATTATAGTATGTACAACGGCCTCATAGACAATGCAGAGCTTGTGGTTGTAGACCGCATAAACAATCTAGCAGGCATCAAATTAATGATTGGTGCAATATCGATGGGGGAGCGTGGGTCACCGCTGATGACAGTATTAATCTCCAGGAGCAACAGGCAGATTTCCATGGATAAACAAACGGGCCCGCGCGGGCGGACATTCGACGTGACAGCCTAACAGGGCGCAGAGGTCGTAGCTGTGGGATCGACTATGCAGGCTCTGAACGTTTCTTAACTTGTAACCTCATTGGATTTAGTATGTGTCAACGATATCAAACAGATATCATACATATATGAATCGTACAGTGTGAGTCTTCGATCACACTGATGACACCTGCTCCTAAGGCCATATTGGCGTGAGTCTCAAAACCAACAGTAGTAACACTTGAAGGTCACCGTCGCATCCCTAGGTACTTCTGTGGCGTCGGCGGTATCTGCATCTGCTACAGGAACCTTTCGCCCTGCTGCCGTCATCGACAAGATCTGTTCGCATCTTACTCCTTTCGTTGTGTACGATAGCAGACGGCCATCGTCGATGACGACAGCGCCCTGGGATAGCTTCTCCCAAGTTCCTTCGACCACCGAGGACCGAGGACATGCCAAAGAAAATACAACAAGGGTGTAAGACAAACTAACAAGCGGTATCGCAGGGTGGAGCTCCCATGGGACGGGTCTTCGGATACACGGGATAAGGTGCCAAGACCAGGCACTTAACGTAGCAAGTTGGTACAGTGGTAGTACGCGACGGCAAGCTAAGTTTAACCGCTACAATGAGAGTGACCCTCGTTGGACCCAGCGCACGGATGCCGTGGTTCCATCACGAATACCAATGTGTATGCATCGTAAGGGCCGAAAATACGTGTGTTGTAGCAACGTCGAAACGTGAAAGGAGGAATGAGTGCCAAAGTACATGCATCGGAACATACACGTTGCACGGCGAGATGCACAAAGCGGCGCAGAAGGTGCACGAACAGTCCTAGCAGAATGCGAGAACAAATCACGAGGTACCAAAGGGGGGATAGAGCCAGAACACAAGAAAGCACAAAAGTGGTGCCAGGTATAACATGAATAAAGGAGATAGAATAAAGTGTGCCAAGAGCCCCCTAGAACGAGTATATGCGTGTGAACAAGTTGAAGTAATAGCACTAGCGGAAGAGATGGTGGAGGTGGAGGTGAAACCACGCTGGGGATCAGAAAGGTATTAGAGTAATAGTCTGTAAATGCCAAATGGCCGTACAAGACTGATACAAAACAGGTGTCAAAAGCGCAAAAGTGGCGCTAAGCATGACACAAAGGTGTCGAAAGGTGCAAAAGTGGCACAGAGAGAGACATCGGCCCGCACAATGCAGTCATGCACACTACAAAAGAGGGACCCGCCGTCGCGGTCACGCACACTCCAACAAACAGAGGCATCGGTCATGCACACCCAAACAAAAGAGAGGTGTCGGTCCGCCCTCGCGGTCACCCACGCTCTGACGAAGAGAGGCATCGGCCCACCCTCGCGGACATGCACACTCCACCAAAAGGAAAAAAAAAGCATTGGTCTGTCGTCGCGGACATGCATACCCGGGAGAAGAAGCATCGACTCGCACAATGTGATCATGCACACTCCGTCTGAAGTGCCATTGGCACAGAAAAGAAAAGGATCAAATAAAAGAGGAAGTTCCGAAAGGACGTGTGGGGGTCCGGGGAGGCGGTCGCTTAACGAATGTAACACTCACGAAAATGATCTTGAGGGATCGATCAGTGATTGAATCAGCAACAGTCGGATGCAAGCGTGTACTGGCCCACGCGTCCCACGTCGTTGCCGGGGTCGATAAAGTGATACAGTGTGGGGGCGAATGAGTGCATGTATGCGTCATCTTACCTTTGAAACTTCAGTGAAAATACATGACAAACCTCCCACAGAATGTCTTAGATCGTGTTATAATATATGGCACTGTGTAATGAAGTGTCGCTCATGTCGTTGATAGGCGCTGTCTTCGAACGTGACAAAGAATGAATTCGAAACTTCTGAAAAGTCCGCAGAACGTCAAAATCAGACATTGACATCGCTAGTGACGAGGAACGCGGGATTACCGCGTCGAGTTCTCAAAACCTAAAAAGAGGAGTGAGCGAAAGACAACGTCGCTTACTCACTCGCTTAGTAAGCACTTGTTTGAGCTCTTTGTGCCGACTACGAAGTAGGTATTCCGCCAGTTATTGAACTCACTCCTTGAATGAACGTCAACGTGCAGGTTGTTACCAACGCCATTGTGCTCTCGGCTTACTGCATTGGCAACGCAGCTGGCCCCTTCATGTGGAAGGCACAATACAAGCCGCGGTAGGTCATTCTTCTACAATCGGTGCATGCTTCATCATCTGTCCGATACTAATCCTTGTCATCCGTGCCGTTCTCGCCCGAGAGAACCTAATCCGCGACGCAGAACCTGTTGATGATATTGAAGAAGATCATGTTATCGAGCGAATTACAGAGGATAGGAGGCGTGTAGAAGTCAAGGTCGACAAGGTGCGTTCTCCGAATTAGATGATTCCTTTTGGTGTACAATAATAGTGTTCTCCCTGCATCATGAATTCCTGGATTTGACGGATAGGCAGAACAGATATTTCAGATATGTTTTGTACCTTTAAGCATACCTGGTGCATACTCCGATTCGTACTGCCAATGGCTATCATCGTGTTCATTGATGACATGACCTAGGTGGTATGAAAGTGCGCGGTTACATATTGATGCAATAAAATTCTACAGGAGATTACCACCTGTGGAGGTTGATTTCAGGCGGTTATCTCTAGAACGAAAGTGCTCGAGCTCGATCACAGAAATTACCGTACAACACGCCTCGAATGCAATGCAGAGCTTAGGGCTGCATACCACACAAAAAATCTAGCGTGCAATATAGGTGGGAGTGTGCCATGGGTCACCACTGTTGAAATTTTCGATTTTCCAGAGACAACAAGCATATTTCCGTGGACTAACGGGCCCGCGCGGGCGGACATTTGACGTGAAAGCCTAACAAGTTGTTCTTCCTCTCGCCATTTTGTCCATAAATTTCACCTGGATGTTTGCTTAATTTACCCCTCGACGACTCATTTATGAACAGGACTTTCATTACCTCGCAGCACCCTACATCTCCGACGCTGCCACAGCTGATCACTTGCAAAGAGCTCCAACGGCCCGGCCGGGCTATTGTGACCCGCAACCTATTCCAATTTCAACAACGTTCAATTATTAGCGTCGCTCAAAACGCAGCATCACGATTTTGTACATACTTGTTCGGGTGAAAACACAGATAAGCTCACAGGCTGCCCAGCTGATCGTGGTTCGTGACATGTTATTGTTAACTCAGGTCCCGGATGGGTATCGAAGGTTATCGCGCTAACATTCAAAAGTCATAGCTGTAAGATATAAATTTGGACGCACCGCTGTGAGTGACTTCCTGAAAACACCCCCTCAATGTCTCATCCGATCTTATCAGAGTTTGATATCATTTTTGCGGGAGGTGAGTAACAACATCATGTATGTACTAGTAGTGGCTTGCTCTCTTAACATGGCGCTCTGTGTGCAGGCGGGACTACAGCTTGCGTAGTCGCAGGTCGCCTGGCTGCATGCGATCCCTCGCTCAGGATCTTAATTCTGGAAGGGGGTCAACACACTCTCAATAAAGCTGCTCATGTTCAGCCCTACCAATATTTCACCCATCAAGCATCGACGAGTACCACGATGACATTCAACGTTGGAAATTCCACTTCGCGTCTCAACGGCCGTGCACCGATCGTTCACTGCGCTCATTGCGTCGGTGGAGGCTCAAGTGTGAACTGTTCGTGCTATTGTTGCCCCAACGAACGAGACCCTGATACTTAGACAGTTATGGCATACACTCGTGCGCCTGCCTCAGATTTTGATGATTGGGGAGTCGACGGTTGGGAATCTAAGAACTTGGTTCCTCTCATGAAGAAGGTCCTCGGATGCATTACCCATATATTTGACAAGCTGATTGTTATTGCATAGCTGGAGACGTACGAGGTGCAAAGCGATTGTCCAACTCACGGTTACAATGGACCTATCAAGGTGTCCTCTGGTGGGTGTAAACTAGGTATCAGCGAAGAGTTCATCCGTGTTGGCATGGCGTATCACAAGAGACCATATTCCGACGACTCCAACGATTTAGAAACATGCAACACATATAGTGTGGGCCATTGATGTTCCTTCTCCCTCTGTGTCGCCAACTAAATCCGTCTCAGCCTTGGTTCAAGTGCGCATGGCTCGTTGTCTATTGTGACTGAAGTTCATGTATATGAAGATACATTGACGGGACAACAGGAAGGCGTTCCGATGCGGCCCACCAATATGTCTACAACCAAGCTCACAACCCGAATTTACAAATCCGGGTCGGTAAACGCGTGAAGCGCGTCATCTTCGAGTGAGTAGTCCGCCTGTGGATCACAACAATACCCAACTATATTGACGGCTTTCTCGGATTCAAGGGATAAGCGTGCTGTGGGTGTTGAGTTTACCAGCGACCCAATATCTTGCCCGGGTGCGGATCAGTCATCGAGCACTGTGAGAGCATCGAAACTTGTTGTTGTCTCTGCTGGGGCGTTCGGTTCGCCAGCCATTCTCGAGAGGTCTGGTATTGGTGCCGAGGAGGTCCTCAAGCAGTGCTGTATCGAGCAACTGGTAAACTTACCTGGCGTCGGAGAAAATTATCGAGGTCTGCGTTTATCCACTGATCCCACGATCTTGGCTTAGGGTTATCAGATCATAATGGCGCCTTCGTTCCATACTTTGCTGCTGATGAAGTTGTTACCATGGACCCCCTATGGCGTGGGGAGGAAAGTGTTGTACAGGGTAAGCAAGCATGTTCTCGATGTGTTCCCAGCACCTTTCAACTGCCCAAATGTAGACAACCTTGAGCAATGGAAAAGCAATGGCAAGTCACTCATTGCACAGAAGTTGGTACAAGTTATCGCTGCTGGTGACGTGTTAATCAGTATTTCAGTGGCAGCGATGCAAAGATCAAGTGGCGTCCTGACGACGATGAGCTGAAAGCCATGGGTCCCGCTTTTCAATCACGATGGAAGGAGTTCTTCCAGGACCGTCCGGACAAGGCTGTTGCAATATTCACCATCTTTTCGGGGTGTGTGCGCATCCCTTACTTCAATAACATGTGGATGCTCACGATATCCAGATACCTTGGGCCGGGTGGACTTCCTCCTCGCAATTACGTAACTGCTGACGTTCTTACCGTACTGCTTCTCCTATGCTCCGTGATTTTTGTTTTGAACTTTTCTATAGCTTTACCCCGCATCTGTCGGCAGTGTTCATATCAAAATGGGAGAAAACGGCAAGGAAGAAATCGACTTCACTACAGGCTACCTAGACAAGTGAGGAGGCACATTTACTTTCAGGGACACTCGTCTGACCACGATAATCGACCCAGTCCGTCCGATATTGTGCCTCTCAACTTTGGGTACAAAAAGCTGCGGGAAATCTATCGACGCATGCCTTCCTACCGAGGTGAAATTCCCGCCTTACATCCTCGTTTCCCAGAGGGAAGCGCTGCAGTCTGCAGAGAAGCGACCGGGCCAGTGGACATGAATGCGCCTGACATCATCTACACTGCAAAAGATGACGAGGTGATCGAAGAATTTAACCGCGACCGCGGTATGTCAAATTTATCTTCTCAGTCTTCCAGTAAATACCTGATCGAATCCCAGTGCGATCGACATGGCACTCTGTATGTGCAGCTCAAACTTTCATACTTCTGCATGAAGCGCCTGATTCTTGTGCATGTAGCTCGGCACTTGCGCCATGAAGTCGAGGGCAGATCAAGGAGTCGTCGACGCTCGGCTTAACGTGTATGGCGTGACGAACCTCAAGGTTGCGGATTTATCTATCGCGCCGAAGAACGTTGGCACGGTGGGTACTCGAGGGAAAAATATTGACGTGCGGTCTAACTGTCTCTCAGAACACTTATTCAACGGCGCTCCTCATTGGAGAGAAGGCTGCGATGCTCATTGCAGAAGACTTGGGTATTGATTGCAGACCATGAACGTCGATGTGGGTAAATTGTCCATCTTCGGAGTGATTAGGAATATGTGCTTGGTGTTTGCTTTTCGTGGCTCGTCAGCCTCAATCGAATCATCCCTTCGCACAAAGACCCATAACATCCTTAACAAAATGAATGGATTCACGGTCGTGCATATAACCCGGACACCAGTGGCAGAAACCTTCGAGGGCGAGAAGGTTCCCGGGTTTGATGTCACCCGCTGGATATGCATAGGCACTAGACGCCTTTGTACATCGTCACCTGCTGAGTAGTTGTCGCGTTTTCTTCAAGCCGTCGTAGTAGCATGCTTTCCGCGGGCGTTTATGTTTGCCTTTTGAGTCATCATTGCTCTCGTCAGATCGCTCTCTCAGGCTTTCTCGTTACTCGTTACGTAGGACGGCCCGGGAGCTGCCCCCTATTATTCACCCACTGGACCTCATATGAAACATCAAGCGGCATAGGTGCTGGCTCAACAGTGTGCTGTACATATGCCAACGAAATCCGTGCATAATCGATGGGGGAACGAGATGAAGGGCCATATCATGTCGTTTGCATGGAGAATAATCGGCTGTTAATCCAAAGAAGAAACACGTGGAGCGCCAATGACGGAACTTGTCAATGGGCGCGTGGTCTGCACAGCCTAGACTTATGTGGGTGTGGCGCACGAAAAAAACGATCAACATAAACCTCGCCTCTGTGTCCAGCAAAACATCTGCTTCGACTCGGTCTTTCGTGCCAAGTCAAGACCCATTGAAAAGTGTTTGCTGGTAAGTGATGACACGTGTTGTACGTTTGTAAACAATAATTGAGGCGAAAGGAGGATAGATCCCCAACCAACATACGTGCCCTTGAAGAACGCCATAGCAAAGGACTCTCGAATACACAGAATCTCCCAGACTGTCTAGATGAACTTGGCACACACAAGACATGTCTCGCGCTACTGAGAAGCGAGATATGACAGTGATAAAGCCCCAACGGAAGATTGCAAGCCCTGAAAAGGAACAAGTCTTCGGCATGTTGTACTTGCCCGACAGACAGCACGTTATCACTTGTTCCGACGACGCTTCGCTGCGAGTATGGGACTTAGAGAGTGGTAAGCAAAAAGGCGAGAAGTGGAAGGATAAAGGCAGCGGAATAATGTGGACTATAGCGTTGTCGCCAGACAACAAGGAAATAGCAAGCGGGAGTGAGGATGGCATAGTGAGATTGTGGGACGCCGAGACAGGCAAAGTCATTGCAAGATGGATGGGCCACAGTTCTGGAGTGTCGTGTATCTGCTGGAGTGCAGACGGAGGGCGGGTCGTGAGTGGATCGGACGATGGAACGGCAAGAGTGTGGAATGTCGAGAGCGGAGAGACCATCCTCGGACCAATCGAGACGGGGCATATGAACGTGCGCGCAGTTCACTGTTCATCCGATGCGACAATGATCGCGACGGGTGGGCCAGGGAGCGGTGGCGACGACAAGCCCTCGGTTAAATTATGGGATATCAAGACAGGCGAACTACTCAAAACACTCAAGGGACACACTAGTGGCGAAGTTTTGTGCTTGGCTTGGTCCACGGATATGAACACGCTTATCTCTGGGTCATTTGACTTTGATCGCCCGATTAGAACATTCAACACCGCCACCGGGACACAAATCACTACGCTTGAAGGACATAAACACCTTGTTAAAGCCATCTCATTATCCAGCAATGACCGTATCCTTGCAAGCGCATCATCCGACAAGACAGCTCGACTTTGGAATATCGAAAATAATCAACCTATTGGACCACCCCTCCTCCATGAAGACGCAGTAAGATGTGTGGCCTTTTCTCCTGATGGAAAGCTGCTAGTTACTACCTGCGGCGGTCATCACATATACACATGGGATGTTGCTGCTATCCTCAGAGAAGCTGGCTTTGATGAACTTCTGAATGTGAGCTTGATATTTCTTCCTCAATCATACTTCTGACATATTCCGTAGGCCTCCACGCTGAAGGTACATATCATACTTCAAACTTTCAGAATTTATGTGCGCTAATCTGTACTTATCACAGAACGTTGGCGGAAAGTCAATCTTAGAGGTACGTGGACCCTGCTTTGGATTTCCCTGGTTGTCATACATTTTTGTGCCAGGCGGATGCTACACAACGCCGAAATCAGAAATTCGCGGATGCACATCGATTTCCACCAGGATTCTTTGATGGTGCGCGAGAGCATGTCGGTGTGAGTTGCTAGAATCATGGTCTACTGTTTTTCCCTGACATATATGTTCTCAGTCTTCTGCAACGCGTCGCCCCTCTTCCCGCTCTGGCCGTGGTAGCCGTACAACGCCAGGACCCTCGTCGTCATCACGTCCCCTCCTTAGTCGCCTTTCCTCGTTCTTCCCCCGTTATCACCACACCAAGCCTCGTGTCGTGGACGTCGCCACCGTCCAGGACAGAAGAGTACGTTTACATCCAAGTTCTACATGATCCAATGCTAATCCGTTTCAAAGGCTTTGTATGTCGCACCGCCGCGCAAGAAAAAACTCCCACAAGGCACCCACACTCAAGGCCAACAGCAGCAAGGTCAATCCCATAGCCAGGCATCGTCGTCCCGTCCCCCAGGAACCTCTGCTACCGCGACATCATCCACGATACCTGCATCTGCTGGAACTGCGTCTGCAGCAGCAACATCATCGCATCCTGCTGCCGTCATCAATCATCCCAGCCGGTGGACTCGCTTCGTGCTCTGTATCTGCTGTGTCTCCGCTAACTATACCGATGGCCATCATTGATGAAGCGGCTTTTCGTTGTTCACATCACATGCTGACGTTTTTGTCCTCGTACTGTACTACTGTGTTCCCTTTGCAGATGCAAATCTACTTCATTGAGTATGTATAACTTTTCCAATTATAACATAATTTCCTCTCAGCATTGTCCATCTGCACACCGAATATGTCCGTCTTCACAGCTACAAGGGTACCCAGCAGTGTATTGCGACGCGCCTGACCGGTAGACACTTAGTAGATGGCGTATGATATCTACGATGTCGCATCGATCAATACTTACTTTCCTACTGACATACCACTCGTGGGAACACCGTACAGACCACGTGTCGAAGAGGCCAAGGCGTGTGTGCTATTTGGTGACTCTGTCCCATACGCTGACATCTGCGCAAGAATCTGGTGTTGCAGACCGTGTCTCAATCCTGAACAGCATAAAATCCACGGAGATTAGCAATATCGTGAAAGCACTTTCTCAGGATGCTCAGGACACTTTGATGAAGTACCTTTACAAGGGTATGGTGATGCCAGGTTAGAGTAATGTGAGCGGAAGCGTGCTCTTGGGGTGGCATGAATATTGAAAAGGTGCGCGTGGAACTCACTGACTTCATAAACTTTTGGTCCTTGAGGTATTCTCTACCAAGTTATATACACACTATCTTCAGCAACTTGACCTTTGGTAGTGCCCGACACATCGCGACAAGACGTGGATTCGCAACTACTCGTATCTTGTTCAGCATCCTCTTCTCTCGTTTCGCTGGATCGAGTCGCGATCATTGCCCTCAGTCCAATAGTATGGAACGCTGCAGTCTTCCTTGTGCAGTTTATTATCTACATCCTCCCTGCGCCCATGATGAACCTCCCGTTCCCGGGACCCGGATCCATCATGGCCTCCACAATTCACATCCTCGCTTAACCGGTATGTTGGGCTTATATGAGTTCTTGGTGAGTGTATGCACCATATCTATCGTCTAACAATTCTAACTTAATCCGCTCTGGTATTAAAGTGGTTCCTTGAGACGTGGAATGCATCCCATGCAGTCCTTTTATCACGGGCGTTACGATCCAGAGTGCGTTCACATCGCCGTGTTCCTATTGCATGAGTTCAGACACAACGAAAAGAACGATGCATAGTGGACTAAACGTCGGTACGGACGTGGTCTTGGCTCCCATGTCATGTCGCAACCCGCCCGTGAATTCGTGGTCAAGACCATAGCTCTGGCTGTGGATGACCTTCTCATCTGTTTCCTATTATTCATGTTGGCCCTACCCGGTCTTTTCCAGTACACGGATCGTCTAGATGCGAAGCTGCTCGAGTCTTTTTTAGGTAAGCGAGGAGTGCTCATGCATGATCTCAGATCATCAGATATAGCACCGAACATTTTCATCTTCAGTGCTCATTGTCCTCCATAAGTCGTCAACCCTATTTGTTATTGGTTGATTGATAGACTTTCCGCTTCCGCAGTGGAATGCACTTGAACTTGGGGAAGGAATATAGCGAATTTCACGCGTTATTTGCATGTTCTGTATAGGTGGCATGTAAGGGTGCATCTGTGAGCTTGCTGTCTATGTAACGTACAAATTTGCAGTGAAGTCGCTGGTACTAGCTGTTCAGACGTTAATGACTGATCGAAGAACTATATGCAAACGAGCATACCTCCACTAATGCATAAGTCTTTCAATCGCTCGCTGAATTTTTAAATCTCAAGTGTTTCGAATGACATGGCCATACTTAACATCCCTTCGAGTAACAAGATATAGACCAAAAATATATTCACGGACAACGTTGCAGATACTAATATTACATCAAGGTCAATCATATTGATACTGTCGCTGTTGACCAGAACCGCAGTCAGTCGGGCCCCTGACAGAGAGGCGTCGACACTCACGCGAAATAGACCTGGTACTCAGTCCAGGAAATCCTGCTCGGTGAGAATGCGACCGTCGAGCACCTTTCCGAGGTGAGTTGGTAGATAGCCCATGCCTTTCCTTCTCATCCCAAACAACTTCTTCAGTGGAAGAAGCTGGGATCGCTTGAATGAGCACGATAATCTGGCAACAGGACGATTCTCCTCCCTGATGAACCCGTCGCTGTCGGCGATCAAGTCCTTGTCCCGTAAATGCGGTGCGTTGAGTCCTAAGAAGCTGCACGTGCGGAGATACATCTCGTAATCGGAGAAATAGAGTTGGCCCGCAAAAAGGTTGAGCTGGCAAATCAGCGGTTTCAATGGCGTCAACCGTGGCGTCGAAGGAACACAGTAGAGGCGAAGGTCATCGCATGCCAGCATCATTTTTGTGGTGCGAGGAGCGTAGATGCACAGGTGAACTACATTGCTTCTGCGGATGGCAGGTAGCAGTGTGTCCGCTTCGTGAGGGCTCACGACCACCAGCACTGGGCAGCGTCCATTGTCACTGAATATAACCCAGTTGACGGGCCGCAGATAATCATCCGCCTTTTGATGGGAGAGAGTATTCACAGTACGAGTAAAGTCGTGGGTGACTAAAACGTTATGTGCCCACTGGTCGTGCTCATGAAATCCAGCAGTAGTGTTGACAAGGCTGGACAGCGCCGGATAGAATGCAGAAGACATAGCGGGAATTTGGCCGGTCTTGACAAATAGACGGACGTCTGCATGGAGGACATGGGCTGCAGGTTTGACCCTGGGTGGCCTTTCCACTCGACGCTCTCTCTCTCTCTCTACCTCGTGAACTACCTCCCTTTCTTGTTCCTCATCCATGCGTCTTGCTGATGCCAATAACACTCCGAGTTCCGAGCACTTCCTCTGAATATCTGGATCGAGGGACTCGAATGGTCGTGGAGAACTACTTGGTGCATACATATCTTCTAACGAACGCTCCTCTGGCTGTAACCAGGCAGACTTTAGGGTGGAGATCGAAGTTCGGGTACGTGAGGTACGTGAGAATTGAGCCCATGCGGAATGCCGTGCTTTGAAATCCGATCCCTGTTGAACCCAGTGGGACGCACGCATCTGAATATCAAGACAGGTTTCGAGCATCGCCCAGTGCAGAATATCTGCCACATCGACACCGTCGGTATCAGCTTTCTGAGCCGCCGAACGAATGCTCCGGTCGACTTCAGTCGGAGCGAAGAACATTACTGAATGCCCATTGCCCAGCTTCCTCATTCGCATGCATCCTGTATCATTGGCTATGATAAAAATCGATGGGCATGAATAGTAAATTCACGAACCTTGGGTCAGGCGGTCTTTCGTGACTTTGGGGCCAAGCGTGACAGCAGCTCGGAAACCGGAAGGCAGCTTGACATCTGTTCCTCTAGTATGGGCGTCGTCTAGATATATCACGCACTGGTCAAGCTGCTGGGCGAAGGGGGACGACACAAGAGGCTCGACTGTCCCATCCCGACTGACGACGACAAGTTCATCGTCGTCATCCACGAAGACTGCAGCTTGAGCGTCACGCTTAGCTTGAAGCCATGCTTCGGCCAGCTCCTGATTCTTCAATTCCAGCATTTGCGCACCAACGTCCAAGAGGACGCGGACCTCCGGGGTTTGGGCTATTAGGGTATTGATGAAATCATGCACCTTTTGGCCGTGCGGGATACGTCTGTAGCAATTGTTTTCCGGATGGAGAATCAAGGCTAGGACTCGGGCATTCGTGCTGCATTGGTGATCAAGGTCGTGCTGCACCATCGAGCTTGGTAGCAGATAGCGATTGTCGTTTGTACCAGAAAAGCCAGTTGTTAGATGTCTCTTTTCTTGAGCAAGATCCCATCCGGAGCAGGTGAGCTTCGTCGGGAATGCCTTGGCTTCCTTGGGAAAAACTACTCGAGACAGGTAGAAATCTATGACTGCCTTGTTGGACGCGAACAGATGCTGAAGGTCGGGCAGCTGCTCCGTGGATTCTGTGTTGATACCGCTAAGGTGCTGGAGACTTTCTGGGACGGACTCAAGTCCATGCACCCATGATTCATACTCGAGAGCGGGATTATCCTGCTTCAGCAGAAGCTCGAAGCACAACATCAGCTGCTCGAGGGTAAGACCCGCATAGTAGTATGACAGGCACGTGAGGGCAATTGCAACTTCTGGGTAGCCAAACTCTGCCCGCAGCGAGGGCATGTCTTTAGCACGGAATGGAACGGCTAACATCGTTCGTGTTGGGACGAGTCCATAGTCCACACGCCAGCGACGTTCTTTGAGGGTATAAATCAAGATACCACAAGCCAATAGTCCACGCAAGACTAGGAGGCCGGGCCAGACGGTGGTGTGTCTATAGCTATCCTCCACTAAACTGATACAGGTGCTGGATATATTCTCAGTTCCGATGAACTGGCGAACAGCTTGTTTGACGTGGAGAGATGCTTGATCGAAGCTGATGTTTCCAAGTGCCCCGTTAATGACATCCTGTGCGATCCATTGGACCAATTTTTCACCCGCTGTCGGGTGCAGAATTCGGACGAAGGGGAACACTCCGTGATCGCGGATAGATACATCTGAGCCAGAGGGAAATTCTCTCATGAGCCGAGCGGTGTGCTTTGCGACAAGACTTAACACTTGTTGTGTAGTGGTCCACCTTTCGGGATGACCTTGAAGCGAACTTTGGAGACCGACAGTGTACACCATTTGGTAGCGGACATGCAGGATTTCATCACTTTCGTCCAGGATGTCACGTGTGTGATTATCGAGCCACAGCTGGGCCCACAGCATGTCTTGAGCAGCTTGAACAGTCTGATGGGACAGCTGACGGTCAACAGCCATCAACTGGAACGACAAAATATGGTCCGGTTGCACGACCAAAATGCCCTTGGTGTCCACGCATTCTTGCATCAGGTCACGATACATTTTGACCTTCGACGCGTCGATAGAGAGAGCACGGGAGAATGGAATATAGAAAATACGCCTTTGCGCAAGGCCGCTCAATCGTTCAACCAGGAGCTGGAACATCTGAGCAGACAACGACTTCAGCACAATGACTCGAACCAGTTTATGGCCGTCAGAAAGTGCGGCTGCTGCGAGGGGAACAATGACGTAGGATTTCCCTTCGCCCATGTTCAGCTGCAGAGCTGTGTTTCGTCCTCTGCATGGCGACATCATTTCCAGCGCAACCTTGATTTGGACGGGCCGTGCCAAGAACTGACTTTCAATCTGAGAACGCCCATTATCAATAAATATGAACAGATGGATCTTCTTGCGGCGTACCTGTATTAAAAGCCAGTCAGGGTACAGTTCTGGATCGAATCCCTCGCATTGTTCATTCTCTAGTTCCTTGAAGAACTCGACCCAGTTTTCCTTAGCGGCAAAGACCAACAACCTTCGCGAGCGTTGCAGTTGCAAAAGTATCTGCGACAGGCGGATGAGAGCCGTACGCCAACTCTTCCCCAAACAAATCCCTGATACAGAAGCCATGCGAGTGAAGAGGAAGTTTGGTGTAACTCGGGGCCACAACCCAGCATTGTATAACGCGTTCTCAGCAGCAGAAGCAGGAGAGAGGGCGTGTATGATAGTTGCTAGTGAATCTTGGAATTGCTTGCTGTGAAGCGAATGGTACTCGAGCAGTACTTTCGTCGTGTATGGCGTAGAATCCGGTGAGGCAACAAGCTTCTCTTCGCAGAAAATCGACCTGCTCTGGTCCAGATCGTTGCTATAGTTACGGCAGAACTTGTTGCTCCCTTGGGAGCGAAAGTTGTTGATAAGCTGCTGCAACCTCGCTGTGACTCTGGAGTCTGGAGATACCAAATCCCGCCGATTGGAATTAGGCAGAACTTGGGAAGACACGAACATGCGTATGACAGGCGCATCTCTATCAAAAAGGTACTGAGCATCAATGGATGAGGTTGGTGAAGCAACATCCGAGTAATCAAAGCGGGACTCAAGATGGTATTGTGAGGGTAGTTTCGATGGAGGATTGAGAGTGTAAAACCGTTCGAGGGTCTCCTGCAGGACGTCCAGATGTTGCTTCAGACAACGGTTTCGCCAACAGCTGCGAAATACGGGGCGAAGTTTCTTCGACAGTTTCTTGAGATTGTAGCAGTTTGCTTGCAGCGTATGAAGCGCCGGAGGATCTTCGCACGGCCAAGAATCCCGAACGTTGTTGAGAATGAGCTGCCGTTCAAAGTGACACTTGTCTTCGAAAGCCGAATAACGACGCATCCCCAGAGCCTTTTCATCCTCCCCGGGCCTTGCAGTTAGGTGTCTCTCTTGGCTGAATTCATAATCTTTAGCACACGAACTGATGATATTGTCCAGTATCGCATCGGATGGCATGAAACCATCCGAGAGATCATAGGAAGCGAACTTTGGTGGGTCACCCTGGCTGCGAATTTCGGGAACTGTGGCAAACGCTAGGAGTGTCGGGACAAGGGCGTGGTTGTTCGACAGGCTGTATGCTACTGAAGCCAGGGTGAACACCAGCTGAAATGTGTCCTTCTTCGTAGCACTGCGACAGCGGTCGTAGGTAGAAAGGAAGACATCAGAAAAGTTCGGTCGAAGCCAGTTTTTGGAGTATTGCAAGCTGAGCGATTCGTCAATGCCCTGGACATTTTTCCACTGAGTCAACAAACTGAGGAGATTCCGTTGCACCGGAAGCCTGCTTGGCCATTGGTGTACCATGAAGGCTGCGTTGAATGCCCTCTCTTCCGCACGTTTATCAGGGACGTCACGTGAAGCATAGATGACATCTGCGTTACCATGCGGAAGCAGCAGAGAGACTCGGTCGGGATGGACTACTGAGGCACGGATGGACGCGCGCTCAAGGAGGTGCTCGATGGATGACGGGAAGAAGGGAAAATGGAAGTTTGGGGACCCTTCAGAGAAACTTGAAAGCCGCTTGCCGTAGTCCATGATAGATCTTGCGACTACATGAAAATCATAGCGCTGTGCAAGGGATGCAAGACATGACCATGAAACTGTCTGCATCTTTCGGAGATGAATGGGATACCAGACGCGCGTGGTGGACAGCGAACTGATCTCGCGCAAAAGATCTGTATCACGAGAGCGAAGCTTCATGAAAGACTGGCAAGCTGCAGAATGCAGGAGATGCAATGACTCCTCTGTCCCCGTTCGACCCGTCAGCGGATCAGGGAGGCAGCCGCTGGTGAGAGCATGAAGCAACGCTTGATAGAGTTTGCTCGTCAGACCTACATTCCCAGTGAGACAGCGTAGATCTGTATCAACCCTGTACAAGTGGTATGTCACTCGGATGCCTTCAGGAGCGATGGTGAGCCGGATGTGATGGCCGTCAGGGGAGAATGAGATACGACCATCTGGGATAATGACGGTGCGCGGATGCTCATCTGCGATTTGCGACTTCGGACGCAGGACGAGCTGGTTCATCAATCCCAACATCGTTCCAGTAGACTGAAAGGTATCGACGACCATGTTACGCATGTTGCGGGACTGCAGTTCCCCATCCTCGTCGACAAAAAATTCGAGACCGTATCGGGGTAATTCAACCTTCAGCGAGGAGAAAGTATCGCCGGATGCTTCCCTACATGTGACCATGATGTAGCGGGTATCCTCCAGAGGACGCATCCTCTTGGAGATCATGTCCCATGTTTGGCTACGTATGTCAAGGAGAGTGGTACTGCCACCCTTCTGCAATATCGAGGGGCCCAAGGCAGCAAATTGCAGGAGCCAATTCTCATCAGAAGACTTCCACTCAGTTTCGGCTGGCCGAATCTCGATTTCGCTCGTGCGCAGGTTGAGCCAATGTGTATAGCCTGTTATCAAAGTCATTGGCAGGTCATCGACAAATTTTTGCCTCGGAATAAGTTGAAGGACGGGCGAGTCTCGGTCGATATGCTTTGCACGGATGATAAGATCATTTGAGTTGCGTAGAGCAAAAGACACCTTCAATAAGGTATTATTCAGCTGTTGAGCGATGACAACGAGTGACTAACCTGATGGTCACAGAGATTCCCCCGTGTCGCATAATCCATTCCAGGAATATCAGCCGGGACGATGTCAAACACTCGCTGTAATTGAATGTGAGTGTTTGCGAACAGTGCTGCAACTTGTAAAAGACTGACATCACCGAATATCGATCGGTATGTGGGATGTTGCACTATCTCTGACGGAAGCCTACCCAGCTGTTTTCCGTCGACGAGCAAGCACCCAGTGACCAGGTTGAAGTGCACAACTTGCGGTAACTGAGCGCATGAAGGCGCGGTATGCGACGCAAGCCAACGAGAATTTGGAGCCGGTAGTGCCCTCCAAGAAGTCCCCTGTCTGTAGCTGCCCCAAATCTCCGCAATTGCGCTATCAAGACCCTCCCTATGAAGCTCTGCAAATTGACGAACAGTAGCTTCTAATGCGTGACAGCATCGTTTGTCTCGCTCTAGCAGGAGCTTGGAATGTTGGGAAAGTTCGCCCAGTTGGTTTGGAGTGTTGTCATAAATCATGACGCCACAATATGTGAATACCTTGATGTCGTTCGACGTCAGGAGCAGAGATGCACCTCCGTCAACGTCAAATGTGCTTCGACAGGTGACTGCCATATCACGAACACGTCCCTGTAACTCCCGACGGACCGTCACGTCGTTGTTGGCTTGCATTTTCGTCGATAGCTGCATCAGCAAGGTATAGGTCGCAGTTCGGATCCTTCGAATCAGCGAATATCCACGACTTCGTATACTCTTTGCCTGAGTCGAGGACAGGACACGGCACACGAGCATGATGATGGTGCTTATCGCGACACCTTCCAACCAATTTTCTTCGATACTCGCCGTCAAAGACTCCAGCTCTCCGAGTAGTGTACTGAGGAATGGCACGCTGTTCAGCTCCTCGTGCCAAATAAGGCCGTCATCGGACGAAAGTGGGCCAACCTGTGAAATAGCTTGGGCTAATAGTAAATGGACTTCCTCGCGTCGAAAATCGAGTGACCTTGCACGGAGTTCGCGCAGCACGTTCATCCATTGCAATCGCGGTCCACTCCGAAAAGTTCCAAATGCGATGAATTCATGAATGGTCATGTCCTTGTGACAATCAGCCTGGTTGGCTATGACTTCGTTCGATGCATGGGATGTTTCTGAAAGGTACCGCTGCAAAGCATCATATGGTCCCTTGGGAAGAGTAAAAGTGCACAACTTGCTAGAATCGAAGCGCAGCAGCAGTGCATTGGCCGCCCATGCACCTGTGGTTGTATCGAATTGCCGGAATTTGAGTCCGCCATTTACACAGACCCTCTCGTCGACCGTAGGAACGTGAATGCGGCTGTAATGGGAGTTGCTGAAGGGTTTGGCATCCGACGCCAAAGTCAGCCGCTGCCTTGGATGGTACTCGCGGTAATGCTTCAAGGCGCCATATTTCGACAGTGTCATGAAGGGGTGGGTGGGCGAAATTTTCTCCTGAGTGCAGACGTCAATGAGAATGTGGAATGTCATACATCTCCACATGTCGAAGGCGGTGGGGCATCCCAGCTCAAACACGACCACGATTGCCTCTTTTTCATGGGGTGGTAGCGGCCACTCGTGAACTGTGATGGTCATCGATTGCATCTGCTTTTCTAGGCGACACTTCTCACAGCTCTGTTGGTCATGGCACTCCTCGCCACGGGAGTTGACGGTGTATTCATGCACCAAACTTGCTGCATGTTTATCTAGGTTAGCGTACCTCTTGTTGAGGGTCCAAAGCTCAGTCAACTTCTTCTCCCGCTCTTTCCGAGCATCCGCCTCGATGGTCAACTTCAAATTCTGCAGCTTGGATGACTGGTAAAAATACCGCTCTGCGAACGACCTGTCGCCATTGGTAGACGACAATGCTGACAGACGGCCGGGAGCCTGGCAATGACGAAGTTTCAGATAGGCATGTAGCTGCTTTAAACGATCAAGGGCTGAAGATTGGCGGATGAGCAGATGCTCCCAAAGGGTCAATGGGATTTCGGGAGAATATTTTGCCAGGAATGGGATCTGTCGAATAACGATCTTATCCATGGCTACCCAGAGCTCGAAAAGAGTAATGAGCATAATGGACAAATTCTCTGGGTTTCCCTTGTAAGCATCCAGTGCTCTCGAGGAGTATGCGGAGGCGCACGCCTCGATCGAGACGCAAGCGGAATCGATGCTGTGAAATGAAACGCGCGCTACCCAGTCGTCGATCCCTGATCTAACGACCATCTCGAAATCTGTGAGGGAGAGGAATGGTTCCGCAGCATGAGCAGCTACAAGGAATCCACCATCAGCATCAAGGAAATCATTGATTGTCCCGCGCATGCGGTGGCTGAGGTTGAATGAGGCTGGTTGGAAGGACGAATGTTGATTTTGCAAAGCTTGGGATATGTACTCCCGGCTCGTATTTAAAGACAGATGGGTATCTCGCAAGACTTGGAGGGTCTCAGGAGCCCAATGAGGTGAGGCCCGTTGCGCGTCTTGAACAGATCCCCATCTTTCTTCTAGAAGACTCCTAACCTCGCTGGTAACCTTATTGATCATGTGTGATAACTCCGGAGGAGCAGAGGATCCAAGCTTGAAAAGACGGCGTGCAATCTTTGCTGACATGAAGTACAGGATGTCATTCGACATGTCATGGTCGAGGGCAGAGGTCGTGAGCCTCGCCATGAAGAACAGGATGAATGATTTATACGTTGTTCGTCCGAGAGCGCTGCGCTCCAGAGTCGTCTGTAAGGCAACGCGAATGACGAGCCAAAGTGAAGAACGCCTCCACGGTAATTTAGCGTTGTCCCACAGTACATCATCTCCGATGCGCTTACGGATGCGAGGAACGTCGGCGATGCTCCCTAGGCCACGCAGTATACCAGTCAATAGTTCTGTGATATATCGAGGATGAGTCGTATCTCTCTCTTCGAGAACAGTGGAACCAGCTTTTTTCCTCGTCGCTGCCGCATCAAGCACATCTTGATCCATGCGAACTAGAAAATTCGCGAGCTCAGCGTGAAAGGTAGCATGATCAATGTTCGTATCCGGAACTGTGATAGCAGGTCCAGGATACGAACAGATCAGTTTTCCCATTGCGCCCATCACGGCGGTGGAGTCGGGAGAGATTTCGAATGATTCGAATATGGTCTCGGATTCGAGTTTTCTCATGACCACCGCAGCGTTTTGTGCGCGAATTATGTATACAAGGACATCTGCAAGTTGATACTCAGCGCAGAAAACATGAAAATATGATGAAAATAACGGACCTTTGTTGTACATGGCAATGATCTGAGATTCGACTTCCTTTGCAGACATGACGCTGAATCTGATTGAATCTTTGAGGTTCCGAAGCATTTTCAAGCTGCTCATCCAAAGCAGCAGCTTATCGGACGGCAGCTGGTCGCTGTAGGCGATAGCAGCATCCACTACCAACTGAGATAGGGCTAGGTCGTTCCCAAGGGAATGGTCACTCCCTTGCGGCAACTTGAGGGGGAAAAAAACATGATTGATGATATAATTCAAATCAAATTGGGCTGTTGAATGACATTTTGCTCTTGAAGATCGAGGCATGGTGACTGGGATAATTGAGGGAAGAGTTCAGTGACCACCGACGGTGAACCCCGGCGACTCTAATAAGGAACCTAAGCGCTCAGGGTTGCGAGCAGCAAGCCGCGAAGGACGGATATTAAGAGTACGATATTATTTGCTGTGGTCACAAAAATTTTATATCAGATTATAGGGCCCACTTCAATATGGTCATTGAAGCTGTACACACTCTCTGAGACCTCAAACAAAGATTGTGCATGCAGGTAGTAGGCCTGAAAGTTTGATGCAATAAACTATGATGGAGCATGCTTATCAAAGTGCATCAACTTCTTCACGATTTGGCGCTCACCAGCTTCGAATATTCTCAGCTCCGACACTCCTTAATCAACCTACCATCCCTCTCCATCGCAGCAACATACTCCAGGGCCTCAGCATTCGACCTTCCTCCGAATCTCTCGTGACTTCACCTCGCACGATTTCAAGAACCGCAGTAGTCGTTTTGTTCGAGGTACTATCATCCGAACTTAGAGTTCATCACGCGCCACATTTGGTTTAGACCCACCCTGAGATGATAAAGATGCCGTGTTGCTGCCCAACATTGTCCAAATATCCTGCGGGTCCTTCTGCATCAGATTTTGTATATACGTCCGTTTGACCCCTTCTAATCTGTCACGAGAACAGGCAACACGGTAGCGGAGAGTTTGGTCTTCCGCATAAGATTCCCATTCTGAGTAATAATGCTGATCCTTGTGTGCAGAACAGTAAGGAAAGTATAAGGAAGTATCTGGAGTCATGAAAGATCAGCTGATGTACAAAGATGGCAATACTATTGTCTCCCTCGTACATACGTTGTTCAATGACGGCACAAGGTGCAATGACTGGCTTCAAGGTGAGAAGTGGAATGATAAATGCAGCGGGATAATGTGGACCATAGCGTTGTCGCCGGGCAGGCAGCAAGGAAGTAGCAAGCGGAAGTGAAGATGGCGTAGTGAGATTGTGGGACGCCGAGAAAGGCAAAGTCATTGCAAGATGGATGGGCCACAGTTTAGGAGTGCCGTCTATCTGCTGGAGCGCAGATGGATGGCGGGTGGTGAGTGGATCGGACGATGGAACGGCAAGAGTGTGGAATGTCGAGAGCGGAGAGACCATCCTCGGACCAATCGAGACGGGGCATATGTACGTGCGCGCGGTTCATTATTCGTCCAATGTGACAATGATTGTGATGGGTGGGCCAAGGAGCGATGGCGACGACGAGCCTCAGTTAAATTATGACAGGTGAACTGCTCAAAACACTCAAGGGCCATAGTAATAGCGATGTTTTGTGCTTGGTTTGGTTCACGGATATGAACACGCTTATCTCTGGGTCATTTGACCCAATTAGAAAATTCGACACTGCCACTAGGACACAAACCGCTGTGCTTGAAGGATATCGACATCTTATTAAGGCCATCTCATTATCCATATCCTTGCAAGTGCATCATCCGACAAGACAGCACGACTTTGGATTATCGAAAATAATCAACCCATTCCCTCCATAAAGACACAGTGAGATGTGTAGCCTTTTCTCCTGATGGACTCAAGCTGCTATAGCAGTCATAGCCTCTATAATCATCGACAGTGTAGCTTGTTAATGTAAGTTACGGTTTTCATTCTGAATTGTTTATCCCCCGACGCTCAAGTTCTACTAAATATATTGTGTTTACGTTCTCGCCGTGAGGTTCTGCCACTAGGTCCTGCTATATTCTCGCCGTGAATTTCTGCCAGCCGCAACCATTCTGCCAACCCATTAGCAGAACGTCTAAGTTCTGCCCACAGCACGATTTTCAGGGTATAAATGCAAGCCGTCTTCAATGTCCAACCCCCTCCTTATAAAAAGTCTCATTGGCAAATCTCGTATAACCTCTCATAACCACGCACAAATAATGCGCGTCGTTATTGCCGCTTTGACAACATCTATGTCTATCAGTGCATGCGACAAAATAGGCGATCGGTGCAACAAGAACAGCGACTACTGCAACAACTAGTGTAATAATGTGAATGTGAGTAGTTTGCTTTGGATCCTGGATTCATTGCTGACTGTAACCCCTTGCGCTTCATAATACTGATAGCCTTTCACCGGTCAAACGTTCTGCTCAGCCTAGTCTGATGAGCTGACAGCCTGAATGGCACATGATACATCTGGGCAGTGAGTCATGATGCGTGATGTCTCTACTTTCGCATTGGTGTTGTGGTTGATGGGCATAGGTCGTTGCTGACTTGGTCAATATGGAATCTCGACTGCTGCTTGGGCAATAGAAGTCGTCGGACAGAGGAAAATCTCGAACCCTCGATATGATATTGACTTGGAAACATGATGTATGAGTGGTTTTGGTTTTGATTGAACGTCGAAGGCCTCATGGCAGACATGTCAGCTGAAACAATTGCGATTGGATCATCAGAGCAAATGTTCGATGCTGAGGCTTGATATCGATTATCCACCGAGTCTTTTCTAGCTTCTATGTATCTCGTTGCGCTCTAGACATTCACATGAACATTCTCAGTATGTCTAGTTTTGACGTCGTCAACCACCTCATACTCATGGGCACTATTGGTGCAATGTACCGATTATCTTCCAGGGCCCTGACACGACGCATGATTCGGAGGCGACGCAGTTGTCTAGGGACAAATGGGGGATGCGTCACCAGGCAGCCGGCAAAGGGCTTGGAACCAAATTCGGGGACATAACTCGCAGTCTCACACAGCCGCGATGGGTGTGGTCATTTCGATGAAGAGTTTCTTTTCGGTTCAACTGTTTATTAAAGAAAATATGTCAGGTTTGAACCAGAGATGATCAAAGCTCTTCGGAGCAGAATCCAGGTTCACTCCGTATATTGTTTACTAACGGCACAGTTTGTGAGTCATATGCTAGCTAACAAGTATCAAAAGTAGCCTCCAACAAAAACTACTACGCGTAATACGAATCAGTCATAAGCTCTTCAAGCTGCTCCGGGGTAATGATATGATTGATATCGGTAAGGCCCATGAAGCTGTTATTGCTCGTACAACGCTTCGTAGAGGCAAAGGCGCTGCCCTATCCGTCCATGGCACCCTCATAAGCAGCGATGATCTGCCGGAGGATGCTTTCGACATCAGAGGAGACGACACGCTTCTGGTCATGGTTGTGTCTTGCATCCACGCCAAGCTCGCGCTTCATGCTGTTGCCGCTTCCTTCGAAGGCAGACAACACTGACGCAACAGTACCTCCCACACCAGTGCCACTAGCCAGCTTCGATAAGGCGTTTTCGACGCTGGAAGGGATTGTAAAGCTGCGGTCTTCGAACTGGGATGCTGCCCCACCCAAAGTTCTGGTGATATCGACTCCATCAGAGGTTAGGATCAAGTCCCGCTTGGTGTTGCTGCTGCTAGGGCTGCCGTTGATCGCATTCCAGATGGCTATGAGATCGCCGCCGATGGAATACAAGCTTCCGGTATTCTTGGGCCCGGTCGTGGCGCTGGAAGACAGCACGGGGGGTTTGATGCTGCGATCTTCGATATTAGAGGAGGTTGAATCTCTCTTAACATCGCTCAACACGGAGCCGGCTGCTTCCAGAATAGTGTGGAGCGCGGTAGCGATGTCTGCAGTGACGTCGCGCTTTCTTGCACCAAGCAGCCCGTCGAAAGCTGCTTCAATGGCATGAACGATATCGGAGGTGGTGTCACGTTTAGAAGTAAGGGTCGGATTAGTCTCTGTCCCATTGACAGCTAGACCACCCGGTAGCCGTTCGACTTCAGGAACGGTGTCACTAGCAAGATGTCAGTATCAATTAAAATCTTCAGGAGGTAGACGCACTTGGCATGCGGCAGGATGACTGTCCCTATGCGGAAAGGGATGGTGTGGTTGTGTACTAATGTGTCGACGACCGTATTGACACCCGTTGACGCGGTATCGCGTTTGGAGGCGACCCAGCGAGGACTAGAAACGCATTCAGTGGGTCTGCTCAGTGGCTGTCTGACAGAGACATACGAGTATGGAGCAGGGGCAGCAAAACCAGGGACAGTCGACGAGATGACAGCGAAAGCGATAAGGGCAGCAAAACGCATGATGGTCAATGAGTGGAGTCGTAAGAATTCGAAAATAAAAGGGGAACAAGAAAACGCAATGTTAAAAGTTAAACGAAAGTGCACGAAAGTTCTTCAAAGAGGCTGTAGGATGATGCGGTTAGTGGAAGGTAACCGGATGGGACAGAACGAACATACTGCCTGCACCTGGGTGAGCCGCGAAAACAGAAGGGCTGAGGAATTAGCAGCTAAGTGCACGCCTTTTAAACAGGAGAGGACCGTGGCGATGCAACAAATTGTGCTTCCTTCCGACGCAGGTTAGTTGCGTTTCAGGGGCTGATACTCCTTGAAACTCGCCTGTGTTGCGTTGCTACGCCCGTTGAGTGATGAGATAGTCGACAGATGCTTCCTGCCTTCCGCATACCCTCACATGCAATCCGCTACGTTTTCAACAAGTTCTTGGCCATGATTACTTCGACTCTCTGCCAATCCAACATACGGGCATTACTGATCTTTTCATGCGTGTCCTTTTTCCAAAGTCTCCGGCTACTTGGCGGGCGACGCAACCAGGTGTTATACCTCCCAACAGCTTCTTCGTATCATACCCTCCCTCGCCGTTCTGCAGTCGCGGGTCATCACATAACCGGGGCATCTCCTGCGTGCGGTGAAACCGAACTCGAACGACCGGATCTCCCATAGGGCACGTGCATGGTAGAAAACCATCAGGAGATAGTGGAGTAGGCGATTCGAACGTAGCGCCGAGTCCAAATGGAAAACCATGTAACGCGTTGCTTTCGACTCCTGAGCTCAAACATGGTGAGGGCGCGGTATGGAACTGTTTGGTGACTGCATGATTGTTCTTCAAATGTCTTCCCTAGGGTGTTGTGGTGTATCGGAGAGGAGTGCATGGGACTGCGTGGAGCATATCTGCTCCAGTGACGCTGCAGGAATGATTCCTACAGGTGGAAGTGGGTTGCATGAATGCAGCAGAAGAGCCAGAAGCGATGCCGAACATGTCTGGGATAGAGAAGGTCGTACTACATAGCGTGGGTGAGTAGTGGTCGAAGGCTGAGGTGCTGGACTTTACTTTGTTCTGGGTAAGGAAATGATATGCGTGTACGGGTCTTGAAGCGCAAGTGTGTAAAAGCCGGGCCGCAGACAATAGGTCACGTGGACATAAATCCTAGATGCTCAGGACACTTCGATGAAGTACCTTTACAACTTAAGTGTTGAAGGGATACCAGGTTGGAGTGATGTGAGCTCTAGCGCGCCCTTTGGGTCGCATAAAAAGGTGCGATTGAAATTATTGATAAACTTATTGATGGTAAATCTGCAGCTGACGGAAACTAACGGATTTAAATCGAAGAACTGTATGTATGAACGAATATATCACCCCACTATTGCATCAACTGCGCGGCCGAATGAATTCTGCTCGGTGGATTAAAACATCTTGAGGGTTGCGATTGATGATTGTCCTCGCTATACGACTCTGGAATACCGAAAATAATCACCATCGGACCACTCTCAGACAATGGCTTCGTGGGATGGGGGAACTTTCCTGCTGTGATGCGTCTCTCGTAACAGGCTCCATGTCGTGGACGTCCCAACCAGGTAGGACAAAAGGACATGTGGTCCTATTTCCTCTACATAATTTGCTGTTCATGCGGTTCAATGCATGGCAACACATAGTAATTTGTGAGTATGTCGCTTCACCATGCAAGAACATGAACCGCTCTCAAGCCACCCACACTCAAGGCCAGTGAGAGCATCGGCAGTACTTGAAGGTCACTGTTGCGTTCCCAGATGGGTTTTGCGACATCTGCATCTGCTACTGCAACACCCTCTCGCCCTGCTGCCATCATCGAGATATTTGACAAGGTCGATTTACATTTTACCCCGAGTCCCTACTATATGCTACGTGACGGCTATCAGCTTTTCACTCCAGTCTCATGCATATGTTTTCCTCCTCGTATCGTACCGTCAGGTACCGTCCCCTTTCCCTGCAGATAACTCTCCATATCGAATGTAAATACAAGGTTGGTGCAGCGCCACCTTCTTTACAACGAAGGTGCCCACTATAGTCTACAACAGTAATACAGTCATTTTGCTCGTAGTGTGCCTAGAAAAATATATAATTACTACTGTAAATACTAGCAACGTGAAAAAGGTCCATGTGCGATAACAAGACAACTGATACCCTGCATAACATATTAAGCTTCGGATTGATGAATCTCGGAGGTTACATCTGAGTATGGGGGGCATAAGTATTCCTGAATGCGCAGGTCAGGTTCCGACGTAAAACCAGTGAGGAAATATACGGACTGTAAGTTCCTCCCCTTCAGATAAGATAGTGAGACAAGATCGCAGACCTTTCAAACACCATTGCATTTCGAGCCAAGGGAGGAGATTATGATTCCAGAAGGAAGCAAATATATGATTGAGCATAGGATGCCATGGATGCGGAGCTCGCGCGAGATGAACAGTCCAATTTTGGCATGCATACTTGAGAGCGTCAGAAGCTGATTGACTTCGTTCCCGTGATTCGTTGGTGAAATTTACGAAGGTCTGCATAGTGCGAATAATCTCTGTGTCTGGAAAACGATCTTGTGGTGGAGCAGCTGCGGAATCATCCTGGTGCCTAAATGCCAGGAACACCGGGAACATCAAGAAATCCGGCAAACTCTTGCAATGCTGGATCACTTGAAAAGCTGGGAGCAAAGGCAATTCTGAGTTGACTGTGTACTCGCTGAGCGCTGCCGCTGTGCTCGAGAATTCCGCTACTGTCATCCAGACAGCCATCAACGGCCACGCTTGACCATGTGGCGTCTGCAGCCAGTCTTTCCCGCTCTGTGTTTGCAACCAGTCTTCCCCGTCGCGGGTCTTCAGCCAGGCTTGCCCCCTCTCGGTCGGCAGCCAGTCTCGCACACCCTGGGTCCGTAGCCAGTCTCGACCGCTCTGGGTCTGCAGCCAGTCTACTCCCTTCTTCTCATTCAACCAGCTCCACATGTAGTCGTCCTGACCCCAATCTTGCCCAGCCTGGGTCTGCAGCCAGTCTTGCCCGGCCTGGGTCTGCAGCCAGTCTGTCCCACTCTCCATCAGCCAAAACTTCCCAGAGTTGCGCTCGCTCTGCAGCCATCCTCGCCCGTTCTGGGTCTGCAGCCAGCTTCGCCCGCCCTCGCTCTGCAGCCAGCTGTCCTGACACTTGATGGAGCTGTAACCGGACACCCAGTCTTGCGCAACCTCGGTCTGCAGCCAGCCTAGCCCAGCCTGGGTCTGCAGCCAGTCTTGCCCGCCCTCGGTCGCCAGCCAGTCATTGTACTCAAGCGACAGCCATTCTTGCCCATCCTCTGTCTGCAGCCAGGATTGCCCGCCCGGGGTCTGCAGCCAGCTGTGCCTGCCCTTGTCCCGCAGCCAAGCGATTGCTCCCACAGAGGAACGACCAACCTCATCATTCTCCTTGACCCCCAACCAGTCCCTCCCTCCTTGGGTCTCTAACCAGTTCCTCCCTTCTTGGGTCTCCAGCCAGGCACGCCCGCCCTCGGTCTCCAGCCACTTTCGCATGTCATTGGTCCGCCGCCACTCTACCCCGCTTCGGGTCCCCAGCCAGTCTTGGCCGCTCGAACCCAGCAGCCAGCTTTTCCCGTCCTTGGTCTCCAGCCAGTGTTCTCCGTGCTTGGTCCGCAGCCAGTGTTCTCCGCGCTGGGTCCGCAGCCAGTGTTCTCCGCGCTGGGTCCGAAGCCAGTGTGCTCCATGCCAGGTCCGCAGCCAGTCTTCTGTGTGCTGGGTCTGCAGCCAGTCTTTCTGGGGCCAGGTCTGCAGCCAGTCTTCTTCGCTCTGGGTCTGCAGCCAATGTTCTCCGCCCTGAGTCTGTAGCCATTTATCTGCGCGCCAGGTCTGCAGCCAGTCTTTCCCGCCCTGGGTCTGCAGCCAGTGTGCTCCGCCCTGGGTCTGCAGCCAGTGTTCTCCGACCTGAGTCTCTAGCCATTCATTTCCGAAATAGTCCTCCAGCCATTCTCCCCCGCCGTAGGTCTGCAGCCAGTGTGCTCCACCCTGGGTCTGCAGCCAGTGTTTTCCGCCCTGGGTCTGCAGCCAGAATTCTCCGCACCAGTTCTTCAGCCAGTCTTTCCCATCCTGGGTCTGCAACCAGTCTTCTCCGCCCTGGGTCTGCAGCCACCGTTCTCCGCCTTGGGTCTGCAGCCACCAGTCTCCGCCCTGGATCCGCAGCCAGGGTTTTTCGCACGACCCCTTCAGCCAGTCTTTTCCACCCTGAGTTTGCAGCCAGTGATCTCCGCGCTGGGTCTGCAGCCAGTGTTCTCCGTGCCGGCTCTTCAGCCAGTCTTTCCCGCGCTAGGTCTGCAGCCAGTCTTCCCCGCTCTGGGTCTGCAGCCAGTCAGGCTCCGTCTGTATCCGCAGCCAGTGTCGCCCGACCTCGGTTTGCAGCCAGTCTTTCCCGCTCCGGGTCTCTAGCCAGTCTTGCCCACTCTGGGTCTCCAGCAAGTCTTGTCCGCTCTGGGTCTCCAGCCACTTGGTGCTGCCCAGCCAGCTTTGCCCACCCTCGGTCTGCAACCAGCTTTCCCCGCGCCAGAACCCCAGCCACTTTTTCCCATTGTCATTCAGCCAGCTTTGCCCAGGATTGGTCTGCAGCCAGTCTTGCCCGCTCCGGGTCTGCAGCCAGTTGCTCCCGCCGTCGGTCTTCATCAACCACCACCCGTATTTTAGCCAGTGTCGCCCACCCTGGGCCTCCAGCCAGCCTTGCCCACCCTGGGTCTGCAACCATTCCTCCCCTTCGTGGGTCTTCAACCACTCCCTCCCTACGTGGTTCTGCAGCCAGGCACGGCCGTACAGGGTCTCTAGCCAACATTGTGACGCCGAACCGCGATCTCCCCGAAGCCATAGGAGAGTTGTAAAAACTTGAAGTGGCTCTAGTGGCTGGACGGTGAAGGCTAATGACTTTGTTAAATTCCGGGGGTGATCAGATCGCATAATTTTGCTGAGTCTCTTCAATTCTGAAAGCACATCCAGGAGGGCCGTGCGTTCCGGGATGTCGTGCATCATCAACTGAAAACAAGAGAGCGAGAGCAGCGAGTGGGGCGTGATACGTTGTACGTCAGGGAGGCTGCAGTTTGAGGGGTCGGAGACGTAGTCGCGGACAGAGGAATGATAGATATTCACGGGGAGACTGCTGTCAGTAGGAATATCCATGATGGACCGTAGCTGCATCAACGTTGTCTCGACATCTATGCCCTGACCAGGGCCAAGAAGTTTCGACATTTGTGAGACAGGAAGTGGGTCTACAAGGGCGACAACAATGGACAAGTGCAAGTATGCACGATTGGGGTTGGAGCATGTAGAGAGGATGCTGTCGTATAACTTGTAGACCTCCGTTGCTGGTAGCAGTGCGCTCGTCAGCCGAAGTATGATCTGAAGCCGGCCGCGGGGATCGTTGTATCCATCATCGATAAACTTCATTATCGTTGACGCCACGATGAAACGTCTGCCTGCTCGGCTTGCTAGTTGCACTAGTTGATCCCTCGATGGCTGCGGGAAATCTGGATGGCGACCTCGCAGCTTTCCGAAGGAATGTTCCAGGAAAATACAGATGTCATTATCAACGTCAGCACTGTCTAAGGAGATGATGCCGCCGTCCCCAGAGGTTTTCACAGGTATCTCGCACACCAGCGGGTGCACCTCTTCTTCCTGCATGGCTTCTTGGATATGCGATTCAGAGCGACTAGTGAGGAGAATGTGGAGCATGGGCAGATCAGGATCGCGAAGAGCTTCGCCAATTAGTGAGATGAGTTCAGCAAGTTCCGCTGCGGAGGTACATTCATCAAGGGCGTCAACGACAAACGACAAAGGCGGACACCCGAGCAGTCTGTCATGAAGCTTCCGGAGAGGTCGTAGAAACAACGCCTCCATCTGGTTGCGAAGAGAACTGTTGGGGTCTAGAAGGGCAGGATTTTCACGGATAGCATCGTTTAGGTATTTCCGGATGACGGTGAAATTGCTGGCAAGCTGATAAGCAAGCGTCGCAAAGAAATGCCTAGTCGTGCGGCGGTTCGTGTTGATGCGCGAGAAAAAGAATGTTCCTGCCAAACGTTTTTCCACATTCGTCTGCTCCGTCGCTTTCAGACCTCTCATCCTTTCAGCTACAGTGAACGCAACAGCGGACTTTCCAACGCCCGCCGTACCATGCAGCCAAATGAGTTGACTCTTCTCTCGTTTGTCTGATAATTCGTAGATGTAGTTGAGGAGGTCCACCCGGGTCCCTTTCAAACATTTCGGATGGGGATGGCGTTCGGGGGAGTCGTATACAGCGCCTTGTACAGCGCCCCGGGACAGCTCCGCCCATCCTTGATCGACTGATGATGTATAAGATCAGGACGAGAAAGGGGTAAGACTCATGAAGATACTGACGGTGACTCATTAATCAAGGTTGATAATAAAACGTGATGAAGTCTAAGCTGTAACTTGGATCTGTCGCCAAGAGTCGGCAGAAGGCTTAAGGATGACAAGTAGATGACCGCGACAGCCAAACGATCAAACTGTAGAGTGATGAAGATTGCAAGGCACAAGAACTGAATGGATGGATGTTTCAATGAAGTTTCAATGGTGGTTTTAGTGTTATGGGGAGCTCGTTAAATGGTGTGGAATGCAGTTAGGACGAAGGGGCGCTCGTCTGGTTGCAGGACATGAGGCTGCTGTGTGGGCCTTGAGGCATGTACGTTAATGATATAAATCGAGACACGTGAATCGTATAACGTGCTTATTGCAGGCTGAACAAAACAAAGTTGCCATGTAGCAGATAAAGCTGATATGGCTGAAGCTGAATGAAGCTGAAACGAACTTGAATGTCGGCCATGCCCTTCCCTTCATGTCATTGTTAACGGTCATGACAAAAAGCGCAAGGTCAAACTTCTATGTCGCTGTTATTACTAATTATTTCATATTTTGGTGGATTTAGCGATGGACGCGTGCAGAGAGGGGTGCAAAGAAGGTGAGTTTCGATACTGCATTAAGTGCGTTCAACGTTGTGAGCTTAGTACGTCACGGTGTACTTACATCCAATCTTTACATGAAGGTAGTGATGTTCTGGCCCGGCTTGGGCTTGGCATAGAGGGGGCTTAGGCTCACCAGAATTCAAGCCTAGGCCGTGAGCCCAAGCTGGCCCAAAGCCAGGGCTTGGGCCCAACCAGGCCGCGGCTTAGAGTGGCTAACAGACAGTATGCTGAACACTATGATACTGCTATGTCATAGAATGTCCAACAAGCAACTAGTATGACCCAGGCTCCCGGAAGACAATGTAACGGGCGCTCAACGAAGCGAGGAAGACGAGCGACGAGAAAACAAGAGAGAGGGTCACGTACTGGCGTTGATTCGACAAGAAAATAATACAAAGCCCCGAGCACATACAAGTATCTGCTATAGTGATAGTATAAGGTGAAATCGTTATCAGTGAGAGTGTCAATGAGATAACGAGTCTGCAATCATCCGAACGAGCTGGTCCGTGCGTGACGGAGTACATCAGCGCAATGTTTGGTATAGTAGAATGACCGTGAGCTAAATTCGCGCTCATCATCTCCAGAATCATCTTCCTCATAGGCGTCTTCGGGATGCACCCTTTTGCCACCAGTCACTGCAGGTGGCGCAGATGGTACTGGTATGGGGGAAGTGCGTGCAGATTCAGTGGTTTCGGAGGAGGTACTTGGGGATGAGATGAGGGTGACGTGTTCAGCGGCCCGCTTGGCAGCCTGTGCAGCATGAAACTCGTTGATGGCCTGAGTGTGGGATGGGAGTGCTGCCTTCTTAAGGCCTCAAATTACCGAAAAAGCCGAGTGTGATTGAGATCTGGTTTTCCGACAGCAGGGTAAGTAATGGCGAGCTGGTGAAGCACAAAGATATATCATGATTTACCTTGGCCATTTCGAGGCAACATATGAGATAGGGCCTCAAAGGAGTATAAACTTCTGAAAATGTCAGATGCAAGCTACATTCGACAGCAGGGTGAGTAATGTCAAGCAACCGAAGCACAAGTGCCAGTGGTGGAAGTCAGAAGCGCGAAGAGACAAAAATAGAGTACACTCCGAGACTTCCATGGCAGTGCCAAGCCCAGGCCGGCTTTTTGCGAAGATGAATGTATGACAGCAGAACACCTTTACCTGAGAGCAGTGCAGCATTCATCCGGGCATTCAGACTCGTGCTCTCAAACTTGTCCTCACGTACAACGAGAAGGAGTTCACTGTCCTATGCGGGATCAAAAATCTGAAGGCGGTGCTGAATCATCATACATGAAGATATTGGATATATACTACATCGTCAGAAGTGAGTGCTTATCTTGTCTGTCGTGTGTAATCACCGATGTAAAAAACTGCTCCCCCTCTAGCCCTTAGACTCTCTGTTGACTTGGTACACGTATGGACCATGGCTTGCTTGCATACCGAGAACATGCACGTAAAGCTGCAACCGAAACTGCATTGAGCTCCTTGCATGCGCTCCAAGAGAACGTGTCAATGCCTCACAGATTCTTGACCAACTCTTCGCCAGCCCAACAGGTGTATTACTGATCTTCTCATGGTTCTTCCGTTTCCCAAGTCTCCGAGGTTTCGCATATTATACCTCTCGACGGTTAATTTATATCACACCCTGCCCAACCCAGCCCTCGCCATTCTTCGCTTGACGGGAAGTAGGAACGCAGAACAAAAAAACCAACGCCTTGCATTATCAACTAACCCAATGGCTATATATTGTATGTAGAGACTCCAGGGCTGTCATATGTACGGAACCTCAGGCCTCAATCCCAACTATGTGTTGCGTACATTATTCTTGCATCAGCATAATTTTGCTATCGATTATCACATTCTAATATTTGACCTTGTGGAGGAAACGACAGTTCCTGATGTTCTTATCCCAGTGCGCAGTCTGGAAAACGCTCTCATATTGTTCAAACTCACATTTGAAGGGAAGTTGGAGCAATAGTTAACGATCAGGCTAGAGGAATCACAACCATCACGTCGGAAGTAAGATTCACGATTTCGAAGTGATGAATGTAGGACAGCATCGTTCAAAGAACGACTATGTGCCCACCGAGTGAACGAGAATAAATGTATGTACTGCTGTGAGTTTTTGACACCGTCCGTTTGATGTTCGTCAACTATATGTGTATCAGTTGGGAATCCGTGCGAAAAAGCCTTACCTATAAAGAACGCAAACCGGAGTCAGGATTCCGGTACCTTGTTGGCTTCCTTCGGTACCAAAGTATTCGAGTCCAGCAGCGTCGTGTTTGGCGGTCCCTGCACAAAGTTGACAGGCTGGGACAAAGGCTGAGAGAACAACGTGTTACCAGAAGATGAAAGTACCAAGTTGCTCGACCAAATGCACTATGGCATATGGATGGTCATCACAAGGTCATTCAGTGGGGCTTTGTCATTCACGGATTCATTGACGGGTATTGTTTGCACCGTAAATCCATCAATTTATGAAAGCGACAAAATAAGTGTAATAACCTTACTTTCAACAGATAACAGCACTAAGGGCCAGCACAAATAATTGCGCATCAACGGTGTTGGAGTTGTTCATGCACGCAAGGAATGAGTATGGCATGCCATCTCGTGTTCGTGTTATGATCAACGTTCACTGATTGGCAAAGGTATCCCACAACCACTAGGACTCGTCAAAGGATAAGAGAATAGATGATATTGAGAGTGAACGTCTCTGTCTACACAAGGTAGGAACGAAGAGGTTAAGTCTAAGGAGTACTACTGACTACGACCTAAACTATATACTATTCTCTAGGTGGAGATATCTGAGTATGAAAGGTAGTGATATATCTATATAAGATCATAACATTGCGCCTAGGGTATAGGGCGTCTTATCAACCAATCAACTACAAGAAAGGGAAAAGGGTCCATAGGGGTATCGGTGATTAAGCAGGGTTCTCAGGGTTCTGCTTCTATTCAGGGTAAGCAGAGATGAAGAAGGGTGAGGGAGTTCTGTGACAAGAAGTCTCGAGTGGTGATTAAGGATCTCGATAAGAGATAGGATCTGGAGATGTATCGGGTACGATCGGATCTAGGGGTTCTCCAGGGTCTTCGGTAATGAGCATGCTTCTCTATGAGTGGCGCTTCTGTGATAGGGTTCAGGGTTCCAGCTGTGACTGTGCAACAGGTTCTTATGTAAGGGGTTCGGTGAATGACAGAGGTAACTCTTAACATGTCATGTGTGGGAAGTGAAAGGTCTGCGGTGTGAAGGGATGATGACTCTTCGAGAGATAGCTTTATAAGGACTCTCGGTTGTGGTTCGATCATAGAGGCGTGCAGATGCATATGATGTAGCCTGGTTGCCTAATCGTAGGACTTCTAAGGATGTGATGACTTCGGATGTCTAGGGTTACAGATGACGTCGATGTAGTATAGATGTGATGTAAAGATAGTGATCGTTAATCGGTTATCCATCTTATCTTATCAGGGATCTTATCTAATCTAATCTTATCGGATAGGTGACTTAGAGTTTGATAATTGAAATTTAGATGTAGTCTGAACATTCATGACAGTTCGTGGGGATCGCGGAGGGGAGAACCTTCAAGTTGCTACGCACATGGTTGTGACAAATGGCCACAATCGCGGCTCGTTCTTATGGGGATCGTAAGTGGAGCCCCCTGGAAATTTACTTGACTAACGATGCCTGATAGATCAACACGGAATTCTCGTATTGAACGATTGTGGGTTGAAGTCAGCACACAATTTGCACGCCGATGGCGGGCATTCTTTACCAGGCTTGAACGACTTCACAAACTTGATGTTGACAGGCCTGGGCATCTTTGGCTCCTTAGCGCGCTCTTCTTGAATGCACTCAACAATGATTGCCGACAGTTTCAACAAGAATGGAACTCCCATCCTATTCATGGTTCTGATACCAAGGATCAAAGCCCTCAGGTCAGTGAATACTCGGTGCCGCAGAATTATTGTCTCACAACCATGAAGGATATGCGCCTTCTAGGACAGGCGTCATTAGGCATCTATGAAGATGAGTTTGAGGGGATACATCCTGCAATCCTGCAGCGCTATTATGGTATTCATGGCAGAGAGTTGGTCCACGGTCGCAATCAGACAGGTGCTGGCCACCCAAATGACGAGTCGGATGAATCAGATGAAGATAGTATTATTGGCCGCATCGAGCGGGATCAAGCAAACGATGTCCAACATGACGCTGTTGAGGTCGCAGATGGTAATACTCCTTTTCAGAATGAAGAAGATGAAAATTCATTCTTTGAAATACTTGAGGAGGTCGTCATGGATGGTATTGTACCGGAGGGATACAATTTACAGGAGGGTGAAGATGAGTATGATGAAAACACAACTGAACATCTACGAGTCGGACGACGGAGGGAGAATTATGTTGAAGTATCGTTAGCAGACCCTATCTGGAGGACTCGCTCAACATTATGGGCTCAAGCGGCTAGCATTCTAGGTCATTTTGAAGCAGATGTATTTTTCTAATTCAATAGTACTTCACAAAATTCGAAATAGAATTAGGAACCTACCACATACAAATTCTGCACCTCGCCGGCTTGTTTGTGTCCCAGTCCTCTCTTCCATCTCACTCGGAATGTCGAAGCAAGTTTATTGCAAGGGCAACCCTAACGAATCAGTAGCTTGCGATTGCGAAGAGTACTCCGCACCTACGAATCTTCCAGTTGGCCAAAAAGAGCTTTGTGCAGAATGTTTGCACAGCAAGAGCAAACATCCTCGACCCCAACGGCCTGCATCAGTGGCCGAGCTGTCAGTACCTCCCATACTAGATCAGACTTGGAGTACTCCACCAAGGCCCGTCACAACCGCAAAAGAACAAGTTGGAGTGACAGCTATATACAAGCAATCACTCGCTCGGAAAGCCGGACAAGACCTGGAACTCAAATTCAATGTGTTGTCCAACAGTCAGAAGACGGCTACCTGCAAGAGGTGAGGTGATCGCAGGATTCCGCCCACCTGTAAAACGGAAATTCACAGTGAGTAAATTTGCCTGACTTTTGTGCCTCCGAAATAATCAATGTTACCTAGGGCAGGGCAATATCCTTAAGACAGGCCAGTTCTTCGAAGCAAGGACAAATCCGGATCAAAGTCGGTGCCGTTGCTGTCTTGATCAATTACCTTGATGTATGTTAGCCTAAGCACACAATAACTATGAACTTACCCAGTGACCGACAGGACAAAGGAGAGTTGATGATCACGATCCCGCCTGTCAGGACAGAGATGTCAAAGTTTAAACGACGGGGATGTGCTCACTTTGACGGAGATCAGTCTGAGAACGACAGTGTGGATTTCAGCTTTTGCCCAGACTGGACATTTGATGAGGTTGATGCTTACATTCGAAGACTTTTTCCAAAGGTCTTTGGATACCTCGACTCTGTAAAGGCAGGTGATGTAAAGGGGAAGGCCATAGATAATGGAGCATCTGAATGGGTGTTGATTTCGAAAGAGAACCGCAGGCTGAGTGTCGCACCTGACCCATTTCTGAACGGCAAACATCTTGAACGGTACAAAGGCAGAAATAATGCCCCTCTTCAACAGACAAATGTTTTTATTGGTGAGCTGTTAATAAATTCATCAGGGATGTTCTAATCAATGTATGTGCAATAGGTATCCGGACATACGTACCTGAGCATATTTATGCACACTGGGATCCGGACATGGTCGTTATTGATATAGATGATGACAACAGCGACGATAGTGACAGCAAATATCAATTTAAACTTGAAGATAGTTTGGATGACATATACAATGTTCCCAAGATCAGTTGGTGGATTTAAAGCTCTCACGTGCACACTCTCAGTGACTGTGTTTAAAATTCGTTTAACTGTTACTACTTACTCCAGCTCGTCCAAAACGCTTGATGCAGTCCAACGAACGTGATACACATCAAGAACCAGCTTTAAAGAGATCGCGTGGAAGTAAGTACTACTGTTCAGACTGTATGCTGAAACAACACTACTAACAAAACATATTTAAATCAGCTCGTGGTCAACCCATCGCATCGAAAATGGAGAACCAGGTGGCGAAATCTGTTAAATGTAAGTGTTAAGTGCTTTCATTGTCTACTTGACCATCTAACACCTGTAATTTTACAGTGTTCGGTCCCGACTCTGATGCAGATGATGGCCTCGACACACTGCCAGCTAGTCTGAAAGGAATGTCAATCTCACCTCTGAGACGTGCTCCACGCCAGAATTTGATGATGCCATCAATCAAAGATGAAGAACCCTACATCGACCTCCAAGACTCAGAAGTCTTTACAAACATTCAGAATCATGTGTCCGCAATGCCGATACTTAATCGACCACTCTTCCAGCCTCTCGTTTCAGTTGAGCCCACATTGAAAGATATATTGCGCGGCCACCCAGATGTCAATGATCCAGTTGTCGCGTCCATTGCACAACCCTTGGACAACCGACTACTTCATTGGTTCTATTAAACTTTGGCTTTAATTTTGTTCCATAGAACTCGAACATCTTATCACAATCCCATTGCAGCCACAGTACTACTTCTACGGTTCCCTTTAATTTTTCTCGCACCTTTAAATCCTTCTTTCTTAATCCTAATTTCGTGCTTTGATTCACCTCGCTCCTTTGAATCCTCCGTTCTTAACCCTACTGGGCCTAGTCAATTTCATGATTTAATTCCTATTCCATCGAATTCTCCGTTAAATGTTAGTTGGTTCATTCGAACAATGAAAATCATTTACTCCGAGACCTACTCACTCCTCATCGACACTTACATCAAGGATCCACCCAGCGCGAACATCTTTTTGACACCAATACTGGCAGCTTTCCGTCTTCTTTTCTCGCTCTCGTCCACCAGCCGAGGATTTGCTGCCAATGCTGGCGGCTTCGGTGCGTTTTTTTTTGCCCTTGGACTCTACTTGATTGGCGCTTATAGAACCCTTCATTAGCAGCCTCTGCAATATAAATTGATCATCACTCCGAGACCTACTCACTTCTCATCACTCCGTCTCGTCCACCGGCCAGGCCTTAAAAAGATTCGAGGCTTTGCTGCCAATGCTGGCGACTCTCAGTGCAGTTTCACTCCGAGACCTACTCACTTCTCATCGCTCCATCTCGTCTACCAGCCGGGCCTTAAAAAGATTCGTTTATAGAACCCTTCATCAGCAGCCTTGTCTGCAATATAAATTGATTATCGAATCATGTCAGATCTAATAGTGCAGTACTAATTTTTCTACGGTACAAGAGTGTGTATGCGACGGAGTGATTATGTGTGCGTCTCGTTTGTGTGTGTGTGACGTCTGTGCGTGTGTGAGTTTTGCGTGTGAAGAATAGTTGAACAGATCCAGCGCCATAACAAAGGCGGTGAATCATAGCGTATAGAGAGCGGATGTCTTTACCTACACGATGAAACTGAACACCACCTTTTCTGCTATCGCTAGACAAACTGGCTTCGACAACATTCTATTAGAAAATGTGAGCAAGTTGAATGCATTTCTTCTTCATCTCATCACACTGACGACCAAGGATCCACGCATTCTTCCAGCGGGTGTGTTGCAACATTGGGGTCTCTTCACAACCTTCGCGGATTGATCTTCATTCACGACAGAATACTGTCGTATTTTACTGATGTTTAGCTGATTTTGAGCACCTACATCCTAGGCTGATGCTACACGACAACGAGCTCTGCGAATCGAGACGCACGTCGAATACCCCGAGGATTTTCTGACGATGCATGAGATGTATGTAATTTCCGTCTATACTATAGTCCCTCTTGACAGAAACATTAGTTCTCTACATTGCGTGGTACTCCATTCCACGGGCGACGTCATCATCATGCCGCATTACTACGTCGACGGCTCCTTGGTCGCTCATCCTTGTTCTAGCGCCGTTCCTTCGATCCACACGGGACGACTGAGCGCAACGCCTAATCTCGATCCTGTCCTGTAAGCTGGACTCAAGACTTCGTCTCTGGTATCCGACATCCAGTTGCAAGTGCCACCAATCGTCGAGGTCCCGCGCACAGCAGCAAAATCTGTACGCTTTGTTCCCTTCTCGATTCTTTATCAGTGACTCATTTTCACGCGGGGGGGCTATCAGGCTAGAAAGAAGCCAGCTGCCAGCTCCTCTCAACTTCCCAATACCCATGTCATGCAGCAAGCCAGCGGAGCAATGCAGAGCACGCCATCACCATCACAACAAGCTACGACACCTGCGGACACTTCCCGCAGTCGCCGCCGTCGCGGTAGTGACTGGAACTCCGTCACATCCCAATATTACCATAGACAGGCCGGATGCTGGACTCGGCTCTTGCTCGCTGGCGAGCCCTGGCTGCGAAGAACTATACGAACGAGATACTACCTCCACTAATGGATCAGGGATATCTGTCTTTCGACTGCATGATAGAATCATAACACTATTACTATGCACTGAGGTGGATCAAATTCCGAGTATTTCGATCGACATGGAAATACTCAACGTCTGTTCGAGTAACAAAACCTATAGATTCGACTACAAATACACTTACGGAGAACGTCACAATATTACGTGTTGATACAGCCGCTGTTGACTACAACTGCAGTCAATCAGAGTCCCGACAGAGAGGGAGGCGCTAAAACTCACGCTCAAGAGACCTGGCACTCAGTCGAGAAAATCCTCCTCAGTCAGAATGCGGCCATTGAGCATCTTTCCGACGTGAGTTGGAAGATACCCCATGCCTTTTCTTCTCATTCCGAACAACTCCTTCAGTGCGGGAAGCTGGGATCGCTTGAACGAGCACGATGCTCTCGCAGAAGGGCGATTCTCCTCGCTGATGAATCCATCGCTATCAGCTATCAAGTCCTTGTCCCCCAAATCTGGCGCGTTAAGTCCCAAGAAGCTGCAAACGCGGAGATACATCTCATAATTTGAGAAATAGAGCTGGCCTGCAAAAAGGTCGAGCTGGAAAATCAGAGGATCTTGTGGTGTCAACCGTGGCGTCGAAGGAACACAGTAGAGTCGAAGGTCATTGCATGCCTGCATATTTTTTGTGGTGCGAGGAGTGTAGATGCACAGGTGGACTGCATTGCTTCTGCGGATATCAGGTAGCAGTGTGTTTGCTTCGTACGGGCTCACGACCACCAGCACTTGGCAGCGTCCAATGTCACTGATTATAACCCAATTGACGGGTCGCAGATAATCATCCTCCTTTTGAGCATAGAACATTTCCACCGTGCGAGCGAAGTCAAGGGTGACTAAAACATTTTGTGCCCACTGATCGCCCTCGTGGAACGCAGCAGTGGTGTTGTCAAGACTGGATAGCACTGGAATGAACGCAGAAGATCCCGCGGGAATTTGGCCGGTCTGGACGAATTGAAGAACGTGCGCGTGCAGCTCGTGGGCTGCAGGTTCTACCCTGGGCGGCCTTTCCACTTGACGTCTCTCTCTCCACCTCGTGCACTATCTCCCTTTCTTGTTCCTCATCCATGCTCCTTTCGGGAGCCAATTAGAACTCCGAGCTCCTCGCACTTCTTTTGAACGTCTGGATCGCAAACCTGGGATAGCTGTAAAGAACTGCGTGGTGCGTACAGATCCTCCAATGAACGCTCCTCTGGCTGCAACCAGGCTGTCTCCAGGGTGGAAATCGAAGTGGTAGGGGGCGTGCGAGAATTGAATCCACGCGGAATGCCGCGTACTGAAGTCCGATCCCTGTTGAGCCCAGTGGGATGCACGCATCTGAATATCAAGACAGGTTTCGCGCATCGCCCAATACAGGATGTCTGCCACATCGACACAGTCGGTATTGGCTTTCTGAGTCGCCGAACGAATGCTCCGATCAACTTCAGTCGGAGCGAAGAACATTACTGAGTGCCCATTTCCCAGCTTCCGCATTCGCATGCATCCTTTGTAATTGGTTAATATGGAAACTAATATCATGGATTCTAAAATCACGAGCCTTGGGTCAGGCGGTCTTTCGTGACTTTGGGGCCAAGCGTGACAGCAGCTCGGAACCCGGAAGGCAGCTTGACATCTGTTCCTCTAGTATGGGCGTCGTCTAGATATACGACGCACTGATCGAGCTGCTGGGAAAAGGGGGACGATGCAAAGGGCTCAACTGCCCCATTCCGACTAACAATGACGATTTCATCGTCGTCATTGACGAAGACTGCAGCTTGGGCGTCGCGCTTGGCTCGAAGCCATGCTTCTGCCAACTCCTGATTCTTCAATTCCAGCATCTGCGCACCTACATCCAGGAGCACGCGAACCTCGGGAGTTTGTGCGACCAGGGCATCGATGAAATGTTTCCACCTTTTGGCCGGGCGGTATGCATCTGTAGCAGTCGTTTTCTGGGCGAAGAAGAAATGCTAGGACTCGAGCGTTCGTGCTGCGTTGGTAATCGAGGTCATGCTGCACCATTGAGCTTGGTAGCAGATAGCGATTGTCGTTTGTACCAGAAAAGCCGGTTGTGAGATGTCTCTTCTCTTGAGCGAGATCCCACACCGGAGCAGGTGAGCTTGTTGGGGAATCCCTTGGCTTCCTTGGGAAAAACTACTCGAGACAGGTAGAAATCTATGACTGCCCTTGTTGGATGCGAACAGTTGCTGGAGGTCACGGAGCTGCTCCGCGGATTCTGTATTGATACCGCTAAGGTGGCGTAGACTTTCTGGGACGGACTGAAGTCCAAGCAACCAGGATTCATACTCGAGGCGGGATTATCCTGCTTCAGCAGAAGCTCGAAGCACAACATCAGCTGCTGGAGCGTGAGGCCCGCATAGTAGTATGACAAGCACGTGAGGGTGACAGCAATGTCCGGATGACCAAACTCTGCCCGCAGCGAGGGCATGTCTTTAGCACGGAATGGAACGGCTAACATCGTTCGTTTTGGGGCGAGGCCATAGTCCACTCGCCAGCGACGTTCTTTGAGGGCGTACACCAAAATACCACAGGCCAGTAGTCCACGCAAGACAAGGAGGCCGGGCCAGACGGTGGTATCTCTATAGCGCTCCTCTACTAAGCCGATACAAGTGTTGGATATCTCCTCGGTTGCGATGAACTGGCGGACAGCTTGTTTGACGGAGAGAGATGCTTGATCGAGTTGATGTTTCCAAGTGCTCCGCTGATGACATCCTGTGCGATCCATTGGACCAAATTTTCACCTGCTGTCGAGTGCAGAACTCGAATGAAGGGAAATGTTCCATGCTTGCGAATAGATACTTCTGAGTGAGAGGGAAATTCACTCATTAGGCGAGGAGCATGCTTTGCGACAAGACTCAACACTTGTTGTGTAGTCGTCCACCGTTCTGGATAACCTTGAAGCGACCTTTGGAGACCGACGGT